TTATGTGTGACCCTATTAAGAATGTTATTGCGACATCATTGTTGATATTTGATAGCCGCTCCCGTAATCAAGTCATATGACGTTAGGAACCTTAGGATCTAACTCCATTTCGAATAGAAAAAATAAGAGGTTATATTATCATCGGTACTTACGTTGTAATAGGAGTTAAGTACTTCTTATTCCCCCTAATACCTACATGAGCCCCCCCGGTATCTTTGGTTCGCTGGTGCTTAGTAGAACATCATAGGGTTATGAGAAACGGTTCATCAGTCTAGAGCTATGGAAAGGCGGACAAGAAGGAAAAAAAGACAGCTAACCCTAGGATGATATGTAGGCGGTTTTCCCGCTTATCACGCCATAAACTGCCATCTCCCATCGGTACCCGAGCTGCCGGGCCTCGAACTAGAGGAGGAGACGGGTACTTCGATACTGTGTTGAGTGGTGTGCATGTTGTATGTATATGCAGTGTTAGACGCTTCTTGGGAAAGGCTCGAGGAAGATCTCGTTGCCCATCAACCAATCGTCGTGCGCTGCCCAGCTTCGGCTTTTGCTCGCCGCCTCGCAAAAGACGGATAGTCGTAGTAATCGCAGAACCGCAAGAGAGAGCTGCGTCTAGCTGGAAGCAATGTAACTCTGGCCTGCGAAGTGTTGGCCTCTATTCACCAGACGGGAATAGCCAAGCTACGAATGCAGTCTGAGGAGCACCACCCAGTAACATCCAGTAAGCTTGGAGGCGAAGTAAGTTCTCATATCAGCGAAACCCGCTCTTTGCCAAGTTGGAGCAGTCTGCATCATAAGTGAGATCGGGCGGCCTATCATCTCCCCTCTACGATATTTAGTCAGGCACTTGTAAAACGCTGACCTCCTTTCTTTTTCGTCGACCGGAAACACGGGTATCGACACGATACCAACCGTGCCGATGCTAAACCGTGCATGATAAGGGTGCAGTAGGCAGAGACCCAGTCAAGCGGTATTTCGAAGTTACGAGGTTCGAGGCCCCGAGGAACGGCCAAGAGGCTTGGGTTAGCAAGAAGGCGGTGGAGAGTTAAATTTTTCAAATTTTCAACATTTGATAGTCGGGTCATGAAAGTTGATATCAGAGGCCAAACTAAACAGACGAAATTACCACTGACATCATACCGCAAGCCTCTCAAATCTTAATAAAGTGCCCCCTACATACTATAAGACGTAGAATTAAGGTGCCACGATTATTAATACGGCACTTTATTTATGTAGGTAGGCATTTTTGGCTTTTATTTTTTAATAGTCGAAGTGAAGCGAAATAGGGCGGAGAATTTTCACCGGTAGTCAGATATAATCATTTTAAAAAAAGTTATCAGTCGACGTATGTTTGTTTATCCGAATGCATCCGCGTCTAACTCGGTAGATGAAAGTAATAGCACCCGAAGTTCAAGGGTATGTCAAGGTTATGTCGGGGCTGATGGTAACCTGTAAGTCGTAACCTACAGGATTGGGGTCCATTAAATGCGAAGTTAACCAAAACCAAAAAAGACGTAAGCAGAAACCACACATGCAAGTTTAAAAGAGAGCGACAGAAAATAAAAATACCACACAGGTACTTGCGTACATAGATTTTACATGCGCGTGTGTATGTGTGAGCTGTCATTACAAGTACCGAAGTACACGTTCTGTAAGATCCGGGGATACCATGCTGCTCATCACTGATCAAGGATAACCTAGCCTACCTGCTGCCTGCCTACCCATTTTGTCTGTAAGTACCTCGAGATGACAGTTTTGGGACCGCGGATCTATCAATCCAAAATAGGAATGGTTTACTAATGACTTGACTCAAGAGATTTCCTTTTTAGACAGACAGCTTGTCAAAGTCTCAGGGGAGTCGAGCGAATCCGGGAAGCTGCCCCATAATAAAGGGGCACCAGTCGTATCCCCTGCATCCCTGCTTACAGTATGTCATAAGCTATAGCACGGCTCAACTAAGGAACAGGTAGGTGCTAGGTAGGTGCTAGGTAGGTAGGTATGTATTACAGCGTACCTGCTGCAGCTGCTAAGCGCAATCTTCGAAGTTGCCCTGACTGCGCTGTTGCCCTGTGAGAAAAGGCTTGGCTATGATATCAACTCCAAAATTAAGCATCCGTGTCCACTCTAGATCCCCGTCTCCTATCCTTGACATATCATATTAACCCAGTCGACCTCGTGGTAAACTAGGCCATTCCAGATATTCAAGGATACGGTATTGCAGCATCACATCACACCTGGTAGTAAGCCTTGTTACCCGTAGTATTGCTAAAAAAGATGAGATGACTTAAGATCTTCCCAAAAGGTAATGTGGTAATGTGGTCAACGATGCATCCATCATGATCCATGATCTCTGCATCTGTGCATCGCTTTCTCGGCTTCCCCTTTTCAAATTACCACAGAGATCGAAGTCTCAGACAACTAGGCTCACTTGAGACTCTTCTCGCTATTGCGTCTTACCCTCTTCTACATTGGGTAGTTATCAATCTTCAACAGTCAGTCTTCTTACTCTAGGCCGTTATTAGAGAGTGCTCTAAGCAGCCACAACAAACATCGAATCGCTTATTATATACCGTTATGTAGGTACCTACCTGACTGATTAATAAAATAAGATAAGATAAAATAAAATAAAATAAAATAAAAAGAACAGCTTGCTCCCTCGTTACCAAGTACCGTTCCCTAGATGCTAACTAGATCGCTCTTGGCCGTAATTGATTGGTTGTCCTCTGCACCAATCTGACAGGATGCGGGTAACAAGATGGTTGCAGGTCAGCGACTAATACGACTATTACTTAACAAACGAGATAAAACTGACGAGAATGCTCCTGCTATCTTAGATAATATCAGAATAATTGCCATGGGAGCCATGAGATATGCCGATCACTTAGTTATTATACCTGCAATACATAATACATAATACATATTACTTCTAGAATTAATTCCATTAGTATGGGAAAGCACGGCGTTGACGGATCTAAAAAAGATTGGTTGAGAAAACACGGAGTCATATGACCAGCTTAGATGGGATGCCAAGCCTTCAGGGTTCCGATAAACATTACAGTAATGTGGTCCGCGCACTGTAAGGACCCGCTGAAAAAAGAGAAAAAAGTGAAGAGGGAAAAGGAAGGAAAAGGTCGATTTGCCTTACGTACCTTGCCTGGCTTGGCTTGGCTAACAGGCTAACCAAAGGCTAACCACGACTTTTCCTGCCCCTGGACTTTAGCACCTTAGCACCTTAGTATTGTACTTTCACATCCCTTTTTCTCAACACCGCCCTCGCTATCGGGTCTACTTCTCTATCCCTTCAGATTATGAGAGTCTCTCCTTCAGACGTCGTGCCTTGCCTTAGTTTATCCCCGAAGTCTCCCCGCACATCTAGTAAGACATAAAAAATATTTGGGAAATCTTTGCACACATCCCATCGCCGTGTTGGTCAAGTTCAGGCCTCCTCATACGTCTTCCTCCTGACGTTTACAGATCCCTAATTTCCTTGCCGGGGGGCAACTATAGAGACAGGGAACCCAAGACAGGGGCTAGCCTGGTCTTCCACCTCTTTTTAGCGTGGCGGAATCTCCAAAGACTCCAACGTATTCAAGCTAGGTACAGATTGTACACACGCAAGTTGCGTGCGACGCGTTGTACTGTGGACATTTCCATCAGAATGGTCACTGATCACTGGCCCATCCCTCCCGCCAACCCTCAACGCCTACAACCCTCAACTCTCTCTTTTAGGTGCCCAGGTGGGGATCGCACAGCTGCGGGCCATGATCGGTGAGGGAATCTTTGTCTTCGCCCACGTTCTACTATGATGTATGTACGTTTCTATGTGCGCTTCTATGTACGTCGTTGGTACAGATTGCTGCTTCTCTGTCCAATGGCCCCAGTGACGCGCAGCAGAAGCAGCATCAACAGCAGCAGCAGCATCCAGCAGCCAGCAGCCAGCAGCGAGTCCACTATGTAGTAGCCTTCGTGGATGTATTGGGTGGCCCCCTCCTTCAGCCTAGCCCCCATCCACTCTTTACTCTGACAACTCTTTATCTAGAGCATTCTGTCGGGGTTTCGACCTTGCGAGATAATACTAAAAACAAATGCAAGAAGCTTAGAGGCGTAAACCCGATGTGCTCCAAGGTTTAGTGGTGGTGATGCGATGTTAAGACCGGGTCTGGATGGGAAAAGAGAGATGCTGAATCGCCTAGGCCCGCTACAGCCCCAGCAGCTGGCCTACCTAGTCCGCAGCCCACAGTCCACCCAGCCAAGTCAGCGCTTCAGCAGCGCTACCCTGCTCATAATAGAATGCTCCGCGTCTACGGTTCGGGTAGTCGCTGGACACTGGGACTGGCTGGACGATGGATGCTGGATGCTGGACACTACGCTGGACTGGACACTTACAATGGACACTTACACTGGACACTACTAGATCTTGATGAATAAACAACTAGGTATGTAACTACCTGGTAATGACTGGGAGTGTACGATATGTACGATATCCATGATACCCATGATACCCTTGATACCCATGATATCCTTGTACATACGTACCTGGGAGGAAAAGTACTTTTAGGTACCCTGTCGGCGACCAGTGTCACCAGCCTTTGCTCGAATCCTCGCTCACCTCCACCCAATTTCGTGGTCGTACCGGGGAAGTACCTTACACCTCCCGGTTCGCTGGTCGTGCAAGGTCCATAAGGAGACCCACAGCCTACTACATACATCTACTTGACGACACGCCCACCACCCCCCTCTCTCTCCCTTCCCGCTCTCTAGCAACTCCTGTATTTGTTTTTGATCCATCCTGTCCCTGCCTTGTCTCTGGTTTCGAAAGAATTTTAGGGGGGATCTAAAGTGAGCTCTGTGTCTCACTTCGACTTCTTGGAATACGGCAAAACTAGACTTTCGGCCTCTTTGCACTTGCTCTTATACCAGCTCAGCCCCTTCAACCTTAAAGCCCATCTCGACTTGCTTCGGCGATTCAGTTCGGTTCACTACCACCACGTTCGTTCTTCAGCAATCTATTGGACTTTATCTGTCCGGGTATCTGACCCTAAGTCATTCCTTATAGAAAAACAAAAACTTTCAAACCGCCAACGGCCCTAATCTTGAACCATATATACGCCATCAACCAAGCCGGAAACTATAAAAAAAAATCTACGGCATAGTCTATCGCTTCTAGTCTTTCCTTTCCAGCAATAATTCCAGCATATAAGAGTCAGACCTGCTCCGATCAATAATCGCTAAGCACCGTATTCGATATATTTATGTTAATTATTTGATTTATTTTCGGCTATTGCCCAGGATGCATTATCACCCTCACCCCAACTACAATACGGGGTACAACTATCCCCAGAACAGAAACGTTCAAAACCCAAACTATTCTCACTCCCAGGCTCCCCAGGCCTCCGGAATAACGTATAGTGACAACCAGGCGTACCATGTTTACTATCCCAGCTTTCCGGGTATGCCTTATATGTATGGTTATCAGCAACCTCGAAGCCATCATATCGCCGAACGCAACATATTAACCGAGCCCAAGACGGATTCGAAGCCCCGGTTATCCAAGGAAGAGGTCGAGAGGCTTGAGAAGGTGTTCCAGGAAAACCCGAAGCCCTCGAGTTCGACCAAGGGATCGCTTGCTGACGCACTAGGTCTAGATCGGCCACGAATTAATGTATTTAGTTATGTCCCTTGATATCAGAATTACACGGCTAACCCATAGTAACAGAACTGGTTCCAAAATCGTCGCGCAAAGGCTAAGCAGGAGCGGAAACAGGAAGAGTACGAGGCACGAAGGGCAGCGGAGAAGGCTAGCTGCGAGCCCGTATCACCGGATGACGGATTGTCGAGCGGAGTATCTGATCATGCGAACGATAGTGTACGAAGGCGGGTGCAGCCTTCGTCTGCTCGGTTCCCCGATGTCGACACTACCCAGATCGATAGCTCTTTCGACAACGAGAACGACGATTCTGAAGATGAGTCTCCTGACTCCGATGGATCTAACTCTCCCCAGGAGGTCCACGCCACCGAAGCAGTTTCGGATAGTTATCTTGGATTCTCAGAGGTGAACGAATTCAACAACTACCAACATGTCCCTCAAGGCTACTCTCACTCCGAGAACGTGACCGGTTTTGCCGATTATGTAAGTGCGGATGAGCGGTCGCAACATTTCGGTCACAGCCAATCAACTCTTGGGAGCAACAGTTTACCCTCCCCTGAGGAGCAATGCGCGACAAATGAGCACCATAACAACCAGTTTTCTCCTATGATGGACACGAACTTCACACACATAACGCCGCTCCTTCAGTCGCAGCCAACTTTCAGCACACCGAGAATGAGTGGAAGCCCTATACAATCACCAGGTCACGGCGAGAGTCTGAACACGCCGATTAGTGAAGGACAAACGCCTACGACATTGATGCCAACCCCTAATTCTTTCAAGTCTCCTCCGCCTCCTGCCAACATCGCATCCCGACGAAACATTCCACGACCCGCAACTCTCCAAACTGCCTCGCTAAGGAGTCGGTCTTACGGTTGTTATGGCGGTATGCCTAAGACTGCATTAGACGGACCTAAGCGAATGGATCCTTCAAGTCCTATGGCCAGCATACGACGAATCGCTTCTAGTACGGGCATGCACGGCAGAATTCAAAAACAAATCTCCGGTCCTCGGTCGCCTATGGTTTACAATGCTGAGGCATTGTTGGCCTATCAATCTCGTTCTCCGGCTAATTCCATGGCGCCAGCATTCTCGGGAGCGGCACCTCCCACGCCAATGACGCCAGCTGTTATCGACCAACAAGGCATCCGGGAGCCAATCGTGACATCGGCGTGCTCTGAGGATACTTCATTCTTACTGGGCGCTAACCTTCCCACTAACATAATGGAGTTTAAGTCTGAGTCTAACCTTAAGACGCCACCCAGCACTCCAGGAGGCTTATTAAACCACTACGGCAACACTAACAGTTACTCTAACAACCCGTACGCAGCTCGAGTAGACTTTCAGCCTGACCAGCCGATCATGACGCCTTTCTTCACCACCGAGTTTACCGATATGCCTCTACACAGTGTACCCAGCTACGCTGACATGAGCGATGGAAGCCTTCCTACGACGCCTCTCTACCCGATGAACTCTATCCCGGAGCAAAACACGTTCGGTCAAAGCACGATGGCGAACACCCAATTCGACTGGGATACGAACGAGGCCGTCAGCTCATCGAGGTCATCGCCTAACCAGCAAAAGTCAAAGCAGATTCAGTTCACCCAGAACATGACACCTCAAGACTACAACCCCCACACGGACAAACAACAATAAACCAACCGTCTTCACCCGCCATCTGGTTATGTCGAATAGGCCCGTGAGACTTCGGCGGTGTCTCACATAAGCGGGTCTATTGTTGATATCTCGAAATAGCCAGGTGATGATCATTCATACCTTCGGAACCTGCCGTCAAGGTCAGGCTCCGTGTACCAATATTGCACGTTATTTACTATCGAATTTTGGCATTTGCATTCAGTAATGTAATGAACACGGCTAATGCGTTGGGTCTGGATTGGCAAAAACAACTACTGATACCCCGGGATGGGAAAGGGGAGAGAGCAGATCCACCGGAATGCAAGGTGGGAGGGATGTTCGTGTTATCGTATTACTGTTCGTCTTTCGTTTTGGATTGATCCGCGAGGTTCGGAATAAGTCAGTCACCAAGCGCGGGCCATCAATACCCCCATATTAGGAACTTTTAATCAGCCGGGCGTCTTGGGTTACTGTAATGAATTTCTGGAAAGGGGATGACGGATGATGTTGCCACTACTGTTTCCCGACACACACAGGCGTATATGAGGATGTTGGGTATCTGAACCTTGCACTTTTTTCTTTCTTTAACTGTCACATTTATATACATAGCAAAAGGGGAAAAACCAGCCATGTCCGGGCGTTTTAGTATATCTAATGGTGGTTTCGAGCGGATCGTGGGGAGTTGAAGGGTTCGCCTCTGAGCGTTCCTTGTTCAACCTGTTGTTACATACTACGGATGAGAACTCCAAAGCAAATACCTAGTAGCTTAAGTAACGATTAGTTTCCTAAGCACTTGTTTTACCTATTATCAACATTTTCACAACATTTTGATGTTTCCAGCCTACGAATACTTTTGGATAATTCTGGGTAACACTGGGCGACTCGTGATCTATTCTCAACTTCTCATCCCTAACTCCTAATCCCCAATACCTAATACCTACTCCATAACTGATGTTTCAATAGTCTCTCTGCACAGACTTTTCGGTTCCTGGAGGTGGCTGGTTCATGGGCGGTAGTAGAGTGCTGACAAGAGACATACGCTGATCCAGACGTGCAGGAAGAGCGCATATTCGCAGTCAGACCAAATAGGCAGAAGAGATACGATAGCTCATTGGTCCCGCCGGTATGGTAACTACCTCTAGACCTCCCGCTGGTTGTACCAGACTGCCAGATAGCTGTACCGGCACCTAACCCAACGCGGCCTCGCCCACCAAATGCCGAACTTACATCAGACTGAGAGGGCCTGAGGCATAGGCTGACGATCATATCCCCTTTCAGAATATTTAACGCAACCTTCTCCAGCCTGTCTCGCATCCAACTGCCGGAAGGTTCTCCTGCTGCCCGTTTAGGACCCTCTTAAGCCATTTTCATCCATCTTCATACATCTTCATAATACATCTTCATACATCTCCATACACCTCCATACATCTTCCCTACCGTAGCGGACCCGTCGCCGGCACCGTGTAACTTGAACCCCGAGATGACGAGATCTGGACGCCGATTTGTTTAATTTGTTACTAAGTTACAGGTCATTTTCTGATGTAGGTTTTATTTTTGCAACCGCGTATTACGATATCATCGTACGTCCATCCCATCCCGTCCCATCCTATTGACCCCTCTTACGATTATGGGTGGTTCGTTTGCTGTACCTACATTACATGCTACCTACATCTACCTACCTACATATCTGCCTATTCACCTTTCGGGCTAGATGGGGGGGTTGCAAATTTCTCACGATCGCATCTCGGTCGAAAGGCAAGCCTTGCAACAAATTTTGGGCACCCTTCTCGAGTTAGTCCGCCTGTGGTTCTGGTTCTGGCTCTGGCTCTGGCGTTCGCTTGAACCGGTCTTGCGCATGCAGCCTCCTTCGTCGAATCACACCGCATGGCTTGACACCAGCTCAATTACTTTTTACGGACCCAGTTAGTGCCGATGGCTTCGACTGCTAGCCCGTCTGCAGATCTTACAGCGACGTCCAATTAATATCCTCTATGTAACTACTAATAGTCTACTATGGTATGTATGGCACTACTACTACCTACACAACAGCAATCTTCACGATCTAAAAGCCCCATCGCACGTTGTTAGCCTTGCATGTGACATCAGCGCGCCTAAAAAACGCTGCCAGCACGAAATTAAGTCGAAAATTATCTCACCCTGCATGACACGAAAGTTTTTCCATTCGATAGATTTGTCACACGTCGCAGACGCAGACGCAGATGGGTGTGAAGCAAGTCATCTCGTCGAGATCGAGTAAGAAAAAAAATAACGTGCCTTTTCCAATGTGCCCTCTCCAATGTGCCCTCTACAACGTGCCCTTTCTAACGTAAACCGTTGCCCTTACAGCCTGACTAAGCCAAGCAAATAAAGCAACCTCATACTCACACACTAGCCAACCAACCTACTTACCTACTACCCACATCGTCGACGCGCCCCTTACAGGAAGCATGTTTCGATAGTTCACAAGCATGGAGGTAACTTTGCGTACCTGGACTTTCTCACCTTCATCTTATCAGATATAGGAGTGTGGTACGGACCTGGACCATGTCGTCTCGATCACTAAACACTACGACGGTGGAGAAGAAGAAAAGGAAAACCGGTGGCATCTTCCGATGGGACCCGCCGCGCTAAGGTCCGAGACAACCAAGATCCTCCGTGGAGATAGCGATGTTAGACTCGAGAGTGGATTACATTGATCTCTCTACGTGTTCGAAATAGAAATGGTCGTCTACATGAGGTACTTCCAGAGCCTCTGTCTACTTCGCGATACCTACCCACCTACGTCTGGGTTGTTTTTTTCGGTCCCTTCGACGGGGAGGTTCGTTAGACCTCCGCCAGCGATAAATGCGAAACGCCTCTTCTTTAGCGTAAGCGGGTGATCCCGTGGTATGCTTTTCAATTTTACGACTTCACCACCTCGTCAAGTGTTACTCGACAGAATATCATCTCCACGGCGGATATTCTCCCCGTTTACCTTGTTTGCTTAGGTACCTATTCGCTAAGAATAGAATCTACTTGGACAGTGCGTGGTAAGTAGATATTTGTCTATCAGGAAGGAATTGAGCCTCTTCCACACCATCAACCCCGATTCTCCAATTCCTCACTCTCGGCTTCCCGAATCGGTTCCCCTCTCATGTTTTCGTCATACTTGCCGCTTTTCCCCTATTCTCACCACCACCATTCCCTCCTCACCCGTCCCGCTCTCACCATCATCTCCCTCACCCACCCACCTCCCCCCTAATCCCTAACCTCCCTCACCCTAACCCGCCCCCCTAAACCTCCCTCCTAACCCCCTCCCAACTCCCCCTAACCTCTAGCCCCTAACCACCCCCCCCCCAAGCCCCCCAACCCCCCCAAAACCCCCAAAGTCCAATAAAACCCCCCCACCCTGCCCCAGCCCAACGCCCCAGGCCTCAAAACCCCCATCTCCACATGCAGCACGCGCGCCACAAACAGCGATGCCAGGATTCCCTTTAAAAGGCGCGGGGAGGCGCCGTTGAGCTCGGCGATGGTGGACAGGGTTAGGGCCAGGGGGATGTATTCGGAGAAGTTCTGGTGCGCGCGGGTTGAGAGGTGCAGGGGGTCGGAGGTTGTGTGGATTTCTTCTGCTGGTTTTGGGGGTGGAGGGGAAGGGGGTGGGGGTGAGGTTGAAGGGGTAGCTGAAGATAGAATAGGGGGAGGAGAGGGAGAAGGGGGAATGCGGTCCCCGATCGCGACGCGGTGCTTGATGCGCTGGACTGCGACGCGGATCGATAGCACGATGTAGTATGCTGCGAAAGGCAGGGCGAAGGCACCGGTTACGGCTGGGCGAGGCGTTAGTTGGGAGATGTGATTACCTCATCGTATGGGCTAGGGGGCTTACGGAGGGGGAGGTTGGGTTGCGATGGCATTGTTTTGGATGTTGGTTGATGCCTAGGTAGGTAGGTGGTTTGGTGGGTGGGTTGTTGGTGAGAAAATCTCACGGAAGACTACTTTGGAGCTTTGGTTTAGGTAGGTAGGTAGGTATTGGAAGTAGTGACTTCGAGATACTCTGATGTTGGCTTGGCGATCTTTGAGGTTAGAGGATATTACGCTGCTTCGTGAAACGATTTGATATTGTCTCATCGTATATCTAAACGTTCCGCAATCTTCTACACAGCCTCGCCGGACGCACGACGTGGTGAGCCTTTTTTCAGCATCGGAGAATATGTTATTCCCAGTCCATCCGTCAGAGCTCGAGCTGACATGTATGCGATCTCACTCGGGGATAACAAAGGCAATAATTTGTATCACATGTCATAGGCGCTCTTAACCGGCATCAACGGGTCACAACTTCATCGTGACCTCTTGAGTAACGGTAAGAGCTAAACACGACGATGGCGCTAGTCGCGTTAAAAAATGAGGTTATACGGATATAGTTGCTTGGCAACCTCCATCTCTCGTGGAGGTGGATGTCGTGAGCCTCGCTGGTTATACCCTGAAGAGGCAGCCTTGGGCGAAATTGGCAGGTCAGATTACTTAATGTCGCTGATTTAAGGATCCCGTACCTGGCTAGAGCTCGCTATCGGTACTTGACTATAATTTGCCGTACATATGTAGGATGACCGTGGAGAAGTTCGCCTTACTCTCAGCCGGGATTACTGAGGATGACTCAGAAGCGCAATTTCGCATCCTGGTCGATAACGGTACATGATTCTACGAAGCTTTCGACTTGAACCCGTGGCATATTTCATTGGTGCGCAGTGTTATGTACCTAGATTGATGCAGAACACCTCGTTTTGAATATCTTAGCTGAGATTATAACGTCATTGGTACCATACCCCTGGGTACTTACCTGGTACCTACATGAGTCTTGAGACTTCTTATACGATGAATATGACGGCTCATGTAAGAATTTGTCAACGTGGATGGAGAGTCGAGTTAGCCATTATTCAGCAGACGATGAGACATGGTTTATACATCCTATTAAATCTGAGATTATGTCATGACTTCACCTCGGTGTAAATCGGTAGCCTAATGAAGTCACCTTGAGTGATGAGGATATTACCATCAGACATGTTTTCAATGCCATCATAGAAATAAATCATGTATTCATGTTAATAAAAGCGTAATTCAACCGAGTCAGTGAAGTCCGATGATCTAAGTATAGAAAATGTCTCTTGTTCATTAAAGTCCTTCAATGGCGTCTATATTGTTTCAGCTAGCCAAGAAATCTAGAGTGGTGACGTTTATCCAAAACTACAGTTTTATGAGTTAATCTCGGTTTCGAGATGTCGGAATAGATCATTCAAGCTTTTGTGTAAGAGTGTCGGACTATGGATTGACTGTTTTTCTCCGCCGACATGAACACGGCCAATCTATCTCCGAATATTGAGAATTGCAGCACTTCTTAGCGCATGGCGGTATCTCCATGGAAATTATAACAAAGTCTAAATGATAAGAATAGCCCAGTCGTTTGCACTGTGGTCTCATTTAAGTGTAGCTGGTTAATACTTCCATATCGCTTACAATACGACCATTGAAATCAACTTCTATCTGCTAGTGAGTGTGAATCATGAAGTGTTGAAGAACAGTCTCTCAGTAGTTCTGTTTGGTGAATAGGGGTATGTGAAAACCAGTCTTTATGAAATCGCGAACCTTTGAAACCATCAATACACACGCAATCGGGTCTTTCATGACTATTAACACTCATTTCCCTCGACACCTAATCATCAGATCAGGTTCTAGATTATATCTGAACTTGTATCTGTTACTACGTAGGTACCTACTTGAGTGATGTTATGAACCTTTCTTTTGTCATGCGGAACTCTAGCTCTGCCCCCTCCTAAAGGGGGTACCCCAGATGTCCTATACGCCAACATGCGTCATAGCCGACGTGTAGTTGGTTAGATAGCTACATATTCACACGTCCTACCTGGATGTTAACATGCTCATCATTATTAAATGATGTTACTAAGATAGAGTAGTTACCTATACAAACTTTCATGAAAGGAGTAGTTTAGTTTAGTGCGAAATTAGAGATACTTATCACTTGACTGGTAAGTTGCTCTGTTGCTCTGTTCGTCATGCCCATATATCTGCAAAACTCATGAAGATATAACCGCTTTTCTTAACTTCATGATAGGAGGCGGTGGATACCATCTTATAGCTTTCGGCTCACTGCTAGAGATGTTATCGGTCACGCTTTCTCCTTGATCATCATGCCCTTATATAGAGACATCAAGTCATCTATCTGTGCATTAGGTGATGAGCCTAGTATCAGTCTCCATGCCAAAGTGATGAGTTAAGGCTATTTACTTTCCTCTGATAGTTACCTATACATATTCATCTCGTATAAAGTTGCCCCTGACTAGGGGGACGTCACATGGCTTGAGCAACCTTCAAGGCAAACTTTATTGCAAGTTATCTACACCAGTTCATATTTAAGGATACACCATGAACATAGGTAATTAGACGACAAAGGTGAAGCAGACCATAACTAGGTACTTTCGATATCAAGATTGGGATATGAAAAAGGGGTCGTAAAGCCCCTGCAAATTTCATGATTTCAAAGCCCCCACATTCACATCACAGCCTTAAGTCTTGAACTTCAGTTCCTCTTCAACTTGCCTTTAAGATTACTCTCGTATAGTATATACCAGCAACCCCTTAAACAGGCGTCTTCACATCCAAAGATGAATCTCAGAGTAGGTCCCCTCTCCCCCCTTTTCCCACCCTCCCCCCTTCCCTTTCACCCTCTCACCCCTTTCCTCCCATCCTTTCCGCTTTCCTCCTCTCAACCCCCTAAACACCAACACAATAATTATACCCAATAACCAAATTCGTGCAAGCCGAATTAACACTCGGATTCCAGAGCAAGAAATTCGCCACGGTGATGCCCTTCGCCTGAGCAATAGCGTAGCAGTAGTCTCCCTCGACGACCTTGTAGCACGCGACGCAGTTACTCACGAGACCGGGCTGCGTCGGCGCCGGACACGCGGGCTGTGCGGGGGCGAGGCCGACGCACACGGTTTCGCCCGGGTAGAGATTGTGGCAGTCGCTGGCGACTTGGGGGTTCCAGGAGTAGCTGGTTGGGTGTTAGTTTTGGTTTTTTTCTTATATTATCTTGTTGTGAGAAGGGGGGGCTGGTTAAAGAGCGGTGACGTACAATTGCTCGAGCGTGAAGGTGTTGCCTAGCTTGCCGATGATGGCGTTGCAAGTATCTCCCGAGACTACGGAGTAGGTTTTATTGCCTATTCGCATTGAATATGTTAGTGATTCTCTTTTTTATCATAGAGATGCGCAGGATGTAGGGGGGTCGTACAGTTTGCGACGTAGCCCTGGCGCGCGACTAGCTGAGAGATCTCAGTCGGCGCGGCGAAAGCCTGGTTGGCGGCAAGAGCCAGAGCGGCGATGATGGTAGTGATGGCGAGCATGTTGATTATTATTATGATTATACGTATGTATATAAGTAGGTATTGATTATCCTCGAACGAATGTCGTTGTTGTGAGTGATGATGCCTTCCGTGATAGTAATGAGGTGACGGTTCAAGCCTCTTATATACACCAAGCCAAGCTCTCCTTAGCCACGATATCCCCAAGAAAAACCTCATGAGATGAGACGACGGAGCGGATTAGGCCGCACTCGCGTAGAAGATCCGAGCATTAGGCAAGTCTACCTGATCTAGATCCAGGACTGGAGTGTTCCCCATGACTTCATGGATTTCTCGTGTATTACCTGAAGTAACCAATACTACATCGTAACAGCCCCTCCTAGTATAAGACATTTCTGGTAATGGGTAAGGCATACCGCTATGTAAGCCGCACCTCTCCGTCACGAGGCCCTATTGCCTATTCTGTGTTACCCGCCTCGGACTCCCTTCGGCAGTCGAAGGCCGTCAATGCCAGGGCGACAAGTGGCGAGCGAACGACCTAGCAATGATCCTTTCCCGAGAGCCTTTTGGAAACGGCCAATTGCTAGAGGCGGACATAGTTCGCGAGGTGCAGCTTAGGATCTCGAGTTCTCATCTCATCAATCGGATCATGACAGGATATGTCCTGTATGGGGTAAGGGTTATAGGTGCTAGTAGGTAATGTGTAAATGTAAGAGGGGAAAACAGGATCGAAACCGGATAAGCCTTATTCTGATAGTTCGTATATACCATATACCCGGCTCCAGGGCTGAAGAGAAGAGTCGAACGATGGCAACATGATGTTGCAATCGGCGGTAACTATGAGTAAAGAGAATTCAAGGCTTGTCTCCGCCTAAACGACGACTTCAGCCTTATTCGAACCCAAAAGAGACTTACTGTTTCTACATAAGTAGATGTAGGACTAATTGGGTAGAAAGAAGGAAGAAAGAGGGGAAAACATGGCGTCTGGGACACGGAGTTGGGGTAGAAAAAGCAGATACGTAGGGCAGCAGCAGCTAAAATCGCCTCCATCCCCGGATCCGAGCCAATGCGACCCTAACCCTGGACCACTCGGCCTGTTCCGGTAAGAAATAGCTCTATAGCTACCTCGTATGAAGACTGCCTATAGGAACAACTCTTCCGCCCTAGCTAGGTAATTGCAACATACACACTTCATAGCTTCATTCCAGCTAGCTAGCTAGCTAAAGACGAGGGTAGAGCTGAGATGCTACGCCGTAGCGATACATACATCCATACGTAGAAAATCGAAAATTAGATCTCGAGTTGCCAAGTTCTACGCTTGTTTCCCCGCCCAGTTCGGCCGACAAATCTACCAATACCGATGCGACGCGTGAGTCGGTGAGCCTTTGATTGGCCTATACCATCTAAGCGTCCTTACGAGCCACGGCACGACCCAATTGGCCCTTCCCACACAGAAACTAACTTCCTACCTATGGCGCATAAGTAGCACAAAAAAGATTATATGTAAGAAGAGAACATAAATCCCCCGTCTTACTCAGCTACGCAGATATAGTTAATTAGGTGGGTTATACCAAGAGCCTACCTACCTAGCACCTCTCTACCTCTATAGCTTATGGACTATTATATGGAATGACGTAGAAGGAAAGACGTGGTTCGGGATATGCGGGCGACCTCGTATTCATCTCCGCATTCAACTCATATCACCAGAGCTGCTCGACGAACAACGCGATGGATGGAGCAAGTGATCATTTCCACTTATGCTACGTTGCTATTGTCCATATCCCAAGACGCTAGATGAAGAAGTCGAAAAAAAATCGTGATAGGACATCGTGCGGGGGAAATCCAGTTCACGAAGTTTGCTGATTCTAAGCGTAGTTCAGCCTCATCTAAAGGTCCTAGGAAGTTCACAATGGATCACAAGGGATGGATATGATCCCTTAATGCACGTGGTATTCACCAAAGCCTTCAGCAAAAGGACTGCAATTCATAACTCACTGAGGTATAGCAAGACACCGATCCTAGTACGTAGTAGCCGAAGTGACGGCAAGCATGCTTCGCAGCAACCACCTGTGTATCCCATTCATTCCCCATTCATTTCCCATTCATTCCCGTTCATTTTCCATTCCATGTCCATACGCCATCTCATCTGGATTAGCCAGCAAATCCATTCAGATAACCCATCCAGGCCAATCAAATCTCCCAGACGAGGACATCGACCCCAGACTTAGGAAAGCAATTGCATGACGTCCTCTAGATGACTAGTCTCCTTCTGCTCTCTCACTTTGTCATTCAGGGCTAGGTTCGCAAACCTTCGCTTCTTACTTTGGATGCTAAGCACGCGCTCTTCGATGGTGCCGTCCATCACCAGCTTCCAGACCGTAGTCGGGCGAGTCTGTCCGAGTCGATGAACGCGATCGATAGCTTGGTCTTCTATGGCTGGTGCCCACCCTATATCGATATTAGTATCAAAGCCCGAATAGAACTTTAGGGCAATAGAAAGCGAAATCAACTTACAGGAATCCACGAGGATGACCGTATCAGCAGCCACCAAGTTCAGACCAACGCCGCTCGCAGCCAAACTAGCAAGCATGATTCGAGTGTCTGGGTCATCGTTCAATGCTTCGATCGACTCATCGCGTCTGGCGATGGTCATTGAGCCCTCGAGGCGGCAGTACTTGTGGCCGCTCTCATCCAACAGCTTTGCGATGATACTGAGGAACGAGGTCCACTGCGAGAAGACGACAATTTTGGACTTCGGGTCCTTGAGCTTTGCGTTTAGAATCTTCTCCAGCGCCTCCGTCTTCGAGCTTCGCGTATCTCCGTCGAATTTGTCCTCCAAGTCCACTGGTTCGAGGCCGACAATTGAGTCCTGCGCTAGGCGCTGACGGCACATCGGGCATCTGGAGTTATGCTTGAACGCCTCCAGGATGCAGGCTCTACCGAACCGATGTTTACACGCCGTGATGATGGGGTCGTGCATACTAATCGCATCAGTACAGATCGGGCACTCTTCTCCTTCATTGTTGGCAACAAGGAGAGCCTGTTGGAGAATCTTAAGATTCTCTCGAGTGAAAGAGACGACTTTCTGCCCCTCGAGAGGTCTCAAGATGTCTTTTACCTGACCTCCGCACAAGGTCCAATGGCAACACCTGCAAACTAGTCGTTAGTTACGGTAACGTGGACTTATCTAACCTGAACGATGCGTCCATGGTAGTGCGCATATCACTTACATTTGTCTAAGGCGCAGAAGCTTCTCCAGCACGCTCGTGAATCCAATCTCGGCTCCCCCTCCTCGCTCATTTCTGTGCCGATACTGCTCCAGCATTTCAGTGGTTTCAGTACTAACAAGCCATCGTCAGTATGCTTTCCCTAGAGATTGTCTACTTCGTATACTCACAGCAGAGACCCATACATGTCCTTCTCATCTTGTCGGAACTTGATGCGATACAGGTATTCCGTCTTGGGGGGCAACTTCAGATCAACGAACTTCATGTCCTTTCTACGGCGAAGGCACAGATCTGTTGTCAACAACTGGAACAACTTCGTGGCAAACTTGTAGTGCTTGTCATCCTGACCCCTCGGACCGTTAGACAAAGGCTTATCTATCAGCTGAAGAAAGAACCTAGCTTCTTCAATACCCCCAGTTATCTGAAGGAACTTCAGCGCAGATAGGAAGTCTTTGGGTGAGTTAACGCTAAAGTTGTACCGTATTAGCTTTGCTTCGTACAAGTCGAGGGGGTTGGGGTTAAGCACTATCATAGACTTACATCGGTGTACCGCTCAACATCCAACGGGACTCAGCCTTTAAATCGAACACAGCTTTAGCCCTGGCGGTCGAATAGTTTCGGATAGCATGTGCTTCGTCCAGGATGATACGTCTCCAATTTACAGAGAATAATGGACCATTCTTGACTTGATCGCTGCGCACCTTGTCGTAGGTAGTAACAACAATGTTGAATCTCTCCAAGTCGCTACCTGAGTAGGAACCGGGCTTGTGGTATTTGAAGATGGTGGGGGTGTCAACGTCTTTGACGTGATGCCAGATCTGCTGCTCCCAGTTGCTCATCACACCAAGGGGAGCAACGATCAGAGTTGGGCCCTCGTTAACACTTGACATTATCAGACTAATGATCTGTAGAGTCTTTCCCAGGCCCATGTCATCGGCAAGGACACCACCCGATGCCAATTTCGGCGGGTTCTGCGTGATGTGGTTGGAGGCCAGATTAATGAAATTTCCACGTCCAGTTCGCTTCCAAAGTTGGACAACGTTCTTTGATCCAAGGGCCGGAGGTTGTGGATTCTCCTTGGCGATCATCCAAGCTAGTCCCTGCAATAGTTGTTAGTAAGTCGGTTTTAGAGGGAATATGATGGGTCTTACTTGAAGTTGGTAAGGTAGTAGCTTGGACTTGATGGCGCTGGGTTGGAGTGCTTTGGGTAGCTTCGACAAAGAATCTTCGCTCTGAGCGAATACATCAATAGAACTGAGGTCGCCCCTGAACTCGATAGCCTCACTGTCTACCAATAGATCCTGGAGCACATCTCCTTGCAGCCCACCTTCATCGCCCGGTAAGCCTACGGTAGTAGCGTTGGCTCGTAGACGCATAGCGGCATCCCTCTGAGCTTCCGCATGGTTCCTAGTCCGCTTAAGCTGGGTAGCCTTGATGAGCTTATCATTTTTAAGCCTCTCCTCCAACTGAAGACGGGCCATAGCATCGCTAGTACCGTAAAAGTACAAGCGAACGGGACATTCCCAGGTGCCCTTCTCACCCATGATGACGCCTTCTAGGATGATCTCATCCCTGTCGACATACGGCGCAATCTTTGCTGCTACCCTTCTAGAAATGTGACCAATCTGTGTTCGCATGACGTTATCAACGCGAATGGCATTACGGTCATGAGGGTTGGTGGGTTCGCGACGGCAGATAACCTTCTCGCCGACGTTCACGACTCCTTGGTAATATCGAATGCCTACAATCTTGCTGTCCAGAGTTCCGTAGAGCTCATACGAAGAGATATCAGCACCCCGGTTGGGCTCGGGGACATCTTCATCATCTACAGCCCACGACTCTCTCGGCGGTTGACGAATAGCGTGGCCTAGAGACGAGGGAGGGGGTTGGGATTGAAAATTGAAAGGTTGAGACTGAAAATTGAAAGGTTGGGATTGAAAATTGAAAGGCTGCGGGATATTGTTGTACAGAGTCGATCCCATATAAGGGGTATGAAAAGGTGTCTCGTTGAAGCGTGGAACCTTGGAGTGAGATTCTCCCGCAGGTTGCGCCGCGGGATGACGCTTTGGCGGCATGGTGGATATCAATTTAGATCGAGTAAGACAAACGGTCTCTGATGGTTGATTAATTGATTCGAATGAAAGTGGAGGGTGCGTCTACAACGAATTTGACATTTAATTTGAGCTCCTCGGATCGTGGATGTCTCAAATTAAATATTTTGTTGTAGAGAAAAAAAGGTGGAAGGAGACAAGTAAAAAGACGAAAGTAGAAAGACGAAAGTTCACCACTTTATCAGTTTACCTACCTGTATGATTTTAGGAGTCGACGCGTTTTTTGGGTTCGGTTCGCGTTTGCTTTCAATTAAGTTTATTAAGTTTACTAAAGTTGTTAAAGTCTGGCACACGACGAACACCTCGAAATCACGTGCCAACCCTGCTGCATACTAGGTACCTAGGTACCTAGGTATTGTCCCTGGTTCCTGTAAATGGTTGGATAAGAAGTATTCACGATATAACATCCATGGGTGAGTACCAAATATTTGGTGTTTTTAGAAAATTGAGTCATTCCTAAGTAGAATATCTTTATATTGATTCGATGTCGCACTATAAACTTGTTACCTCATCCTTCGCCTAAACTATTTCGGTTCGGCTGACTAACGAGGTAACGGTACATAGTACATAGTACATAGTACATGGTACCAGCGGTACCTGTGTCGGCTGTCGGGATCTCGCAATGAAACTTAGCCGCTTGTTCGTTGCCGTTCTCAATCCTGTGCACTGTATAAGTTCAGTGTGCCATATTTGAACCTTGCAACTACGCCGGGTTTCAACTCGGAATCATGTTCAATTTTAGTATGTGAGGTATTAAGATATGAGATAACCTGAATTAAATATACATATTCCAAATAAGATGTTCATTCTACATTTTCACTTGAAGATAATACTAGTGTACCTAGGTACTTACAACACGGTACGTACCTTGTCCACCTTAAGCTGCTTGGGTGCCGTCTTACAGGTGTTTGTACAGTGGAAGTACAGTGCCTAAACTGTACGGCTACAGGCCGATTTCACCATCAAGACCCGACGAATGGGACAACACTGCGATGGTGCAATCCGAGCTAGGCCAAATCAAAGAGACAGAGCAATGCTAATATTGCGAAACGAGCCGCAACAGCACGACTTCTCTTCCTTTTCCCAACTTCACCTCATCTTGTCACTCAGATTCATAGAAATACGAATTTGCAAGTTGGATTCATTCTCATTATTCATATCTACCGAAAACGAGCTATCCTGCCTTCCTATGGACGACCCGCTTCATCGACGCTTACATGAAGTCATGTTTCTGCCTCCTAAGCTTTTAGGCCATACCTAGTACCGTGGACTTCAACATAAATGATTACTAATAAGATGGAAAGGGGGTCGGGAGCTTCCATGTTCCCTCGCCATATATTACAAAGTCATCATACCGTCTCGCTGAGAAATACCCCAAACTCCGTACATACAAATTCCTTCATGGTCTCATCATAGCTTACAAGTCGCCTAGGCCTGCACTCGTTCGCCATGCGACGAGTAAAGACCACATTTCACGTGTGTGCTCTTACCCGTCTTGGGGTTGAAGATGTAGCACCCGTTCTTTGCTACGTTGGGAGGAGTGTATACTATCGACGTTAGCCAAGTGGTACGAGATGATATACGCTTGAGATGAGGGACCTACGATGTAGGGAGACAGCGAAGTCGCTACCTCGGTTGGACACTTGATGAAGTCCAAGCTCGTCTGCCATGTAGGCGACAGCATTCTCCTTGTGGACATGTTCCGATTTTACTTCCATTGGCTTCTCTGTATCGCCGTTGGGATGTTCGTATCGAGTCTCGGTGAGGTCGCCGCGAAGGATCTTCATTACGCAATGAGCATTGCCGTGGTCGTGGATAGCGCTGCCCTTTCCGGGTGTCCAGACTAGCACGAGCTATATTGGTGGACTGGATCAGTATTTTGTTCTTTTTTTTGTTCAAACAAATCGATCAAAGACGAGAAGGTCATGGCTTACCAAGTTCGCTTTTCCGTTACCCTCGTCGACGAGATTTCGGGTGTATCCCAGACTGCCGTCTTCCATCGCATACATGGACCACTCCTTCTTATCGGAGATATATCGTTCCATGATATGGGTTAAGTCTTCTACGTCGATATCATCCGAGGTCAACCCCGACGACGGTCCCAATACATCCTTGATGTCCTTCACAAGTTGTTCGAAGCGGTTCATCTTGATGGATTTGTATTTGGATTTTTATGGTTTGATGAAGATCAGCTTTAGGTTTGCTAAATATGTTCGATATCTAATGGTATTGGATATAGAGAGTGAACTTGGATGGTGTGATGGTGTGATGGCCTAGAGTGTTCTCGGTTGAGGTCTATCATCAATTGGAGAATATATAGGATATGGGAATGGAGAAGCGGTGTCAGCATTGGTCTGTCATGTTTTGCAACCTTTGTGACAAACTCCGCTTTTCTCTGCACACCTGGACGAACACCTCAATCTGCTCAACGTCCCTACCTTCCATACCTTTCCTACCTTGGTAATCATGCTAGGTTGTTGCACTGCCGATTACCGGGCGTGTCGGGGAAAGGAATCACCTGCAGTTTCCATTTTCCCCTTATCATTACGATCGTTGGAAAAATTGGAAGGACAGAGTCGCCGATAACTAACGCAACGCTTTTTGATTGGTTAGGACCGGTACCATGAGGGACACTGGTACGTAATCGTGGCCTGTTTTTTTAATTCTTTATTCTAGCCATGTTCTGGGCTAGTCGCACGGACTAAATTTGGAAAGATGTTTTCTAGAAAATTTTGGCAAAGACAACAACAAGTCTTATGACGAGGAATTAGGTACAAATGACAAAGCTCTTTTTGAGTCGATTTCCATGATTGTTTTAACAATTGGTGAGATAGTGATTTGTACCGTCTGGTTTCCGAACATGAGAAAGGGGTACTGGAAATCCGGGTTTAGCCGATAAGACCGAGTGACCTGTCGCCTCAACCCCACTAGGGTTAGATACCGCCGCGATACCCCCTGATTAAGGCTTATCTAATGCCCCGTTTCTTGCGCCGGTCGTTGTTCGTTCCAATTCACAAAACCGAGAGAACACCTGACGAGATCAGACTTTGGAGATCAGCCATTGCATATGCTAGTCCTAGTGACCTGTCTGCAAAGTCTCTAGGGACGTGGAAAGCAATTACAATTTAGGCGACCATAATATCAATACACTTCATAGTGTTAGGACATGCAAAACAAAATCGAAATATCTGCTCAAATCCTGGGCTAGCCGGTACCGCTCTGGCTTGTTCACTGACCAAAGATTCAATCGGCACTTTAGTACTGGGTAGTTCATGCTACGTCTTCTTGGCACTCTCACCGACGATCAATTGGTTCAGTAACATTCCCCGAGGCGCATATGTGTCCTCTGACACTGCAGACATTGACAATCAAGGTAACTATCTCCACTCGAACAGTGGGTTGAGCAATCCAATATGGATGCTTACAGAATACTGCGTAGGTATCCTTCGTGTTTAGGATCTCTCCTCTTTTGCAATATGGCCTACGATCCGTATTTTCTAGGCGTGCCTAGAAAATATATACCTAGCATACAAGATAAGCTTGCTGCTTTATCACATCGTGCATAGTACGGGGCATTTGTATTAACATTAGTGTACCATATCTTCGGCATTGAGGGTCACGTCGATTGCCTCGTGCCATTATACCGGGGATGGCGGGATGGTACCATACCCGGCACCGGACCGGAGTAAGCTGAACAGTACGATACCCCCCGCTTACCGAAGGAAACGTGGCGGAGTCTGCCGACGCTCAGTGTCAGTAGGATTGCGAAGTTACTGCTCGAGCTTGAGCTCGAGCTCTCTATCGTAGTAATTTGGCTCCTAATGAAGTACAATCCCAATTCGATCTTTATCATGCCATGAATTAACTCACAGATCGAAGACGAATCTCCAACGAGTCTATGATAGCTACCGTGTGGAAATCCATGGTTGCTAACAAGAACATACGCCCTTCAAATCTCCAACCTATCTGCCTGTGTGAACCGTAGTGGAATTAATTACCGATCTATCATACTGGATGGCTAAGGTCGTAGATCTAGTTAAATACGCCGACACATTATCCGGGTCAATGCCGGACCTAGAATAGACTCGGGTAACCATTATATAAAGATCGGTACCGTAGTCATTTATCGACTAGAAATTCGGCCGGATTCCGCGGAGTATAGGGCTCGGGTCCCGGAGCGGTCGTGAGACTACAATTCTAACAGCGCCTAAATTTACAGCAGGTATCTTTTAGCTATCAAGTGGCTCGTCACGGAACTGCACTGTGTTCTGGATTGGAGGATGTGCAAGTTTATCTTAGATCCGGTATGGGTAAGATCGGAAGAATATATAGACCGAAAAGTCTACGCGAATAGGAGGAAATGTGTGCAATTGTCTCGATACCTTACAGATTCATCTCGAGGTGATCTGTGGAGGAACCCATCCGTGGATGTCTCAGTAATAGTGGGAAAGTGCACCTAGACAGCCTGTTCTCCGAGACATTGGCGTTAACGCCACACGAGATCCGAGATAACCGGAAGATATATGTAGATGCTCGGAAATTATGGTAGGGTAGAACTACTCTTCACGAATAAGACTAGATCTATTAATATCGTCAATTAGAAATATAAAAACACGGGCGGGATTTGATGACGACGACAGCTTGACTCAATGCAGCATCCGATTTGCCTCACCCCGCAACTTAGAGAAATTCTACAAATTAGAGATCTCTCAGCCCTCCTTTTAAAGAGTTGCCTGCCCGCGTCGTACATGCAGGATCAAATTTCCCACGCCATTCATATGTCGCAGATGTAGACATACAAACCGGACCACAAACTCCCCTTATTGAGGAACTTGCCGTAACTTACCACTGTTCGTTGTCCAACCTATTTTTCCATACCACTCCCAAGTCGGCAGATAATGATAATAAAAAAAAGTGTATCCTAAATACCATAGATAAATACCTACCCAATCAAGAAATCACATTTAAAGACAAATCAAAAGCTCAATCCTCCCTACGTCCCTAGCCTAAGACTTACAGGACCTATCCACCCCCGACATGGCTAAATATGGGTCTCCTAAGCCCCGTGACGGACCTAATCTCGATCGTCCAGCGAGCTAACAGCCGTCCGGGTCCGGTCAGACGCGGCATTACGTCGAGATCTCGTAATCCGTGCGTGTAGCCACACCGCGTCATAGACTTTTCCTCTCGCGTTCGCTCATTCCCCAATTCTCTCCGACTGTCAAGGTTACGCGCATCCCTGACACTTAACAGGCAAATTACTGCTACTACGGTGCTGGAAGTGTCTACATGCAATTATATGCACTTACCTAAGGCAAACTGGTAACGAACCAATCTCGTACGAAACCTAAACTCGCACCAAGCATCCTTCCAACGACGCAGCCAATTCTATGACTCCTTTAAAGAGATGATTCGTCAGTAGTGTAACAATGCAGTGTGCCAGGAACGGCGTTCATAGGTTCATCTCCCCGCGTTTCATGCTCGCAGTGCAGGTAAATCCTGATTCGGTGCTACAGCCATATTCTCGGTGAGAGCCGGAGTCAGAGCTTCTATCTGCATGTATGGCTGTTTGTATGTGTACGTATGAGTAGCTAGGAGCCGGTCCTGCCAAACAAGTTGCCCTTTAGCATTCCTCGCCTCAGGTACCGGTACCTCTCAAACGTCACCGACTCACTATCGTCCCACGAAAGCCTCCCCCGCACATTCGTGCATTACAAAGGAGACCCCACCATCGTCATTGAACTCCCTAAGAGCTCTAGGCCCAGGCCTTGGTTGGATGGTCAGAAGTCCAGTGTTCATTCTGTGTATTGATCGGTCGAATGTTTAAAACTCAACTGGGTCCCCTGTTTATTTCTGATCTTGTTTCTCTTTTTTTACGATTTGTGTCGTATTGTGTTTAGATCTCAAGAAACAATTTCGGGAGTTTAGTAAAGAAGGTTCCAGGTTGTTCGGATATAAATCCAGAAGCTCATATTTGAGAGGTCTCACGCATACGAATTGTAGCAACAATGGAACGACTTCACCATCGTATGTTCGAGATACGGAAATGAGGGAGCTGGCGCTAATACACGGAATAGTAAACCCATTCGCCAAGCGCGATTCTCATAGCAAGAACACTGTTATTACTTGGTATGTGATAGTTTCCCTGTTCAACGAAAGTAGCTGACGATGTGATAGTGTGTGGACCATTTCCTCAGCTTGGATCCTGTGAATGTAATATTAACATATAACAGACAAGATATTAACGATAGTCACTTGGTTGCTGTCTATCATTGTCTCGATCTACTATACCTTCGAGAAGCCTCACGATGGTGCCTGGCCTCGTCATAAGATATGGCACCAAAATGATAAGTTCCACACAGCATTTCGGCTAAATTCTATCATCGCCAGCATCTATTGGTAAGATGGAACCGACCACATTGTATCGTGAGGTACCTGTCTAACAATTGCTGCCAATCAGGATCGTCCTCTTCGTTCTCCAAGGAGGATATATCGCTCATCTATTCTCTGGAACCGTGGAACACGTGAACGCAGCATGTTCGGTGGGCAGCCACTTCATCGTCAACAATCTGTTCCACTTCGCTTTCGTAATGTTATTCGTACGCTCCTATTTCGGCTGGGCGGAGCTATTCATCATTCTCAATTTCTTCAACCTGAGTTCGCTATACTTCCGCCACCCAGGCTATGCTCGTTTCATCCATACACCTGTCGTATCAGGACCACTGGCATGGACTTTTGTTGCGATATATTGGAACGGGGCTATTATGGTGCCTCATCCCGACACGCTGGTTGCCCGCATATTCGGCAACATTTTCATCTGGTCGATCTTGGTCTACGGAATGTTTTTCATCGTCGTTTACAAGGCAAGCAGAAACATTGTCGTTATGTATACACTTATACACAGACCTAACGTTTATAGGACTATACCATGGGGTTTAACCTTAGCGTCCTCTCGGCGGCGATTGGAGTATCCCAATTCTTACGACAGGTTATTGCGTTTCAATGGATATTCGCTTTCGTCATTATGGCCGTTCTATTCATTGCTACTCTCGTTATTGCTGTGCCTGCGGCAACCGGTAGAGATATCAAGTTCGCGAGAGCTCGCGGGGGTGATACCGAACGAGCTCCGCTTCTTGGTGAGAATTAGGGGATGATATGGGGAGATGATAGTAGCTCTTGCTACTCATTAATTGTGGAAGTTGAAAGAAATTTTGGGAGTGTGATTCATGGATATCAAGTAATTTGAGATGCATTATGTAGTTTGGTTGGCAGAATGGCGTTAATGGGCTGATAGGCGAAAAAAATAGTGAAGAATTTGAATTGAATATCGAAATATTGAAATGTCGAAATATACCTAAATACGAAGTACATATGTCGTTACACAGCAAATTCAATGTGGGGTGATAACGATAAGAATATGGTGGATACCTACAGCACCGAACATCATTACCCACTTAAAAAATTGAACGTTAAAAAAACAATATTCAAGTATTATTTACAATCTGGACGTCGAATACCAAATTCTTTTTCTTCATCATGGGACTTCCTAAAGTCCCAACTCTGAGCGTTGGCACAGATATTTGCCAAATATCTAGAATCCTCGCGATCCTGATGAATGAGAGTGGATCTAAATTTGTTCGTCGCATTCTTACCGAAGAGGAAATGAATCTCGAGAGGGGCAAATCGATTCTTAGCGCCGTCTCTCACAAGCGACATACATTAAGGAACCCGTTGAAGTATAAAGCAGAATATGGTAGATCGTCTCAGTCAACTATCAAAGCATTGGAAAAGGCGGCCCAGTACATGGCTGGCAGGTTGGTGCAATGACCCACAAGAACTGGCTCGAACGAGATAACTTACCTCTTATGTTAGATGGGCAGCGAAGGAAGCAGTTAAAAAGGCCTACACCGTCCGCAGGATAAATTTCCTTGATATCGAGATCAAGTACGAGCCAGAGCTGATTCATGGCAAAAACGCTGGAAAGCGTCCCAATCCGGAGCTTACCCCAGAGGAACCTTTGGACTTGGAGGAAACTCCCGAAACTCCTGAGACCCCTGAGATTCCCGAATCTCCTGAATCTTCTGAATCTGTTGACTCTCCTAAAAATGAAAAGGATACATCATTATTGCTAGGATTCAAACCTATATACACCAACTGGGGACCGCCAATCGCCATCATTCTCGGCAAGGGCGTCTACGAAGATCAATATGTGCGCATTAGTATTAGCCACGACGGAGACTACGCCATAGCTTCATGTGTGGTGGATTTAACAGAACCAAAACGCTTGAAGAGCGAAGAGCCAGATAAAAGTCAAACTGAAGCGGATCAAGCCAAAATCCAAGATCCCTCTGTATCCGGTATATAGGCTGGTTTATCTTCTGGATATGTACAAGGGGGGCCTCAGACAATGGGAACTTAGGTCTGGTACTGCATTCCGGGCAGGTTGGGGAAGATATTGAAACTAGGGGATAAATGAAAAATTCGGTATTTTCACCTCAAAATCACGGGGTTGCTATCAGTAATGGGGGCTGAGAACTGTAAATACAAAGACACTGGTTATATACGGCACTTAAACCCCAGGCTTGATGGATATGGCCTTTATGCATTCATACATATGTAAGAAATGCAAGACACAAATAGTTAACATCTTTTTCCCGCTCCTTTACTCCAACGCTAAGTACTTTCCTATGCAGCATCCGGCATGTGACGCCACTCGGACCAATTACAAACTTTGATAACGCAACAAATCCAGAGCTTCTTCGCTGTTTCTTTGTTGTTTCTCAAGTCCAATTCCAACTAAAATGTCTACCAAGACACATTGCCCCGCACAGTTTTCAGGCGCTAAGCGCTAATTCCTTTCGATATAACGCCGAATAGCACCACAAAAATTCATCATCCAGACTTGAATGGCTGTTTGTGGTGCGTCAGACTGCTTGGCGCAATGGTAGCGCGCGGTCCTCCTACTATATGGGTTTATCCCTTATAATAGGTAGTGATAGACTGAGGTTGCGGGTTCGAGTCCCGTGGTGGTCGCTCCTTTTTGCTTGTTCTTCACGATTTGTTTCCAATTGAGACTTTTTGGTGTTCGAGTCATTTCTTTAGTGAATAATAACATTTTAATTGTGATCGGAAGATGCATTTTCTTAAAACAACAAGATCAGTCATTTTTTACTGGTTAACATTCAGATGAAATCACTTTCGCGACTATCTACCTGCATTGTATTTTATTTATATATGTTTTGCAATATTGGCGTACCGTATTACATGTATCTAAAAACCTTCCGTCCCATCTTAAACGATATTCTCAAAAAGTTGTAGTGGTATAGAATTGTGCAGTTCAAAGTGCTTCATGGATATGAATGAGGTTCTTGCTTAATATCGTTCTTGCTCTTTCCTCACATCGTCGCACAGCCTAGAATATCGCCGGAAACCAAGTCCCCATTCCACGATTCGGTACCTGGAAGGTACATTAGAACGCTAAGGTAGGATCGGAATTATCAGATCTTCCTAACCTTAAAATCAACTAGATTACAGAGCCTCAGCAAGGTTGTTTAGCGATTTTCCACTGTACGTACGGCGTAAATAAAACAAACCACGAACTCCAACAGCTCCAATTGCCATTTTCCCAACTATCACCATTTCTCGACGCTGTCGCATGTAAAAATTTACTATCGAAAATTTAGCGTACCTAGGAAGGTAACGAACCAATTGACTCATCTAAATTACTATTTATATTTTCTTTATTCATAACTACCTAGTTACCTAATAAATCACCATGGCCACTGATGTGGATCTACCGAAACGCCAAATCACCCCAGTTCCAGTACCTATTCTCCCTGTATCCGTTCCCCAGAAACGACCTCTCGAAGACGACCACGCGCCTCCAGTTTCTTCACCTCTCAACCCAAACCCAGATGTAAAGCCTAGTAAATCTCAGTCGCATGACGACGTAGCGGTCATGGCGCGCGAGAAACCTGGAAGAGGTAAAAAGGATACTTTAAAAAAACGAGAATCGAAAGCTGGAGCTGGAGCGGAGAGCTCCAGAGCGACACCCGATCCCAAGATCAAGGAGCTTCAGTTACCTCCGAACGAGTCTTCGCCTCTACGTTATAAGCTAGCACCCCCGAAGCCTTCGGATTTCGAAACAGCTCGAGGTCCCGTATTTACTCCCCATCACGAAGTCACCGCCCCCGACGGAACTACCATCCAATTCTACGAAACATCAGAACAGTGAGTCGCCTTCACGACACTTCGATCGCGGCCTTTTACTGACATCTGTCTAGCGTCTACAACAAGAAGAGTTATCACTACTTACACTGCATAGCCGACCCTGCCTTCCCATCCTCCTTTTACTATCGACAAACCGAACCCGAACCCTACGGTGCTCATATCAGCTTCGAAGATGCCGCCACACATGTCTACATGGACCAATTAGGTCGACACATAACGACAGATAAGGGTTTTAGAACGGCAAGAGCCAATGTTGCCATTCGCCAAGGCCGATGGTATTGGGAGTGCAAGATTACTCGAGGTACTACGAAGAGCAACCCAGATGGAAGTGTCGAGTCGCACGGTCACGTACGTTTAGGATTTGCGAGACGAGAGGCTTCGTTGGACGCGCCAGTTGGTTACGATGCGTACAGCTACGGAATTCGAGATGTGCAGGGCCAGAAGGTACACATGTCGCGACCTAAGGACTTCTTCCCCCCCGGCGAAGAGATCAAGGAAGGTGACGTAGTTGGACTTGAGATCCAACTACCGTCGGAGCAATTACACAGAAAGGTTGTCCTGGGACAATATAATCCGGCCGTGGACTCGCTAGACGATGAAGAACCGACTACAGAAGCTGCCAATATCGTTCGGGATAGGATACCGATTCGCTTCAAGCAGCATATCTACCTCGAGAAAATCGACTACCACACGAGTAAGGAGCTAGAGGATCTTATGAACCCTTCACCGGCGGGTCCTTCGGGTACGATAGGTAGTAGGCCCGCCGATCGTCCGAACCCCAACCACCAGGTTCCAGCTCTACGCACCTTACCTAAGTCCTGCATTAAAATATACAAGAACGGCGTGCTGATGGGAACACCCTTTACGGATTTACTCGCCTTCCTTCCACCAGCTTCGAAGCCGCAGATCCAAGTAGGCGCAAGAGAAGGCATGGACGACGGCATGGCCGGATACTACCCCGCGATCAGCGTGTTCCGAGGCGGCGCCGCCGAAGTCAATTTCGGCCCGAACTTCTGGTACCCTCCCCCGGAGTACCTCGACTCTAGCCTCGATCCCCTAGACCCCGACGGCGACGGTGACGTGGAAATGGTCGACGTTGACACTGTCAAGGTCGCCACGGCCTCCAAAACCATTAACAATAAGGACAAGGTCCGTCCCGTAGCAGAGCGGTATGACGAGCAGATCGTGGAAGACGTGGTGGCGGATATCGTCGACGAGATCGACTGCTGGATGCGCGATGGGGCACGCGTGATCGACCGTACCGGCGGTAGAGACGCTAAGGCGGAGACGACGGCCGGGATCGCGCCCGCTAGGGAGGAAATCAAGGAGCTCGTGCAGGACGACTAGGTTCCGTCACGGTCTGGGGCTGCGAGAGGATCTTCCTTGGGGGGCGTTGGTGTTGGGACTGGGGATGGTGTTTCTGTTAAGGATAATGATAAAGATGAGGATATGGGTGAGGATGGGGGTGGAGATGTGGAGAGTGGGGGTGAGATTGAGCCTGAATTAGGTCCCGAGCCTGAGCCTGAGCTGGAGCCGGAGCCGGAGCCGGAGCCCGAACCTGAACCGGAAGCGGAACCTGAGCCTGAACTTGAAAAGCCCTTGCCAAGTCGGGTACAGAGCCTAAGGTCCATGAAGTCCAGGGAGAAAGAAATCAAGAAAGCGAAAGAGAAAAAAAGACAGATGGAAAGGGAGTTGGAGATGGAGAAGGGGAAGGAGAGACGAAGAAGCTTAAGACAAAGATAGGGGTGATGAGATTTGGTGTGCTGCTGCTGGTGATTTGATTTGGTTGGGCTTGGTTTGCCCTCTACCTAGTGAGTAGGTCTCTTGCTTCGATTTGGGCTGAGATGTTAGTGTAATGATGCGAGCTACTCGAGGGCCTTAAGTTATGCTGAACTGCGACTTAGGTGTGTAGTAAGTCTAAGAAGTCAATGAGATTAATATTTGATGTTTTCTTGTTGAGAGGGTGATATGATGTGTTTTTAGTAGAGGTATGAAGGATGGTACTACGATCTGTGTGAAATCCCTTATACACATTGTTAGAAAGTCTAGTACGTCTACGTAGCCCCTTTCGAAATGTCAAGTCAACTAAAACCAAACCGCGCTTAACAAGCCTTAAAGATTTCACTCATATTTCTTTCATTCATTCATACCTACCTGGTATGTATCCTCATTCCTTGTCTATCTCGAACATCCTAAACCCTTCGAATCCGCTCAAAATTCGATTTACCAAGCAAACCACCATAAAAATCAAACATACCTAACAAACACAACATAACGTAACGAAACTCTAATTCCTCATATAAACATATAAAGCAACCGGGTATCTCTATATTACAACAATCCGTCAAGCGTAAAGCCTCGTAACCTCGTGAATGATGAGTAGGTCGGGATCAACCTGAACCTTTCCCTCCCTTTCCCCTTTCCCCATTCCCATTTTCCTCTCACACTCCTTTTCCTTACCCCCCTTTTCCAGCCGCACCACCATACTCCCCTAATGCTATCATAAACGACACCATCATCCTATCCCATTTACTTCTTCCCACCCCCCTCCTCCACCGGCCCAGACACCGAAATAGCCGGCTGCTGCGTCTGTGACTGAGACCCACTCGGCACCGCCTCAATAAGCGGTACACTCCTACTCTTCCCCGAATCCCCATTCCCCCCCTCCATATCATCAACCTCCTCAACCTCCCCAACAACCACCCCGGGCTCACCCACCGCCTTATCCGCCGCCTCACTAGCCTCTTTCTCGAGCCTAACCTCTCTCCCCCTCTTATAGCAATACCAAAGCACGCTCAGGAGCAAGAAAACCGCCATACTCCAAAGCACATTCGTGCCGATGAACGCCGGGAACCGGGTCTTCAGCGCATTCACAATGCCCTTTAACAACCCCACCACCGCGCCCGGTTTCGTCACCAACTCCATCAGGTTCCCGGGACTAAGCAGTTTCTTCGCGCCTTCCTTCCCGGCCTCCTCTTCGACTTTCAAACCCTGCGCTTCAGCCGCAACGGCTAAGAGTTCCGGGGCGAGCGAGGAGGTGAGTTTGTCGGGGAGCTGGGCGACGAGCTTCTTGAGGCTCTTGGGCAGCTTTTCGTAGGAGCGGGCGAGCACGCCGTCGCGGTCTTCGATTAGTCCTACGAGGTCCTGGTATGCTGTCGGCACGCCGTTGACGAGGTCCTTGAGCACCTGTGTGAACTTGCGCAGCGTCTCTGCTGACTCTTTTGATAGCGAGAAGGCTTTGTTGTCGGTTGATGCGGCGAGGTTTAGGTCCTCGAGGACGTGTGCCATATCTTCTTCTTCCTTCTGCGCTTCTTGCTCCGGGTCGGTGGTGGCGGTTGTGGTTGAGGGGGGTACGGTGAGGTGTTGGTCTTTCTTGTGCTTGCCCTTGTGTTCGTGCTTGTCGTCGGGCTTGCGCTTGAGGCTTATGTTGCGGGAGAGGTTTGTGACGAAGGCGAAGCGCTTGGGTTTGTGATCGGGTTTCTCGTCATCCTTATCTTGTTCTTTGGCCTTGCCGTTGCTATCCTTAGCAGAGGCATCTTTCTTATTACCATTACTTTCGTCTTTACTAACGAGGCTAGACGAATCGCTGTCTATCTCGATCACAGGCGTCTTCACGCGCGGGGGTAGAGGAGGCGGGGTTTCGTCATCGTCATCATTAGTATCTGATGGAGAGGTAAGTCTCTCGAGAAACTTTTCGTCCTCCTTATCGAGGATAGGCATACCCTCCACTGTCTCTAAGACAAACTCGGGAGAACTAGAGGATGCGGAGGTCGAGATTGCGGGGCTGGATTTTGTTGTGATCTCGACTTCTTTTCCCTTCCCCTTTTCTTTCGTTCTCTCCTCTTTTTCCAATCGTTGCTTCTCAGCCTTATCTTCACGGTGCTTCTTCAACTTCTTGATAGTGAAGTACTCGAGCATCTTGGCTCTGTATCGTATGTATCGTATGTATCGTGTGTATCGTTTGTACGGTTCTATACAATTGGGAGGTGATTTCGATTCGGACGATGAGAGAAAAAGGATGAAATGGGAATCAGAAATCAATTGTCAATTGTTATACAACGCAAACTTAATACCCCCAAGCCTGTTTTACCTTTGTTAGTAAGAATGTAAATGATTGGCCAATATTTGAAGATGGGAGTGTTGAATCAGGTCGCTCTGTCAGCAAGGGCATCGAGTTCCGATCTCTTGGCGTAGGTCATTGCACAGCCACAGTCTTTGTGGCGAAAGCTTTAACACTTCTCAACGAGGCCTCCTGTATGGCAGAATAAGAAGCGAAGTTCAAACGAGATTCATATCGCTAGCATATAGAAGAACCCGTAAATCAAACCAGTGTAGACGTATAATCAATAAATCTATGTATTTCAGGGGAACCATTCACATTACCCCCGAGGGTATCTAGCTCCTTTTCCTACCAAACCCCTATCCTTTTATTCTAATTTCCATTTCTTTTTCCTCCATCCCAGTCAAATCAAAGCCGACGTAGAAGTAAAACAATAGCTCATAGCTCGCCACCCACCAGCACGGCAGACATGTATGTACCGTTAGATCACTCCTCCTCCTCCTCCTCCTCCTCTCCTCCCTCCCCATCATCCACAATATTCTCCACCAAACTAGTCCTCCCCTTCCCACTCCGTCGTCTGCCCCTCTGATACGCCTCCGTCTCCGTAACCGCGCGCTCGCCGACAAAGTGCCGTCCAGTCCACTCCTTACTACACTTAGGACACTTCCGCTCGCCACGCATGCGCCAAAACGCATCCTGGCAGATATCATGTAATCTGACATTACAATCGCGCTCAGCGCACCTCTGCCCCACCGTCACGATCTCACGACACGCCTCGCAGAACTTAACGCGCTGCCACTCGTCCGGCTCCGCATCGGGGTCGTTATACGCATCGACAAGCCAAGCGCGGAGTTCAATCAGCGCTCTTGGGGCCAGCGAATAGAACCCCTTAGGACTCCGTTCGAACCAGCCCTCGTCGACCATATTCCGCATCACATTCTCCACCTCACTACTCTTCAACCCCCTCGTGCCCCCCACAACCATCGACGCACCCTCCCCATTCCCATCCCCATTCTCATTTCCCCCCTCACCACCATTCTCCTCCACCTCCCTAGGCGCCGTGCGCAGTTTATTCGCCTGCATCCCATCCAAACAGCACATCTCCAAACGGGGGGAATTATACCGCTCAAACATCGCATCAACAACCCTCTTCACAAACGCGTTTTCCTCCGGCGTCCGCAGTGTCGCCATCTGCGTCAGCGGATCCCCCGCCACATTGACCAGCGCGTAAACGCGTTCCTTTGTCGCCTGATGCGTCGCGCTGCGGATCTCATAGTCAAACGCACTAGCGGCTTCGGACGCCGCCGACACGTACGAGTCGAAGTCATCGCGGGTGACTTGGTTGGCGGTCGTGGGGATCGGCTCGGGGTTATCCGGGTCCTCGCGGGCGCGGCGGGCGAACGCGGTTGTCTCCGCTGCGGTGAAGATCGCGGCGAGGATTGGTTGGGCTTGCTTGAATGTTAGGGTGCCGCGGGCCATGAAGGCTTGGAGGAAGGCGCGGTTGCTGTCGTCGTATTGGCGAGGTATGTCGTCTTCGTCCATTGTGACGGATGTGGATGTATGTTTCTCTTCACTTCGTACTCTCCTTTTCCTTTAGGTTTTATTTTTCTGGTGCTTAATAAGTATGAGGTGAAAGTCCGTGCCTTGGTATGAAAAGGTATGTTCTCGTAAGTTTGAGGAGAGAAGATAAGAATAGAGCGAATTGAGTTTGTAGTTGTTGGTTTGTAGATGCAGGACCCCGCGGTTGAGAGACGCGTTTTTGAAGAAGATACGCGTTAATTGGTCCCACATTTTATACGCTATCGCAGCTTCCAGCGCTGTGGCTCAGGCTAAACCCCCCTAAACTTTAAAACTTACAGGGCAGCTGCAAGCTTATTCGGCATTATCACGTACTGGATACAGTGTACTTCGTATAAAACCACAGCACATTCACACAACCATTCCCTCAGCACTCAAATCTTCACAGCAAAGAGCACCAATCTACAGTCAAGTTGCAATTCTGTTCTGTCCCTATATTACAAGATACCTAGATTCTAGAAAGGTAGCTACCTAGTAACTAACTCGGCCAAGTCCCGGTATCCCCGGGGGCACTGAGACGAAACCGAAAGAAAAGATATATATAGAACATACTTTTCGATATGCAGTACAGGCTATAAGTTTTACAACGATAAAAAAACAGACCTCCAGTGTTCTCTGTCGTGGCGTCGTCGATTCCAAGGTTGCTGACAAATGGGATATAGGATAAGCTGCCGCAGCTTTGGCATGTTGTGTATGTATGTGTGTTGTGCGTCGTGCGTTGTGATGTGTGGTGTGATGTAAACTCTTCTCCCTATTCTCTTTCAATTCCGTTCCATTCCTTCTTTCCCTTTAATTCCCTTCATCGTTACCTCTCCGTCGCTGGTACTTTAGAGGTCGGTCTACCTTGCCCGCTAGATTTTAAAGGTGCCTTCTTCCGGTCCATAACGGATTTTAAAACTTGCAACTTCTCTTCTGTTACCCTTATAGCCTCTTCGACTTCTCGATCATTCATCCGCTCCTCGCGCAACTTTTCTTCGACCGATCTTGGCTCCATTACCCTTTTACGTATTGGTATCGCTCCTTCGTTCATGCGATGTAGGCCGACCCTCTCTTCTAGCCAGTCCCAAAGATCGCTTTCTTCGCGTCTCCATATTTCTTCGTAGGCGACAGCCCGTTCTGGATATCCTATGAAGCCTAGCTCACGTCCGTACGGTGTGACTCTCGGTTGACCATTAAACCCGAAACCAAACCATGTCGCTACTAATAGGCCGACGAGGAGTCCGTACACCACATTGCCGGTGAGGACAGGTTTGATAATATCCACTACCGGACCCAGGATACCGTGAAGTGGTTCAAGCAGACCCCAGTCTTCCGATTTCGATGTCACCGAATCAGAGGGGCCGCCCAAGCTTTCCTTAGAAGCTTGGTGTAGCTTGCCCTTGATTCGCTTCTTCTTCCCCTTTGCCGGTCCCCCATTAAGTCCGGCAGATCGGGGTCCAGAAGAAACTGCTGCTTTTAAGCTAGCGAAGACATCTTTGCAGTATTGTGTCTGGCCTTCCCTGGCGCCCTTCTCGATAGGTCCTATTGACGTAAGTTACTAATTACCAATGAGACCATAATTATAAGATCTTACCTTTTAGCCAACTCTTGCCAGACCATTCTATTGTAGCGTTGATATGAACGTGAGTCCCGTTATTTTCGGTCCAGGACAAACAGTACTTGGTCTTAACGCAGAATACGTTACCACTAGGTACGTCCGGATTCTGCGTAACAACTACCACGTTGACGCTCTTCTCTAGATCTAGGTTCTCTAGTGTCTCGGTCACTACACATTTTGTCTGTCTAGGTCCTATTGAAGCGTAAAGGGGCTTGATATAGGTATAGTTTCGGCTCTTGTTATCTTGGGTCAAACCCTTCTTGTCTTCCATTTGTAGATCGGTGCATTTTTGTTCGTTGGTTAACCACTTCCCCATCCACGCGGCGGATGCCGGCCCAAACAGGAGATTGTATACCTTTCCAAGCGGAGCGGCGATAACATCGTCGCCAACTACGATATCATAATGAGTCTCCGCATCGCCACAGTCCGTTGGCGCGTGAGTAGCAGGTCCAGGGAAGTCAGCTGCGCCGGCGGGTGCGGGAGCGAAGTCGGTCTTCTCGACGGCGCCGTTCGTAGCGAGCGCACCAGATACCTTCCTCGTACCAGTCTTCTCGCCATCCGTATCGGCCGGGCTTGATTCGGTCGGCTGTGCTACTTCGGGTGCATCGTCGTCTTCCTGGTCCTCGTCATAGACGTCGTCTCCGTCTTCGCTTTCCTCGTCTTCGGATGCTGTGGCACTCCGACTTCCTGTCACGGCATCGGCATCCTCGAGCTTCTCGGTTTTGTCGCCGCCTGTACCCTCCAACGAAACGCCATTCAGCGAACTTTGCAGGGAAGGATGTCCTAATTTCCATATATTAACGATTAAGTCGTAAGTCGAGTCTCGACTAGCAAAGCTAGCGAACACGTGCTTCGCGTGGAGTGTCGTGATCATAAGACCGTTCTTGAAGACTAGAGCCGTGCTTCTCTTTTCAACAGACACTATCTCGTCAAAGCTCATAACCAGGGTCGTCACCCATCCGAAAATGTTGCTGCTGAAACATAAATGACCTTCGGAAACGTAGAGTCGGCCGTGGGCGAGGATCTCGCGTTGCAACGCGCAACTATAGTCTTCGATGAGGTAGTCGTCGTCGGGGACACTCTTGAACAAGGCATGGAAATCTCGATTGCGTTTCTTACTCGCTACGGCAAACCCGGTAAGTTTCGGAACGCTGCCGGTGGCAGAAGGGTGAGCTACAGAGGCATTAGCTGCCGCAATAGCCGCACCGATCGTAGTGCCAGTACCAGCAGTACCGCCGGTACTACCGCGTTTCCGCCTCTTACCGAGAGCACTCCTAATGCTCCCGGTACGCTGCAATCCCCCTGTCTTTCCTTCGTATAAACTAGTAGGTGGTGTCGTACCTGTCTCCCAATTGGACTGTGGCGGCCTGACTGCTAGGTCATCAAAACGGCCATCGTCGGCGGATGCATTTGTGCTATCCACGGGCGCCGATTCAGAACGTGCTCGGTGGTCGGCCGTGGAATCGGAGAACTTCGAAGCGGTCGGCGTAGGTGCAGTACTTCCAGGATCGGATATGCCCAACTGGCTTAAGCTGAGATCACCCTTACCAAGGGTTTTGACGGCCGGTTCCTTGTCCCCCATAGTATCCTCCGACTGCTCGACAGACGGTTCGACCTCTACCTTATCGTCGTCGTCGCCCGGTTGCGTCTCTCTAGGAATGTTCGGTTTAGGTTTGTTTCCACCTGGGATATTAGTGTTGGTGACGGCGGTACTGAGACTGGTGGCGGCGGTTTGTGCAGCAGAGAGCATAGAAGAGAAAAAGCTGCCTCCGGGGGTTTGTGGGACAGCGTCCTCGGGGGTTGGTGTGAGCGGAGCCAAGGTTATATTGGATAACTTGCTTGGGCCAATACTCGTTCCAGATCCTGATCTAGCTCGTCGGTGTGATATCATATTACCCGAAGGCGACACAACCACATTTGGGTTAGGGCCCGTGCTTGCTGACGAGCTTCCCCGGGAACGGTGCGAATAATGAGACTCGGTTGGTGTCGGCGGGGTATTAACGATGACGGGGGCGGCGGGTTCGGACGGTGGCGGCGTACGAGGACGAGCGGAGGTGTCGATAGGCGCCGGGCTCTTATGACGACGCGGGCGTTCGGAAGATGTTATTTTAATAGCATTTGTATCAGGTTGGGAAGCTGTGCTCGGACGAGAAGCCGTACCGGCGGCGGTCGACCTTTGGGATGACGCGTTCACCAATTCAGGTTCGGAAATGACAATATCGGTCTGGCTACCGTTATTACTCAAACCCTGAAGGTTACTTGCGCTCCTCTTGCTTCTGAAAGCGTCCCTAATCCTACTAGAAGGCGATTTCGACCGATTCGAAGAGGAGTTTTGAGGTGGATGTAAACCGATCTTCGTAGGTGATGATTGACGAGCCGGCTCGTTAGAGGGGACACTAAAAGGGGCGTGGGTCGCTGATCGTGATAGACCGTTTCGACCGTTTGGATCTAAATTGTCCAGAGTCTGGGCCTGGGTCTCTGGTAGGTGGTCTGCTTGGATTATTGGCGACGACGTCGTCAACTGGCCAATCTGAGAAGGATGAGTTGAGGGTACGGTGGGTCGAACGGAGGACCTATGGGAATGGTCAATAACGTCGCCGTTAAGAAGTTAGATGTCAGATTTAATGACCATGACCATGACAACCATGATGGTAAAATGGTAACCGTGCTGCCAATTAGAATCAAAGCCACACAACTCTATGTATGCTATGATTAAACGGTGAAGCTTGGACCTGTAGGAAATGCTTAAAAGTAGGTGCCTATGCTGCTATAAAGGTGGTAGAGGTGTATGGGTATGGGGGCGGAAAGCAAGGCAGAAAAGCCGGAGTGGACCGGTTGGCACGCTGGAGCACTGTAACGCTGCGTACCTCCAGGTGTTAAACGCGGATACGAGCTGATACTAGTAGGCACGGAAGCTGACTAGAAATAAGGCCTCGTAGGCTGCGGAGCCAACTAAACTACACACAGTCCAGTTTTCCAATTTTCCAGTTTTTTAGCCGCTAGGCAAATAACTTGGTCCAATAATGAATTATAGTTATGCGTAACTCATTTGTAAGTGCAGGTGTAAGTGAAGCTGGTTGTAAATGAAGCTCTCTTCTTATGAGCTGTATTAAGTCGGCCAGCTCGACCGAGACGGAGGGGTAAGGAATTGTGGGAAATGTTTCATGGCTTACCTAACTGCCGAGAAATAGTATATATATATGTAGGTGGATATGAGGAATAAATATGTACTACTAAATACTAGGTAAGGTGTAAAGGCAGGGAAGATAGATATCATGAAATATAGGATTAACATGATATGATGATATACATGAATGAAACCGATGTGATAAGAAACATGACAAGGAATAGACAAACAACAATATTTAAGCAGCAAGTAATAAGAAACGACAAGACATGAAATGACAAGTAGGTAAATAACACTTACAATTCTTTTTCCGAATAATAGACTTCAGGACTCTCCTCAGGGTCAGGTCCCCCCTTTCCATCGTGGTCTTCTGCGGCCATCTCGTTGGATTGCGTGGTAGAAAATGACCCGCCGTGTACACGATCATGGTCTCGGCCACGACTATCTGGACTTCTACCACGAGGCATGTCTTCGCTACTAGCAGCAGATCCAAAACTTTCCCTCGAAGGTTGTTTCTTCCATCGTTTTGCAGCGAACTTGAACTTTCCAACCTTACTTGGATTATTTGAGCTATTTGAGTTTGCGACATCCATAATGATGACGGTGATGACGATGATTCCCCAGAGAAAGATAAGTAAGTTAATGGCCGATTGTGACGAATGGTAACACAACAGCACGCATCCGAATCCTTAGAGGTGTCAGCTGAAAGTGAAAGCTATTCCCGTCTTCCAATGTCGACTCTCAGATCAATCTAATCGTTATCATAACACCAACAACGTCTGCATTAGCAAGCGCATATGTTGACAATGTCGATAACTAGGTACTAAGTAAGCAGACAAAGGCCGTGGCGATGAGACCAATGTGTCGCGTTGCAATTTAGTAGGTAGTTTAGTATGCGCCAATGTGAGTAGCTTGACTTTTACCACCTATTTCCTTGCGATCTTGTCGTCATAGCTTATAGCTCTTGACCTCTCTCCGTCGATATATGCCAGGTAGGTATAGAGAGGTCCGTGTCTTTCTTTGTATTCGTAATGGCGTATGCGTAATGTATCGATGCGATTCGCATACCCTTAATCCCCGGTTATAGATAATTATGACAATTTGAACAATGAAGATGTGGCTAAATGACGAGAAGAATAGATTTATTTCATATAATGCAAGCGACCAATCTATTGATTAGACGGGACGATTGCTTCATAAATCAAACAGAACAGCCCTGGAAAGCCCCTGGAAATCATCGATCAGGGTTAGCCTAGTGGTACCTAGATGGTAAGATTCACCAGCCACACAACCCACTGCCCGCCTGCTAAAAACATCAAGGGATAATAAGCAAGACCGAATAACCCCACCAAAGTTTCAAACTGTGCAACTAGGTACGTGTGCAGGTCAGGCAGGTGCGACAATGTGCATCCCTAGGTCAATCATATCCAGACAGTCTAGGTAACTTTCTAACCATTTTAGCCCTAGATATACATATTACCCCACATAATGATGGAGCGTCATATTCATTCGGTAATTGGAAGACTGGAAGATTGGAAGTCCCAACTAGAAAGCCAAATTGGGGTGGAATTGGGGGGAAGCCACCCACCGACCACCCACCATTTCCGCACTAATCTTTTAAGCTCCGTTACCCGAACTTCGGTAATGGGATGGGGTTCGCAGTTCTAATTGTAGAACCTTCCTTGTTCATTATCGTTCATTATCCATTATCCATTATCGCCAGACAAGCACCACCAAACATACAAGGCTGCAACACACTTTCTGCCTGCAAGGAGGCAAAATCACTAAGCCCCTTTGCGATAGTCGGCCCTCGCCTTCTGCCTCGGATCCCTTTCTTGGGCTGCTTAACATCATGGAGTCGTCCCCCTTAATCAAGGTAGGATCACACACCGCAATGTCGGGGTCGGACCCGACCATGCATTATTCCTCGCAGCTAAACTCGTCGAATCATAGGCGCATGATCATGCGAGAGCCGCATCCATAGCAACCCACACGTCCGACACCACCGTCGCAGTGAATGAGCACACACGGGCTGCCGGCGAGTTCGCCAACGCCGCTAAGAACACTAGCAGCGTCGAGGCACTCCGTACCCTCAAGCTGCTCGAGCAGCATCATCGCCGCCTCTCCGAACTCCTCCAGATACCGGGCAAGGTGCCCACCTCGCAGACCCCCGAGAATGACTCCCAGGCCAACGAGAAGGATGAGGCTATCCCAGGTGCGACCACAGAATCAAAGTCTGATGCCGCCGGGTCCTCCAATGAGAAGGGCAACCAACCCTTACCCACACTACCGAAGCAACCACGATATCCCGCGCGTGACCTAGGGGCCTCTATCGCCAGTAACCTAGCCTCTGCTCGTGGCATCCGGTCAAAGTACCGCTCTCAGCCTCTCAGTCCAAGCATCTCTAACACCGAAGCCCCTGGCAACATGGACGCTACCACATCGCGGAGAAGCGGACGGACCAAGATGCAGACCATGCTCGACAACTCCGAAAGGCCCAACGCCCTCTCCCCAGAGAAAGAACGAGCCCCCCGCAGCTCCAACTCCAGCATCCAGGACCAAGCCGAACCCCCCGCCGCCGCCGCCAGTGACGAGGGCTTCTCGCGCTTCTACAGCGCCTTCGGCAGCATCATAAACCGGATCTCCGCGCCCCTAGCCTTCGCCGGACTCCCCTTAATCAGCGAAGAAGACCCCGTCTCCTCCTCCCCCTCCGCCGCCGTCGTAACCGCCCCTCCCCCCTCCGAACCGCAACCCAAATCACCCACCCACAAGCGTCCCTCCCGCACCCGCAACCCATCCGCCGGAGTAGCCGAGCCCGACCTCCGAAAGCTGTACTCGAAAGCCGCGTTGCGAGCCGTAGCCCGCGACGGGCAATCCGCCAACGACTCCTTCTACGTCGTGCCCACAAGCGGGCACACCGCGTCCTACGCTAGCATCCTAACCTTCGCCGACAAAGAAAAGCGACGTCTCGAAGCCCAAGGCGGCAACGACGACGTCTCCAACTCCACCGACGACTTCATCGACGCCCGCGGGACCTCTCCCGCGCCCCCTCGTCGCGCCAGAACCGTTTCTTACTACGGCGATAGTCGGGATGTGGTAGCTGGAAGTAGTAGTGGTGGGGGGAAAAACCACGAGATGTCGAATATGCTCGAGGAGCTGCACACCGAGAACGCGAGTCTGAAGGATATGCTGGACAAACTAAGCCGTCGCCTCCATGCCTTCGAGAGCATGTCCCAGAACTCCGGGATGCGGCTCGCGGAGAGCATGCGGCTTATGCGCCCTGGATCCCCGCTTTCGTCGGCGGGGGGGAAGACGCCGGGGTTGACGCCTGGGACTTCTTCTGCTGGTGCCGCTGCGGGGTTGGGATTGGGAGGGATGGGATTAGGAGGGGGTGTGGGAGGAGGGGAGAAATCAGCAGACGAGGCTCTTGCGAAACGGAATAGAGAGCTTGAGGACCAGATCGTGGTTATGGGACGGCAGATGGAGGAGATGGAACGCAGCTACAATAAAGCGAGGGCGAACCTCGTAAGGTACAGGGAGAAGTGGGAGCAGTTGAAAGCAGGGGCTAAGGCGCGTAGAGCGGGTGGGAGCGCGAGTGGGAGTGCGGGTGTGCAGGGTGGGAGCTCGGAGGTTGGGATTGGGATTGAGGAGGGGTTGAAGTCGCCTAGTTTGGCGTGAGGCGTGAGATTTCAGTTAAGGGGGTCTTGGGTTGGGGGTTAGATGTGGGTGGTGAGGGAATGGGAATGGGGGTAGGTGAGTAAGTGAGTTAGCACTGCGTTGGAAGTAACACTATTATTGAATTATGCCAAATATGTCTATTTAGTCGAATACGCTTGACCTTCTGTTATGATTCTACCGCGATGTGTCTTCTGCAAAGAGTATCGAAATATGCCTGACTTTATGGGAATGGAATGACTGGCTTAGATGTTCGCCTTGGCAATTCTTGTCTGGGTATGCATGCAGGCATATATATGCCCTCACTATCAAAGCCGCAGTGTGGACATCTAAGGGTTGTAGATTCAAAGGGGCAGCTGGTGCTCAGATATCAACGCAGCAAGATGAATGAGCCTCTTATCGGCATAACATCAACCATGGCCTTCACATATACACATCAACACCCAATTCATAACAGTTAATTTCTCAATTGGCATTACTACCTAAGCCTCTGCCCCTAGCCTTTAACTAAGCCCAGAGCCCACAGCCTTGAAAAGCTCAGTAATTTCCAAGCCCTTCCACAAAATCCGACATCACAACATCATCGACATAACTCAGCTCCAAGCCCATCCATCCATCCATCAAGAACCAACCCCAACAACTCCGCCCATGCCTTTCTCCCCTCCCTCGGAAAAAAAGATAAGCAACCGGACTTTTGGTATCTCAACAAATGCCAGATGCAGAACGAACAATCGAGGGAAACATGCTTCGACGAGAAGAGTAAGAAAAAACGAGGAAGTTTTATACGTAAAAAGCAGTAGGCAAATCCTCAACTCCCTTGCGATGTCCGTAATGTCACTATATGCACCAGTCGAAACCTATGTCGCACACCCGATTACGGGCTAAGGGGTTCCTGTTTCTCCTCTCCGGGTGTAGACGTTCCTCTAGATCGCGACATACTGTAAGGAGCCTGGAGGGGGAAAAAGTTAGTCTCGCCACCCAATCTTGTGTTGATATTGAACGAACTGTATTACGTACCAAAACCTGCTTTGCGTTACAAATTCGCCAGGCCAAGTTCTTAACGTTGCCATCGGCGGGGACCACGGCAGGCGTAAACTCGATACCGAACATCTGGTGAATGGCGTAGACCAATCGTTTGGCGTATTTGCCGTGACGTTCCACATGGCTACCGAATGGCTCGATCGGTGTGCTTGGTGCGATATCGGGGTCTCGGTCGAGGCAGTTCTGCACCACTGGGAGAAGGGCTGACTCGACAGCTTGCTGAATAGTCACCTCAGGGTCTGTTTCGGCGTCGTTGTAGTCGAAGCGGCCAATATGGATCTCGAAGGGTTGAGAGATAGACATGACATTATGGTTTCCGTCGTGGTGGTAGCGGAATTCGTAGACACCCTGGGTCCACCATAACTTGTCTCCGGAAAATTCCATCTCACCACTCACAAGGCTAACATCGCCGTTATCAGAATCTTCAATCGGTTGATCCCACTTCAAGACGCCCTTGTCAGCTGTGGTAGACTGGTATTGGCCAGATACTGTAGGAATCCATCGTCCGAGAGACGGGAGTTCGGTGATTTCACGAGAACGATTATCGGCTACCATATATAAACCAATCCAGTCCTTCTTCCCGTGGTTCGCCGGTGCTTGCCACTTGACCTTGATCGGAGCACCATATTCGAATATCATGGTCTCTAATTTCTTGGGGAATCGTGCAGCAAGACCTTCCTTTCCACTTGATCGTTCCGACAGAGCAGAGAATCCAGATGCTTCACCTTCGACACTAATAGAGTAGTGTTTGGGGTCGAAACCCGCGAGGTCGGGAGAAAGCTTAGTCAAAGTAAGACGGGCAGGGTACTTGTTGAAGAGGGCCGTGGTATCCCTAACAATTGTCGAGACGCCGGCAGCTAACTTAGGACGTGCCGTGTCTAGGAAATCTTCGACAAAGTGAGACGTGTCATCCATGACTTTGGTCACGCTAGATTGCCAGCCCGCGACGGGAGGAGGTAGAGAGCGTCTGATAAACTTGGTCAAGCCAGCTTCACGCCTGAGTTCGCGACCGTAGACCTTTTGCATGTGCGGCTTTTCGACAAACTGAAGGAATCCAAGAGTGAGAACGTGGCTCACTAATGCCAAGGCAAATATGGATCTGCTCCATGTGATGATGGCTGCACCCCATAAACCGGCGGTACCGAGTACTCTCTCAGGGTTATTCAGGAAGCGGTAGATAGAGGTGTAAGTGAGCTTCGCCTCTTGATCGAAAAAGAAATCACCGAAAAACCAGCCGAACTCGCCGAGAGAATCGTAGATGCTCACAGCAGTCCATGTTTGAAGGGCGATAAGACTAACACCGACGACATGTCGAAGCATCACGAATCCGTAGTTCCAGTCAACTGGAGCACTGTACATTTTCCAGCAAGCAGCGGCGAAGAAGGCAAAGCACATACTTTGAGTAATGTGATAATATCCTTTCCATTGTCGCCAGCCCTCCTCGGGAGTCTCTCCGACCTTCAAAAAGTGGCGGGTCCATGCTTTGCTGTTTGACTGTCGTGTGAGGATGATACCCAGTCCGACAGAGTACCAGAGTCGAAAAATGAGTGCGAGTGAGAAGAAGAGTGTCTGATATAGCGTCGTTTGCGGCGTGACAAAAGCCATAAGTGCAATAAGTGAGATGTTGATGAAAGTAGAATAATCGACAGTTCGTAGCAAGTCGATGTTCTTGATCCCTAGTAGATTGTGAACACGAGGTCTGAAAGGGACCTCACTCTTACGAGTAGGAGGATCATATATCTTCTCAATATGAGGGTTCTCTATGAGAACAAGGAAGGCAAGTTGAGCAGCGTGAGCCACGATGGAGATGAATAGAACCGAATAGCTGGCTGCAAGCGCGGAGATGCCATAGTATCCAGCATATCCAATCGAATACATGGGATGCGGGGCCATCTCGAATACGCCATCAAATGTCAACTCTTGGTCGACCAAGTAGAAGAAATCACCCCAGTACCAGGCGTAATCCTTCACAACTCTATGGGCATCGAGTTTAACCCACAAATTGAAGCCAATGGCTAACCAACCGAAAACCCATCGTGCGACGGTGACTAAGGAAGACTCTCCAGCGGGGCGATGTCCGCAAGCGATTGCAAACAGGCAGTAAGAGACGAAGTCGCACATAAGAATGAGGTCCACAAGGCGTCGAAAGACAAGCCAGGTGTTGTACTCGATTGGAGCTTCCTCGAATTTGTAATCCTCGGGAATCTTGATCTCCAATTCACGCTTTAGTAGCTTGTACAGCCATGGTCGTGGGTTCTTACCACTGGAAGGGTTCTCGAACAGCTTCCAGTTTCTGGCCCAGGCAACGAGTTTGTTGTCATTTGACTGTAAGCGTAAAAGAATACCGATTCCGAGATTGTAAGATGTTCGCCAGAAGAGGAAGATAGTTGCGAATACAGTTCTTTTTATGGAGTCCGGTAGGAAATAGAGGGCTAGAATGTGACCTGCAAGAACGGCAAGGACGATGGCATCCGATAAGTTCTTTGGTTCTCGAGGATCGAGTAGCTGAGAGACCATGTCATGTGTAGTAGGAACGGTGAAGACTATTGAGACGAAGCATTGATTAGTATACAGTGCTGTATAGCACGATGTCTTATATCCAGTAGGTATACGCCATTATATTACTTACTTGTTCCATCTGGTGTACGACCATAGGTCTTTCTGTTCTTTGGCGATGATACAACATCTTCAACGCCTTCATCAGTCTCACTGTGATCATCTGTCGATGGCTTTCGGCGGCGCAGCTCGCCAGCATCAGAGGAATCGACGGCCGCACTCATTGTGCTCGACCGTGACACCTATGTCACCTAAAAAGTTGACAATTGGTGACAAATTAAAAATTAAACGGTGTTGTGTAATGAACCTCGTCGACTAGCAGCCATAGAAACGACAAAGAAAAGGAAAGGTAGTGGATTTAGTGAGTTGGCAACAAGAATGTGGACGTGGACGGTGAATTGATTTGTGGGAGAAATTGGGAAAATGAACAAATAAAATACTTGGCAAATATGCAGGTGGAAAGTAGTCGACGGGAACGATGGGGACGGGAAGAAGTTCAATTGGATAAGGAAAAGTTCCACGTGAGATACATTTGCCGTCTTCGGGGTGTGTTGGGTATTTGGTGATGTTTCGCGACGTCACTATTGCCTCAAACTTGATCGTTTTAGATGATCGTGATATTGAGATCCTCTAGACTTTCTAGTCTTTTAACGTAGCAAACAATTTTTTGAATTGATGTCGTTTATTCGTTGTGTTAAGGCTGAAGGATCAATTCCTACAGGTACGTCACATGCAAGGAAAGTGCGGATGGACAGGTACAGCACGTTCTGGAATGCAGGCGTCTGCAAGCTGTAGCTGAAGCTCGGCTATGAGATAAGAAAATCCCACCGGTTGATAAATTCCAGCGAAGGAACGCCACGAGGGGTTGACCCAATAAGGAAACCGCTATACGTTAATAGGCCGTGACTATCCGACACGGGAGTTCTTCCAGCTACGTACTGTCCTTACTTCCCGTAATCCCCCAATTACTCACACGACACCTCTATTTTTATAGTAAGTAGGATATTATGATTGCATAAATGATAACTATCATTTTCATGATCAAAGAAAATCTCACACATGTTAATACTAATAAACAAGTGATAAAAAGGGTGATCCTTGGGTTTTAATGGGTTGGGCTATGGTTATAAGACACGACAGTTAAGAGAAAGGTACCTAGTATAATACACATGCTGTCTGGATAGGTCCGTATTAAACAAGGCAAGTCTTGATATTTTAGGAAAGACAACAGTCATATTCCTTAGTAAAATGGACATCCGGTCTGCATAGCAGTTGTTGAAGAAGGGAATAGGGTAGGGGAGTAGGGCGACAGAGCAGTATCATAGAAAGAGATTGGATATGTGGCTTTTAATAGCCATAAGCCAGACCATAAGCCATTCACGGGACCAGACTCATCAAGGAAAAAAAGACACTCACTTCACGAAATTCAGGTCACAAAGGCCGTAGAATTCAAATAAAACCGAGTCCATTTTATCCCAGTCTACCCATCTGCTCACATGCCATAGCCACGTAGCAAAACCGAGTTCAATGCCATTCATTCATCCATAACCTCATCCCATCCACTACCACCAAGCCGCATCAATGGTAGACTATGCAAACCAGGTAGCAAGCCCCCTTTCCACGACGAAGCAGCAACACGATCAAGCAGCCTTCTTAGCAAACTCGACGCGCAAGATGAGATGCTTGAAACCATAGCCGTCCATCTTGCTGCAAGCCTTGACAGCGTCGCCGCGGTCCGCGAAGCTGATGAACGCGAACCCCTTCGCGAGGCCCGTCTCGCGGTCCTTGGCCAGAAACACGCGCGTGACGCGGCCGAACCGCTCGAACATGTCGCGCAGTTCGTTTTCTTCTGCCATTTCGGAGACCTGTACGTATATAATACGTTAGCTAGAGTAATAGGTAGAGGTGATGGGGGAGGAGATAGGGTTAGGGGATAAGGAAAGGAGAAAGGAGGGGAAATAACTCACGTTCGTCACACGCAAAGTAGCAAAGTCGTCACGCTCTCCATACTTGCTACCACCCATCCTCTCACCACCCGCCGCACCGCGATCGCCCCTAAGCGCAGGGGGAACATAACTGCCCTTCTTCCCGGCTCCAGGCGTACCCTGCGCCGCAGCCTCATCACCCATACCCGCCGCGACATCCGCAGCCGCGCCCTCCGCGCCAACGGGGGCCATAGTATCCTTATACGGACACCTAGCGGTGAAATGCTCGCCGTTACAAATACGGCACTTGACAGTCTTATCCTTGAGCTTCTCCTTCATGGCGTTGGCATTCGCGTCCTTGGACTCGTCCTTCGTGTCCTTCTTCCAGTTCGTGCTGAGCCGGAAGATGATGTTCTCGCCCACCGACGTCGTGTCCATCTGCGGGCCCGCGCTATCCTTCTCGCTGAGCCCGAACTTCGCCCATGTCTTGCGCTCTGCCACGCGCGGGTTGACGACCTCGCGGTGCGTCACGAGGCGGATCCGTCGGGTAGTTTTTACTTTCTGCCCGTTCTCGTTGTAGCGGTACGTGATGGTCGTCTTGGTTCCGTCTTTGTTTTGGATGGTTTGAGGGGGGGGAAGCTCCACTACGACGTCGTCGCCTTCGTCGTCGTCGGCCCAGTCTCTGGTTTGTGGGGTTAGTAAATTCATTCGTTGCCCCGCACGCCATTTTGGGTGCGAATTTATCGTAGGTGTTAATTACCTGTTCTTAGAAGCCATGTTCGCAATCGTATTTCGTTACGTCGATGGGAAGATGGCGTTGGTACGAGTGGGAGTTGACTTTCGTGATAGCTGGTTTTTGTGCGGTTTGGAATAATTTCTAAACTGAGTTTGAGTTTCTAATCCAAAGTGTGGGGTCTCAAATTTCTTATCGGTACCACAAGATTTGCCCCGCGCTATCACTTAAGTCCGCCTAGGCGGTGGTCCGTGCTGGAAAATAGGTACTTGGGTACATATAACCGAAGTCGTGACTGCCTCTTTACCATTGCCATTGTGCTAGCCAGGTATAATTCCAAGAGTCTTCTTCACATGTATTAACCGAGATATGTTAATTTTAATAGTGCATCTCCATTAACGAAATAAGAACATATTCTACATAAGAAGACATCGCTTAAGTTTCATCATACATAGCATAATGCTTTATTTAACTTTTACTTTTTTGATATTACATCTAGGTGATGTACCTGATAATCCGAATCCCTAAGCCCTTGAGATCTTCCTTGATTTTTTTGAGGTACATGGTAAGTAATACGAAGAATAAAAGTCCAGGTGCCGCCAATGGGCTAGCTAAGGCATATTATGTCCAGGGGACATATTTTCCGAGTGTTTCATCTCAAGTCATAGTATCCATCATTATGTCTTTCGATATCTTCCGATATCTCTTCATCATCTTCATCGCCCACAGCATCCACCCACCCCTTTCCTCCCCCCACCACTACCCCACCCATCTTCAAAATACACCGTCGTTCGTTTTATACATGACATGAAAAAAAGCATTCCCGTAAGGGCCTGTTGTATGTTGTTTCTTTCCAGTAGATGAGGTCTAATATAGGCATAGAACCGAAACGCCAATCATTATCGTGGGCCCATAGGTATAACAATACAATGATATACAAGAAGCAAAGAATATAAAACCAAAATGATAAATCGAACAAGAAGAAAAAATATGTCCTAAATGACAGTGCGCGTGAATGTATCGCAAGCTAGAAAATATCACGCCTTGATAGCCCTAGACAGGTTGGACGAACGCTTGGCAGGGAGCGGAGGAAGAGCGCACGTTGGTGGAGGGGCCGGAGGAGGTCCATCGGCCAGATGTGGCAGACTCCTTCTGGTCAAAAGAGCCCTTTCTCCAGAATCGATCCCTAAGTAATCATTCGACAATGACTCCTGTTGCAAAGCCTTAAGGGAAGGTGCCGAGCGTTTTGGTGTACATATCAACGGCGGCGCTAGGGCGTAAGCGGGCTCCTCGATGGAGGGTAAATGAGATTGGTTGGGGTGAATGAATGAATGCCGATTTTGGTGAGAACCCTGCTGAGGTGGGCTCTCAGTTAGTAGAAGCGCGTGCTTGTAAGACTGATGTCCGAAGTTGGAGTTCATTGACGACCTCCGCATCTCCAGAGATGAAGATGCTCTGCGGATTTCGTCGGGAGGCGCTAAAGTGTTAAGAGTTTGAGCTCGGGCTGGTCGAGCAATGAACGACTTATCCATGTCAAAGTAGGGGAGCCTTGGTTGTTGATACTGCTGACTAGCACGCATGGCGCGCTTCTCGTGAAACGGCGCAATTACGCTGGTGCTGGTGAGATTCGCTTCTTCCGTCATTTGTTTAAGGATTTGACTCTCAGGAGTTTCGCTCCTCTCATGCGGACTTTGTTTTGGTGTAAGGTTGGCCCGGGGTGTGAAAATGGACGCTGTGTCAGGTGTCTGTACGGAAGAACGAGCCTGGTTGGGTGGAGCGGTAGGTGAGTATGGCGATCTTGGGGATGGCTGATCCATAACAATAGAGAGAGGGCGGGATATCGCGAGTTTCGTTGGCGGACTTCGTCGGACTGGTCTTATCGGCCCTTCTCGGTCGGACGTCTGCGGCTGGTTTTCACGAGAGGCTGCGGCGGACAAATTCATAGCCGAATACCGCCGCCCGACTGTGTGTGGCACACTAAAGTTAGGCACAAATTGGTGCTTATTCTCGCGTACCGATGTTAGCGAGGACGGCAAAGTTGGGATTGATCGGCCCCGGACATCTAAGCGAGGATCGAAACTAGGGATCATCGTTTGCATGGACTGTCTCCGGTTCGCGATGGCGGCGGCATTGGGACGCGGCCTAACCTCGGGAGTAGGTGGTAAAGGTTTCTGACTCAATTGAAACAGCTGATCTTCTCCATTGCTTGAGAAGCTCGCTCGAATCGGGGAATTGGCCGGCGATGATTCCGCTGATGACACTAAGGTCCGTTGTCCAGATGAGATGAACGACAGTCGGTTCCCGCTACTACCGCTGCTTCCACTTCCACTACCGCTGTCTCGAAGACTATCCAGTCGTTGGCCATCCGATGAAACCATGCTCGAACCGTCATCCACCGTCGATTCTGACCTTCGCTCTAATCGGGGTTCTGCGGTTTCGGTTTGCTCGATAGGATCGGCGAGTGCATTTTCTTGCTTCCACGAAAAGTCCTGGGAGATGATGCGTGAGAAGCGCGCTGGATCCCGTACAACTAATGTCCTCTGGCTTCCTTGGTTCCTTAGCATCGTGCCGTTTTCCATTTCAGGCTTGCCAGTTTCCGAAAGCTTCTTTTTACCGCCTAGCGACTCAATCTCTCGTCTTAAGATAGCAAGCCAGAGATCCATACCCTCGGGGCTTTCAAAGACCAGTAGCATGTTAGTGACTTGTCGCTTCTCAACCCCTCTTAGAGCGAGCTTCGATCGAAGAGATTTGGCATCCATAGCCGGGTTCCCATCGGCATCCATCGATGACGCCACCTGTACTACCCAGTGCTTTCCAGGAATGAGGTCGCTGGCATAAGCAGCAGAGTCCCTAGTGAGATGCAGAATCCTCTCAGGTAACCTATCAAAGCGACCTTCTCCCGCATATTGGAGTAAGTATCCGGAGGTAACGAGTGCATAAACTTTGCTTGTCCATTCCGGTGCATTCTTGGACTTCTTCCTCTTTTCTGCCTCACCCTGATTTAAAGAGAAGTCGTGCTGTTGTGAGTTATCCTTAAGCTCGTTGATGCGGGATAGGGCCTCTATCGGGGTGACACAGGTTGGTAGTGTTGCGTACTTGATTGCTTGAGGATACATCTGGAATAACGGCGGCGGGATAAAACCGGTAACCGAGTCTCTCACCTTTGGAGACCCCTGTTGACGGAGCTTGCCCTGGTTAGCAGTAATGCTATTTTGTCGTAGCCGTGAAGACGCCGTAGAAGTCACAGATGCCGGTGACTTTATCGAAGACGGAGGTGAGCTAAGAAGAGAGAGATCCGAACGAGTAGGGTGAAGTCTCTGAGGCCAGTTGCCAATATCCACCAACGACGAACGCTTAGAACCGTACCGTGACGATTCTTGTGGCGAGGGTGCTTCCTCCACTATTTTTTCATCTTTTACTGTTTTCGATTTGCTAAATATGTTTCTCAAGCCGATCCTGGATTCCCTCTTGGGGGGTCGTAATGGTACCCTAGCCTCATTTCTGATAACCGTAATATCTGGTGGTCTAGCTCGCCTTATATCGCGTGAACGATTCTGAAGTGCCTCGAGAGCTGGACTCGTCGGGGTCGTAATGGCTGATTCTGCCATTGTGTGTTGCGTGTAAGAGTTATTGGAGAGTTAGTGAGGTAATGATGATTATGATTTGCCGAAAGAGCTCTCAACTATATATTATTTTTGTAGTAGACGGGTAATGAGATTTCAAGATCCGCGGTACGTCATCCAGAGACATATAGTCGGAGACTGAAAGCCAATGCAGTAATAATAAGGTCCGAAGAGACATGTGAGACTTTGGAAAGAGTGTAACCAACAGGTCAACAACTTGACGAGCCTCGATGCATCAGTTGAAAAACAGCCGAGTTGATGAGGGGAAAGCAGCTAGGGCCTATGTATATGAAGTCAAGGCAACCCTGTGTTGTCGAACTTCAGACGAGGATCGTCCTTTGAGAATTTCCAACCCGGCAGACAGCCCTAACTCCCGGCGCAACTATACGACAGGCGATGACTAGTAGTATATAGCTCGAAGCTAAATGTATTAAATGGTCGTCAGATCTTATTAGTGGTGGGGTTTTGGGTAAAAAGAAAGTGAGGGCTAGATCGCGAGTCTAACGAGACAGGAGGACCATCAAGAGTTTTAGAAGGACAAGATTAAGGATTAAGAGACACTTCGTCAAAGCCACCGGCAAGCTGTTATGTACCGTATGAAGTATGTATAAAAAGTGTCAGATAATGCAGGTGAGTAGGTCGAAGCTCAATAGTCCGCGGTCTCATGTTCTTACGGGCTGAGACCCTTAAGCTTAAGGGAGAAGAGGAAGAAAAAGGGCTGGGACGGGAACGAAGAGGTCAGAGAGATAAGTTGCATACTATGTACATACATACAACATACATATTACACATGCAAGCCCGAGTCAGAATAAACCCCGGCATCAGAACACGGTCGTAGAGTGAGAAATTTGGGAAGAAATGGGGACCCTTGACTGGGCTGGGATTCGCGAGAGTGTGAGTGAGAAAGAGAGAAAAGAAAACCCCTGTTCGAAAGTTACGAAGTCACGAAGTAGATGTGGGTTCAAGGTTGGATCATGGATGTTCTTGCCATTTAGACTTGGATGTTCTTGACGGCAAGGGGAAGAGAGAGAGAGAGAAAGAACAACCCCCCGGTCATGGATCTTCTTCCAGCGCGCCGGCCCATGACCGTGCGGCTTGGTGTGGGACTAGCAGACGCTGCTACAGTACCTGTCGAATACTTGTTTTGTGTATTTTTATGTGTTTATTTCCGTCTAGCCTACCCCTGATCTACATGTAGTGTTGATGTAACTCGTAAGGCAGGTTTTTTGTACTAGAGCTGCACCAAAACCTGTCTATCACGAGTTTCTCCATTGTACATCTCTTTTTTAAATCCATCAGGTTTAAATGATTGGAATTTGCTCCATTGCTCCAGTTTCTTTCAAAGATGGTTCCTGACGGCTCTGATGGACCTGATGGACCTGATCGTGTCGAATAATGGCATACGATCGACTACGCAATGCTTGAAGTACCATAGTATTGTACAAATAATCACAGATAGGCGCGGAGCACGACAGGATATTCATATGCGGGCGATGGAGAAGATCCCAAACGTGGTACTGCCGCCGCGAACGCCAGACCTCTTACGTTCTTACTTTCGTCTGACGCTCCGAATATGTACCTCGAAAGGGCCGGTTCGCTAAAAAAAGCCATAGCAGGATGGCTGAGCCACTTGGAGAATTTGGAGATTTTTTATTTCCTTTTGTTCGGGAAGAAAGGAAAGGAAAAGTTCCGCCTCGCTGGAATGAATTAAGTTATTCGACTTAAGCGTTTAAACCTGCGAACACGACCAATTACTTTCCCAGCTTCCAAGTTTCCAGTCTACCATTTCAATTTTCCGCAGCGCAAGTTTGTCACGTTCCGTGCATCTCCAAGGGTTTCCAGTTTCCAGTGTTGTTTTGAACCTGTGAGAAGAAACGCGCCCGTTCGACCCCTGATCACTATGGCGAATCATCGACGTGCCAGGATGTGATCTTATTCGTGAGCCGCGAAATACTGTTTGGGGGCTGCGGGCTAGAAGCTAACTGGCTAGCTCATACATCTACTGATCCGTTACTGGTCAGTGTCCAGCTGGCTTTGACAGTGACAGTCCAGTTAGAGGCGGGGGAAGAGCACGGAGGAGGTATCGTCACCGCATGCGAATGCCAAGAATCCTCGTCTTCCCTTTCTTCCCTTCTCGTCATTAGGTATTCGACCTACGTTGCATTCTTGAGAGCTACGATGTGTTCACTGGTTCATTCCCCTCAATCGTAGTTCCGGTAGAGCGTCATGTTCGGTACTACATAGTTCTAATAACTACCTAGTAGGTAGTAATAAGTGCCGGTGCCGATATGAAAGATATGTACGAATGGCAGAATGGGCGATTGGGAGGTCTGATCGTTGATATTGATCTAATATCACCGCTCGACAACGGCTGCGACGGGTGATGTCGTGTCGATCATCCAAGATACAAAGATATTGGAGATATCGTCATCGAGAAGTCCTAGAAGCGGTTTGGCAATACGTAGCGAAGCTATCTCGTAGTCTCGGAAGACTATTGATCTTACCTACAACTTACCTGACTACCTACCTACAATACAATACAATACAATATACAAGACAATATACGATACAATATAATCCGCAATGCCCAATACTTGGTAATGTATGCGCAAGATACATTATCTGCATTCCCGGCAACCCGCATCAAGCTGTGTGTCAGACTGTCCAACCACACATAATACGTGCTTCGGGATGGTATGCAGAGCTATGCAAGCTCTACAGGTTCGTAAGAAATCCCCCTTTGTTACATAACGAGTCTATCTATAAATCGTCGATGCAGCGAAGCAGAGAAAGGCGATCCAAGTCACATACTACCCATCTATGTGATGAACTGCAGACGCAAAGCGCCCTGTCCTTTCGACGCCGATCAATTTCCAGTATTAGCCCGTACCCTGGGTTGTGGAAACGTCAATGGCAAGATTAGCAGGGTTCGCGCGCTTTGACAGCTTCTATCCGGATAGAGGATGCAAAGAGCCATATTGGGCTCGTGATCCCTCGGTGATCCATCCGTAGCCACAACTAGCCAGAGTTCCTTGAGTCCTAACAGCCTCACGGACCCCAAGGAGACTAAAAAAGAAAAGAAAAGTTCCAACTTTTTTCTCCATCTGGTATCTCCACGATGTTTGTTAAGATTGTGTTTCTTAGCAGGTGGTTACCTAGCAGCCTAGTTAGAGGGGATCGTCGACCACGTTTCCTCTACCTTCACACTACGCTACATTATTAATAACACTAACACCAACACTAACACTTTACCTACCTCTACCGTTAAGGTCTACCGCTGCCGTTGCCGTGCCATGGCGGTACAGGAGTGGACGGTTGCATACTGCATGATGGATGTTTCTCAGCTCAGCTGACATATCCATCCATTCTCGTCCCGTACCAATTCCAATTTGAGAATACGATTCCTGTACTCCGTCCGTATGCATCCTCGATCGATGTATGTAATGACATGGCAGTGGGAATTTTCAATTTTCAATAGCAGCTATTTCCTTGCAATGCCACGAGTTGCAGACCCGCGTAGGGACATTGTATCCAGACCAGCGGTAAGGTCAGACTCGCATCTAGACCGTTGTTGGTCCGGCACTTGAGCGCTACACGCTGCGCTATGAGAACTAGGCCGATGGAGTCGAACGACTAACAAGCTAACAGCTGCTAGGTAAGTCACTATTACTTGATAAGCCTCACTTTTGCTCGATGCCCAATGACGAAGACGGTAGGTATGTAAAATATTTGCACACCTGCTTCCCCAAACTCCCAACTCCCAACGCATGCATGTCCCTCGCGTTACCATTACCCTATCCTTATTAACTAGGGAGTCACCACAGCGAACTACATACAGCAAACCCTCCCACATCCGACCCCCATTAGCCCCCCGTGTGGCGTCGTCGCGACAGGTTCCGTCCTCATAGTTCCTGCAGTAGTGGCCGGCGCAGCCGGGATCTCCCATGTTTTCTAACTGAGCCATTGGCAATTGGCATTGGGCGAAGCTTCAAGAAATCCTACTCCTCCGTCGCTAAGAAACGTGCCGTCGGGTTGTGGCTTTCATTTCAAGCTCCCGTCGGATCCGGAAGGGAGTAGGAATAAATAAAAAGGCAATCCGCCAAATGCATACCAAGTACATACGATCACGCCCCTATATCACAATTCCAATATAATCAACAAATCAACAAAGTTGTTATTTACACAAATACGTCTGGGTATTCGGGTAATTAATATATTAAAAATACGATGCACGAAGCTGATGTTTTTATAGCTCTCCTCTTATAGCTGGGGAAAGCTGGGTTAAGCTGGTTAGACCTTGACCTATACCATTTATGCTAATTCAGCTGAGCTGCGGTGTTCACAAATCCGACGACTAACAGAGTACGTAGGACGCCGCGTCTAACGGGAGGTTCCGCGAGAGTTCTTACTATGCTGCTATGTAATAGGTCTTTAAGATTGGAATGCACAAAAGAAAGAAAAAAGAGAAAAAGCTTCCAACATCCATTTTTAAGCCCCTTAAAATCCTTCATAACGGCACTCATGTCCCACCTTGGTACCCAACCAGCTAATAGTATCCATCGATCCATTTATGAAGTATCCATCCCGCAATTATTACCGTGGCTTACACACTAAGAAGCAGAGAGAAGCACCACGCAGGTAAGAACTAAAAAATAAAAATAAAAACAAAGCCGTCGGCTCGCCAAATCCCAAGAGTCCCGAAGTCTTAGGTCTAGGGTTTCTTTCCTATCCAGGGGCACAGCGAGCGGACCAGTCTGCCAGTGAGCTCAAGGGGAGGGGGTGGTCAAATCCTGCCAACTCGCTACAGGGGGGAGGGGGGTAAGGATTAACGAGCAGCAGCAGGGCCGCCACGCGTTAGGGAAGCGCGGATTGCCACTACTCATCTGCGGTAGCCGAACCACCGGGTCCGCGTGTGCCAGCCGTCCGACGATCGCTCTCCAGGAACTTTGAACACACACGATTATTAATTGGAAAAGACGCAGAGGCCAGCCGCGAACAATAGGGGACCCTGACGTCTTCTCTCCGTCTTCCTGTATGTTCCTGTATGTATGCATTAGGGACGGCAACGATCGCGAATCAAACGTTGGCGATCCTGGAATCCGGTCGTGGATGGGGAATGGATGGATGCAGGTAGACTGCAAGACGCAAGCTATGGGATGTATCTGCATTGCCGATCAGGACGGAGTAGCTTAGGTAGCTGCCTAGCTAGATGCACCTAAGTCACATACCTAATTCTTTTTTTTTCTTCAAGCAGTTCGCAGTGTGTGTATGTGAATAGTTGCTTTTTTTTCTCTGCTCTCCGGATTCGACATCGCCGACCTGTGTGACTCTGAGGAAAAGTTCTAGATCTCGAATCCCCCCTTTCCGTCCCCTTTTCTTAGAATACGAACGGCTTTCGTTTCGGGTGATCCGTAATATCCAATATCTGATTAAGTCCGTACCTTAGTTAACCGCATTCAAGGGCGGAGTATTGGTAATACGCATGTCCGAACCACACCTCTCTCTCACCCTCGACCCTCACTATCATCCTCACCTCACTCAGCAAGTCTTCGCATTTGATATCCTCCCTACCGATCGAGAAAAATCCCGATCGAAAGCCCACTCACTCACTTGGATAGTCGCCGAAGTCGAGACGTCCCGCTTCCCGTGTCTGCCATTGAAACCCACAAGTCGCAACCCACTTTAGGCTGAGATGTTAGGTAAACGATGACATACCTACATCCATCCATCCATACCTAGCAGCGATGAGAATTTTTCTTTTCAAACGCCGCTTAGTACACACCTATTCCCCACGCCAATCATACCTACATAACCTACCTACACAGCTACCTACCTGCCTAGACAAGTACATTCGTAAGCATCGCCCGCTGATTCATCCTAAAACACACAACAACCACCACTGCTTCGTAAGTTGTTTCGCAATGTCGAGGCGTCATTAGCTACCTAGTAGCTAGCATATAGCTTTCTGCCACCGTCGCGGGAGTCTAGATGCGCCCGTCTTAGACGGAAGCCTCCGTTGCTTTAAAGCCGAGCCCCCTTTTACATGCCTAGGTACCTATCGCCAATGCCTAGACTATCCGGCGCGGCGTGCTTATCTCCCACCCGCAGCTTGCCGATCTGATCATCCATCTCTTGGACGAAACTTGGCGATGGCGAGGCCGCCCCTTCATCACCCCTCATCGCCGTTTTTCTTTTAAAAATTCCGACTGCGAATAGGTACCTACATAGGAGTATGTATGTATATATGTATGTATCTGCAAATCTTGTCCAAAACATTGGTTGGTATGTATACGCCGCCGCTGCTACCCCGCGACGGGAGATGCCATCCCGCTCGTTTCATTGGCAGGTCTGGTTCGTAGGATTTGCGGAGGCGGGTATGTATAGTCTATCACGATAATGCGCTCGGGATCTGGATGTATGCACATTTCGGCGCTCGCGACCGGTCTAGGAGATTTTGGCGGCGGCAGCAGCAGCAGTAGAAGCAGGGCAGAGTTAAGGCAGGCTGGCTGCAATATTTAAGTGCGTACCTAATCACGGCATATATGTACTAGGGAAGTAGGGAGGTAGGTGGGTAATTAAAGTCACATTTCTAGATCAATAGATAGATCATGGCGTTTACAGGATCGACGTCCGAGAGGGCTTATACGATTTCTTCGTCGCGGTAGTTGATGAGGGGTATCATGAACCTTCACAGTGTAGTGGGATGGACGCCGATCCGAACTCCGTCGCGGTATACGAATGTGTTTACGCTGGCGATAATCCAAGTCTTTGGGACTTGACGTTATAGGTGTGTCTCATTACAGCTTATCCAGTGGTAAAACGTCGTATTGTGCTTCCTCATCTAGATCGAACGGACTTAATATTTAAATTTTAAGTTAGCGATGTTTCATTACCATGCAGCGTAAAGCTAGAATCGGAATCCTTGCTGAAGGCAAAGTTCACGTTGATGTCATATGGTTCCTTAGATGATGTGGACTGGACCATAAACTCTAAGACAGAGGTACGAGTTTTCAATAATAAGCGATAATGCTTATATTTCGTGGCAAAGACTTGAAGTTGTGAATGCTGCCTGGTAGTGACTCAGTGACAGCATGACAATGATGAGAACACATGACGAGAGCTTCTTGCCTCTTTGGAAGTTTCGTGTGTATGTGTGTATTCGTGTAAATGGGAAACAATATATAGGACACGATCATATCAGGGGCTTATGGTTATGCTCATGCAAGGGGACGAGACCTGAGTAGAGGGTTTGTCTAAAGAACTTGGAGTTATGTTGTCTTTGCATAAACCTACATATCTGAACGCAACTCTAAGGGTCTTTGTCTCGATCTAGTCTATGGTGGAGGTGTCTTCGGTAGCCTTGTGACCAAGATCTCGAACTAAGTTGTAACGAGACATACATGGCAAAGGAGGGCATCCTATAGGTGGGAGAGGATGAGCTGTAAGAGACTAAGAGTTCGTATGGGAACCCGCGGGTTGAATTACATCCCTAGTACGTATGCTAGTACGTATGAGGCTGAGCTGGGCGCGACGCAAGATTCGTAAGGCTTTCGATGCCTAGGTAATTATGTAGTTGTATGTACATATAAATGTTATATAAATGTATCCATATGATGTCTCGTGGTTTTAATGAAAATGGGTTGATGGATAGCCGCGGCTCAGGAGACTAGCTTTGTTACTGCTGGACCAGGTGACCAGGTGACTGCCAGGTGCCAAGGCTTATTACATAACTCGGTTCACGGCTTACGCATATCGATAACACAAAATACTAGGTACCTAGAGCTCGTACAATTCCGGGGTCACGTTCCCGGCAAGAGTTAAAAGTCTAGCCCACATCGACTGACGTCAAGGGTAGCTCTAAATTCCCCACAAGGTCACAGCCCACCTGCATAACGAATGTTGTTCTTTCCTACCTAGTACCTAAGCTGTGAACTTCCGCTGTCCGGTTAGTCAATTAGTTTGATGTTTGGTCACCGGCCTTCTAAAAGTTAAAAAAGTCTTCTGAAAACGTAAATTTGCTGAGAAAAAACAAACTAACCACATCGTCCGATTTCCTGTCACCTGAACAAATCCACAAAGGACCCGGCTTCCAGCTTCAGCCTTCGCGAGTTGGCAGTTGGTAGTTCGCGAACCGACGAGTCGACGAGGTGCCATTTTAGTTCTTTCGTACCTCCGTTTCCCCCGTTAATCCTCCCCTAGTCGGGCGTTCGTACCATGATCGTCTCTTTAAACCTCGTCCAGCTCTGAATCTTATTCGATATCTGTTGACGTCTAGACCGCCACCTTGCATATTCTTACTCCATATCGATCTTCTGTATCCTTACCATCCCCACATCTCCATCTGATTCGCCTCGAAATAACCAGACAGCCAGACAGCTGACAGCTTGGTTTGCTCCAAGTTTGACAGGCGATAATAGTACATAGTACAGCAAGTTCGGTACCTATCTGCCTATTTACTGTAACTGGTAATCGGCAGCTTAGGTAAACCATCTAGGTTATTCCTCTGTAACCTTGACCTGCATCGTTTGCCTTTGCCTTACTTTATCTACCTGTTCTAGACGTCAACATGGCCCCTGACCTCAACTCACTTCCACCATCATCACCATCTGCACGTCCACGCATAATGACCTCTTCTACCGGTAATGGAGATTCTGCTATCCGCGGGGAATCGGCATCACCGTCCCCTCGGTCAGCATCCACTTCACTGCAAGCAGCCGCAACTATGAATGCCGGCCTCCAACATGAGCCTATGAGACGTAAGTCCTTATCACTATCTCTCAGGATTACCTAGTATATATATTCTTACCTGGCACCTATCCACATGTTTTTCTACTTTTCTTACTTTCCTACCTTTTGAACTTATTACTTACTCACACATCTCTTCTACAGGCTCGTCGAGTAGCTCCCTTTCACGACACCGACAATCACCACAGATGGGCCGACGACGCTCCACAGTATTGATGAACCTGCAACTGAACGACCCGTCCGTCCCCGGCCCAGGCGAAATGGTTTCGGAGGGAAGTGCCGGATATGCTACACTCAGCCCTCAGCTTACAGCCACCTCTCCTCTTCTCATAGGGGGCGATCCTCACCATAACAGGGCCCCGAGTCTAGGAGAATTACATCAGGAGCTCGAGGCGGAGCAGGAAGCACAAGTGGTATGCTACACGTGTATCGTTCGATTCGGGTTTCGGTTAGCTAATATGGATCATGGTAGAACCGACTGTTGCTCATGATTCGTCAACAACAACTCCAATTACAGCAACTTCAACAAGCACAAGGACAAAATCCAACGAGCGTGGCTGCTGAGGACGCAACCCCGACCTCGGAGAGATCAAGTTCTATGACGCTTCCGAATCCGGTTACACAACCACCAATCCCCGCGCCGTCGACTTCTGTTCCTCGATCACCCGTCTTCTCGCATCCTCGTTCTTCCTTCGACATCGCCCGCGATGCTCTACACCGCAGATCGAGAACACCAAGTCGCGGTGCTCCGTCTCCTAGAATGAGATCTACATCCATCAGTGGGGAGAGCGGGGAACCGCATCTTTCCGGCGTTCGCGACGAAAGTGCTTACTACCAGGCCGAGACCCAGTCTTTGGTCCGCGAGAACCAGATGTTGAGACATAGAATCAGGGAGCTTGGTAAGATTTACCACCTACCTCGATATTTGCACATCAGTGGCCAGCTAACCCCTATCCAGAACGCCAACTGAGCGAGGCTCACGCCAACAACACAGCACTGACACGAGAGCCAGCTCACCACTCTCAACTTACACAATCTACCTCGGTATCCGAGGAAGAGGGGGCAGCAGGGCCATCCTCTGGTCCTACAGCGTCTGCTAGTACGGCTCAACCTATTGCGGTTTCGGAGACTCCCAAAGACGAATGAGCGAGTTCGGGCTGGTCTGTAAATTTAGTAACGGTCTCGAGGCGTTCGGTTGTTTTCCTAGGTAACTCGTCACGGACGACGGAGTGAATTTACATGTCCTTTCAGGTCAAACGTCGGCGTTGGTGGAAACTCTGGTAAGGGTACCAGGGACGAGAAATACGGGTTATTGAAACAGGACACACGGCAACTGTTTCCGGTGTTTCCCCTCGATTGCATCTCAAATCATTAGTTTTATCGACTGCCTTTCTTTCCGGACGGTGTTTCGGCGTACCTTATATTCTCCTTTTGCTTTTTAGAGTGATAAAATCGTGATGCAAATCACAGGTTTCTGTCGACTATCGTATTTTGAAATGTGTATGATGGTGTTGAGATATGTGATGTGTCATGATAAGAGCAAGAGTAAATGATTTGGATCTAGACGGTGATATGGTCTTATTGAATAGATTAAGAATCAAGTCGAATAGACATTTACATTATAATAAGACATTTGGTATAATGAGATATCTACCTAGATATAAGATGCATATGTAATAACAATCACTAATGCAACAGCGGTGCGATCAGCCCTACCCGATAATATCTCCGATGCTAGGATATGATATCATCCTTGTCGTTTATAGTAGTGTGCTAGGTATAATAAATATCTAGAGCTACTGAGCTCATGCTAACTTACCCCAACTCAACCTCTCGACTTCGTTTCAACGAAGATGTTCGCCAGGACCGCTCGACGCCAATTGCAGTCGAGCACTGGTTTATCATGTATAGCCCGTTCATTTTCGAGCACGGCGCCGGTTAGGACCGATTTCACTCATGTCGTAAGTCTACAACCCCGATCTCGCTAGTTGAAGGGGATTTATATAGAACCTTTACTTTCATATATCTTCATATGCATTTTATTTAAGGCATACAAACACATATATCCATATAAATCCTCACAGCCTCCCCTAGATAATCGGCGGCGGCGTCGTCGGCCTCGCCATCGCCCGGTCCCTAGCCTCCTACCACGCCACCCACAACCCCAATACCACATCCTCCACCCTCCTCCTCGAAAGACATCCCCACCTCGGCACCGAGACCTCCTCGCGCAACAGCGAGGTCATCCACGGCGGTCTGTACTATCCCCCGGACTCCCTGAAAACCCGTCTCTGCATCGCCGGCCGCGAACAGCTCTACGACTTGTGTAACAAGTACTCCATCCCCCACCGCAAAACGGGGAAATGGATCGTCGCGCAGGACGCGGCGCAATTAGAGAGTCTGGAGAGGATCCACGAGACGTGTAAATCTACCCTCGGTGTCCCGACGAGATTTTTAACCAAAACCGAAGCCCGAAACGCTGAACCCGATGTCCGCGCCGAAGCAGGCGTGCTCGAAAGCCCAGAGACAGGAATCGTAGATTCGCACGCGCTAATGACCGCTTTACGCGGGCTCTTCGAAGACGCAGGCGGTACCGTCGCCGTGAACTCCAGCGTAACATCTATCACCCCCCTCCCCACCTCCCCGTCCTCGCTCCCAGGGAGCAGCGGCTACGTCCTCACAGTGCAAGACACGACAACCGGCGAACCCAGCCGCATCACAGCCTCCACCGTAATCAACAGCGCCGGCCTGCACGCCTGCACAATCCACAACCTCCTCGCCCCCGCAGCCCGCCACATCACCCCCTTCTACGCCAAGGGGAACTACTTCGCCTACACATCCCCCCGTCCCCGCGTCTCCCGGCTTATATACCCCGTTGTGACGCCCGGGTCAGGCGGTCTCGGCACACATTTAACCCTCGACCTCGCCTCGCGGATCCGTTTCGGTCCCGACGTCGAATGGGTTGCCGACCCTACCTCCCTCTCCGTGACCGCGTCCCGACTCCCCGCTGCGGTGGCGGAGATAAGGAAGTATTTACCGGGTATTGAGGTAGATGCTCTGGCTCCTGATTACGCGGGTATACGGCCGAAGTTACGACGCGCGGGCGCGGAGGGGAAGGGGAAGGACGGGTTTGTGGATTTTTACGTGAGGAGGGAGGATGGGTTCGAGGGGTGGGTGAATTTGTTGGGCATTGAAAGTCCCGGGCTTACGAGCAGTTTGGCGATTGGGGGGTTGGTTAGGGAGATGCTGGTTGGGAGTAAGAGTGGGAGGGGGGTGGATGAGGCGCCGGCGTTGTGAGGGATGGGATGATATTGGATGGGATGGTATGGGATAATAGTGCTTGGTAGGGACTTGGGTTAGATTACAGCAGATGCCAAGTAGGTATTGGGCTTGACGATATCTCTCTAGCCTTGTCTTGGCTCATCCTACAAATGACAAATAACGAAAATCACGATTTCAACATGGGTATGTCGCGTGAGGCTAGGTGTGTAGGACATCGCAATGCGTGGCATGCGATGTAATGCTCGCGATGACACCGTACAATCCACGTTATGCAGGGAGCCAACCCCGGACTCGGGATTAGGGGGGGAGCATGGGATTGGAAGAATTTAGGAACGCGCATCCCATTCCAAATCAACCCTACCATCGAACGCGCACCAATGACGCAAGAAAGATCCATGAATGAAAGAAGTTCACTGCACTTATTATTGGTCGAATGTAGGATATGTACATGGGAATCGATTCGGTATCAGTCAATGCACGGCCAGCAAAACAGTAAAAGAAAATTCCGACGTGTCGATGGCATTTAGGCCATCTGATTCCAATGTTGCTCTCTTGGGTCTGTTTCTCTGCCTGTTTCCTACACTACCTCTCACCTCTCAGCGCGGAGCCCTTCGAAGCTCCAATGGCGAAATGACTTTTATTGTGGAGAACTGCAGACGTGTCGAAGGGATAAAATCAACTCCCGCCCCTTGGAAATGGGAGTATCACCGGTCCTTGCAAAACAAGAATCAGAGACAAGCCTCGGAAAGCGTAATAAATCGTCGAGTCCCTGCCCGGGGAAATGTAATAGACGCAATCAAACAAAATAAAAACGCCCTTGCCGCCAACCCCTTAATGCACCTTATGTGAGTATAAAAAACTCCTCAAACGCCGTCAAGAGCCAATGAGTTCTGATCGAAAGCCACTAATCGTAGGCTACAGACGAATGTGAACTAGCGAAGCTGAAGATCGGGGAATTGTCTTCTACCCAGCATATCGACATGGAGTTCATATATGCCGTCCTCGGCCGCCGCATACCTATAATCCTTTGTTAGTCATGCGTAATGCGTAATGTGTATCCACCATCGTGGGGCTAAGGATTCAACTTACAATGTTCGCCCGTCCTCGCTCCATGCCAAACCCGCGGTATCATCCGGATTCTGCTGATGCTCGCGACTGCCTGTTCTAATCCTAGTGAAGAGGGAATCGTTGGACCATACGTCGGCAATTACAGGTATTCCTCGGCGGGTTCTGTTGGACTCGGCTCGGGTGTTGTCCTGAGTGCCACGATCGTTTAGATAGGCCATGGCTATGTTCTCCGAATCGGGCCAGGCGGAACTGAGCCGTCCAGGAAACCACGGAGAAGAAGCTCGTTCGCGCGACGTCGCCGAGCTATCGTTGTTTGCATCGTTATCCGGAGCTTGCGTTCGATTGGCCGCATATTGAGAGATGTTGTCTACGTTCTGGGCCAGCGAATGCATGATGGATGCGCTTCGTCGTCGTTCGCGCCCAGCAGCAGCAGCAACTCTCCCGAGGTCCGGTTCAGGTGGTGTTTGGCTAGCGCCAGAACGGTGCTGGTCGCGCATACGCTCTCGTTCAATAATGCGGGTTATCGCCTCGCTCTGAGAATGATTAGCAAATATATCTGACGGAGTTACACGGCCTGTCTGTGAAAAAGCCATATCTGCAGTATCCGTGTTCATCAAGTCCTCTTCTATTTCGTTGATGACATCGGACGGCAGATAAAATGGGTTTGGAGGTCTTGATTCGGGATCAAGACTTACCCGGTCTGTCCAACCCAATGGCCTCAATGCTGAACTTCTCTCGGCGGCTCGTTGACTCCTATGCTCTCCAAGCCTTTGGTCAATCTCATTTCGCTCCCGCTCCCGCTCCCGCTCCCGATCTCGGTTTTCGCGTCGCCGACGGTCGCTCTGGAATGCCTCTAGGACTGCAACCTCATCCGGAGTGAAGGGTTGGTTGACTCTCGCCGTAGTCGAAGGTTCCGGGTTCGGTAGTGGTCGATCGGACATTGCTCGACCCCAGCGCTCGAGTAGTGATCCAGATCCTCCAGGAATGTAACCCCCGGTGCCGTGTCCGCTTGGCTCACGCGAGACAAGTAGGCGTGGTTCGATCGTGTGGCTACTATCGTTAAGAGAGTGATGGGTGAAATCTTCATGATTTTGCAAGGGGATGATCTGTCGGCGCTTAAAATTAGTGCGTGCATCCGCCACACCAATCCGTCCTCGATGTTCCGACCATGCCAGGAGATCGAGGGGACCTGGTGAAAAGGCCATATCCCTCACAGCACCACATTCTTCGGGGGCTCGATCAGAATTAAAGTATGTCATTAAGGGCTCAGAATGAGGGTCCTTGAGAGCGACAGCATCAAAAATGGAGATAGTGCCATACTGAGTGCCTACAGCCAAATACTTTCCGGATGAGGAGAAGCATGCCGCAAAACTACCCCTACACTCGGAAGTGTCTTTCTCCCATTCGCCCTTAAGGCGTATTCTTGGCAGGTCCTTCCACTTATAGGACTGTCGCGAGACTCCGTGGTAATGCTTGGTAAACGACTGCCGTACGTGGATGTAGAGGTACGGGTCGTCACAAATGGCAACTAGAAGTGATCCATCGGGAGACAGGACGCCGCGGTTGACGCAGTCAGGATACTCTAAAACATCCTTGTGCAGATCAGGTTCGTAGAGCCCTATAATAGTGATGGACTTGTCATTGTTGGCCACGACCGCTACTGGAGAGTCATACTGTCCTGGCGCTGGTGCACCATTTCCCTTAGGCGGGTGCCACATGGTGATGCAATTGACGCGTTCGGTACCGACCTTGTAACTTGAAGCCGTCCAAGTCTTGTTCGAACCGTTAATCCGTTCAACGACTGTAAGCATATCCCGTTGGAGCTGGAGCATGGGACCTTCGGCCATGTTGGAGTTCTCCATCGAGTTCAGTCTCGACCTATAGTCCCTGCTAATGTTGTCGGCTTGGACATCACTGCTTCCTGACTCTCTGATAACAACTAGTTCTCCGCTCTCGCCACCGCAGCAGATCCAGCCCTTGCTGGCAATGAGACATCGTGGATGGAAGCTAATTACTTTGATCGTCTCACATTCACGAGTCGATGTATCAAGTCGTTGGATGTGTGTATTGTTAACACCGGCGGGAAAGTAGAGGATATGCTGTCGTTCCGCACTAAGTAATGATCGAAGCTGCCAGTGACTAGAAATGGGAGGAAGGCTTAGTTTAGCTTGCGCGACCAAGGAGTCGAGATAGATATAGGTATTTAGACAGACAAGATGAAGTAATAAGGTAGTAAGGTAGTAGGCGGATATGTGGCGAGACTTACATTGGCGAGACGCTGCTCCGATAATGTTTGCGACCTTCTAGAAGCAGTAGGTTGCTAGTAGGCCAAAGACTAGAGGTTGATTGTAAATCAGCGGGGTTTGATATCTGGACGCGCATCAAGAAATCCTACCTGGCCTCTTCCTCTCTAGGCATCGTGCCAATGGCGGGTGTTGATACCGCAATTAAGTCGCATCGATCATTAGAAGCGCGTCTAGAGAAAAGTAAAGTGACACGTCGGGAGATGCGCCGATCGCAGATGTTTCGATCTCGAAGTTATTGTGGTAGGAGAACAGGTTTGGGTTGGCTGCCCAGGTGGGATAAACTGGGATGTTGATTGAAAAGTTGAAAGTAACAATCACATCTGCAGCGGCGGCGACGGCGACAGAGACAGAGACGGATACGAAATGGTAGATAGGGTATGCACTGATGTGCAGGGAGAAATCAGTTACAAAGTGATCCGCGCCCCAGGGTTAGGGGTGCAAGTTAATTTGCAGTAAGGGAAAATCACGGATGCGGGTAGATTGGTTGTTATGAGGTAGGTTGAGGTTAAATGGCGACAGGTAGAATGAAAATTATTATTTTTTGTGTTCACAAGACAATGAGGACAAAGGTCAAAAGGTTTCCCCAGGAAGGTGGAAGGCTCCTCAGATGACGTTCAGATTCTCAGCAGTAGCAGTAGCAGTAGCAGTAGCATTCAAAGTTAGCAGCAACAGCAACGGCCGACAACCAACTGGGTACGGGGCAACCACCATCAACCCTGCCTAGGTGCATCCACCTTAACGGTAAGCACGATACGCTGGATACACCACAAAGTACCCACTATATCTGTTGATGTGAGTGAGATATGAGGTGTGGACGGGTGGTTCCTTCCTTTTGACAATTAAGAGAGTACCTAGGAACGATAGAAAGTAGGGACGTAATGCTCATTGTTATTCAAGTGAGAAGGAGAGTCCCAGGGTACAATGTTCCGTTTTGGTTAAAGCTAGGTAATACCTCACTAGACCTTGCAGTGATGCCATTTGGAACTTGGAACAACCTAATTATCCGTACTATGGGCGGGAGTATCGTCTAATAATAAGTATTATCTACCTGCACATATGGTAAACTCCGTAGATTTTCCAAACAGCCTTACATCATAGTATCTAGTACTTAGACAATTATTAAAACACGCATATTTATATGAATTTTAATATGTATTTTATACAATATTAAGTACGTATAAGTGTTAGTTGTGAGATGTTGTGCAAACATTCAATGTTAGTAGAAACCACTTGTGACCTATGAGATGTAAAAGAATTAAGCTGGTCATTGATGACTGTACAGCAACTCAACTTGAACCTGCTACATCGGGAATGGCCTACCAATTGAACGTCTCAAAAGGGTCAACTTAAAAGTTAAAATTCTAGAATATTATCTAAGCGCGGCTCCATCGCTCCATCCCATGCCCGTTCCAAGCACTTGTTGCCCGCTGCCCGCCCGGAGGTACGTACCGAGGTACCTGGTCGTTAAGAACGTAGAAGAAGTTAGCGCAAAGTGGGACGGCCGCCACTTCTTGAATTTTTCATCGCAGTAGCGGACTTCAGTAGCTTAGTCGATAGAATAAGGAAATATCATTGGTCCCGATACTGCCGAATTTGACCGCCCTTCGGGAAGCTCTGAGAAGAAATCTGCTCTCTTCTACGTCGCCGCAGAAATTTTATGGTATCCATCCCGCCAATTTTTTTGCCTCTTCCGTCCCCCTCCATACATAATAAAAACGTCGTCGGGTCACCTGTACATTAGACCAAAACTCTTCTCCCTCTTCCATTCCAATCCTTCCTACCAGTCACTACACATTTGCGGGTTTCATTCTTCAGCCTTCAATATGTTGGCCGCTCGATCGTTCTCTAGAGCTGTAAGTTGAAAAAAACCGGTCTTCCGAAAATTCACAAAAAATATTTTGTGCCCCAGTGCCCCCGCGCATAACTAACAATGAATTGATTCAACAGCTTCCCCGAGCAACTCCCACAGCTGCGCGATGGGCTGCGCCTCTACGAAAACCTTTAGGATCCAGTTTCGCTCGATATGAGTCAACTGAGGGAAAGGTCCAAGGTGCCGTCATCGGTATCGATCTTGGTAAGTTTGCCGATACCATTGCCAATACCACTGTCACAACTTTGTCTTGGACGATAAATTAATATTCTTCCTTAGGTACCACAAACTCGGCTGTCGCAATTATGGAAGGAAAGGTACCCAGGATCATTGAGAACTCAGAAGGTAAGATAATATCACTGGCGCTATCGCCGTCGCTGTCGCACGTATATATGCCCATGACGAAATATTAATCAGCAGTGTAGGTGCTCGAACAACACCATCTGTTGTTGCCTTCGCTCAAGATGGCGAGCGGTTAGTCGGTGTTGCCGCAAAGCGACAGGCTGTCGTCAACCCTGAGAACACTCTCTTTGCCACTAAGCGATTAATCGGACGAAAGTTCACCGATCCCGAGGTCCAAAGGGACATCAAAGAGGTGCCATACAAGATCGTGCAACATTCTAATGGTGATGCTTGGGTAGAGGCTCGAGGACAGAAGTACTCTCCTTCGCAGATCGGTGGTTTTGTCCTGAACAAGATGAAGGAGACTGCTGAAGCCTACCTGAGCAAACCAGTTAAGAATGCCGTCGTCACCGTTCCTGCTTATTTCAACGACTCTCAGCGTCAAGCCACCAAAGATGCCGGTCAGATTTCCGGTCTCAACGTTCTCCGTGTTGTCAACGAACCTACCGCTGCCGCACTAGCCTACGGACTGGAGAAGGAAGCTGACAGAGTTGTCGCCGTCTACGATCTTGGTGGTGGTACCTTCGATATTTCTGTCTTAGAGATCCAGAACGGTGTCTTCGAGGTTAAGTCGACAAACGGTGACACCCACTTGGGTGGAGAGGATTTCGATATCCGCCTAGTCCGTCACCTCGTTCAGCAATTCAAGACCGACTCCGGTATTGACCTGTCTAACGACCGAATGGCCATTCAGCGAATCCGTGAGGCCGCTGAGAAGGCTAAGATTGAGTTGTCCTCCTCTCTTCAGACCGATATCAGCCTTCCCTTCATCACTGCCGACGCCTCGGGTCCTAAGCACATTAACACTAAGATGACTCGATCGCAGCTTGAGAGCATGATGGACCCCTTAATCACCAAAACCATCGAGCCTGTCCGCAAAGCCCTTAAGGACGCTAACCTGCAGGCGAAGGATATCCAGGAGGTTATTCTCGTTGGTGGTATGACTCGTATGCCCAAGGTTTCCGAGTCTGTCAAGAGCATCTTCGGCCGTGAACCCGCTAAATCTGTCAACCCTGACGAAGCTGTTGCCATTGGTGCTGCTATCCAGGGCGCTGTTCTCTCTGGTGAGGTTAAGGATCTACTGCTATTGGATGTCACTCCTCTGTCCCTTGGTATCGAGACTCTCGGTGGTGTGTTCACTCGATTGATCAACCGCAACACTACTATCCCTACCAAGAAGTCTCAGGTCTTCTCTACGGCTGCCGACTTCCAGACCGCCGTCGAGATCAAGGTATTCCAGGGTGAGCGTGAATTAGTCAAGGACAACAAGCTTCTCGGCAACTTCCAGTTGGTCGGTATCCCGCCCGCACACCGTGGTGTTCCCCAAGTCGAGGTTACTTTTGACATCGATGCCGACTCCATTGTACACGTTCACGCTAAGGACAAGAGCACCAACAAGGACCAGTCCATCACCATTGCCTCCGGCTCCGGTCTATCCGACTCTGAGATCGAGCGCATGGTCGAAGACTCCGAGAAGTATGCCGAGCAGGACAAGGAGCGCAAGGCTGTTATTGAGACAGCCAACCGTGCCGACAGCGTCTTGAACGATACCGAGAAGGCTCTTAACGAGTTCGCGGATAGACTCGACAAGACCGAGGCTGAAGCAATCAAGGAGAAGATCACCTCTCTACGCGAGCTAGTCAGCAAGAGCCAGTCTGGAGAGGGTAGCGCTACGTCGGAAGACATCAAGGCTAAGACCGACGAGTTGCAAGTCGCCAGCTTGAACCTCTTCGACAAGATGCACAAGGCCCGTGCCGAGAGTGGTGAACAATCCGGCAGCTCCAGCAGCTCGGAGCCTAACTCTTCGGAGTCCAAGCCCGAGGACGAGAAGAAGCCTTGAATGCGTTAATTAAGACGAGAATTTTCTCGATCCACCCTTAATTATCACTCAGAGCCGGGCCTGCACGACCCAGCTCTCCATACCTGTACATTACCCTGTACTCATACTTGCCGCTTCCACGTTGATTCCCCGACTCGTCTTAACGACATTCCAACTGAGGCGATGCTCCATCACACGAAATTTGCGGGCGGATGTGCGGCGTTCTGAGAATTTGGGGGGTAGGGAAAGCTTTTTAAAGTTATTACGTTTTTTTTACCATTAAAATCTGCATGCATTGCTGAAGAAGACGGTTTTTCATGCGAGATTTTTTTTAAACCGATGATTGAATGAAATGGCATCGGGTGAAGAAGGTTCGCTCTGGTTCGGGGCATCTATGTGTGTGTATGTATATAGGACCTTATGACGAAGGATAGCAAAAAATAATGGAAGACATCCCCTCTCATGATTATGGCTTTTTAACTTGGTTGTGAGGTTTGATTGTGTGCTATGTACATTGGAATATGGCTCCTGGCATATTCTATGGTGAGTTGGTGTTAATTACATGAACGACCTATATACCGCGGTTCTTGCTATGAGAAGTCGCAGATGGCTTCTTATGCCTACCAAGAGCCAACCCCCTAATCATCCCCGCCGGCGCCGCAGAAACTCTGGCTCTGCCGCCTCGTCTCCGGATCCATCTCGTCGACCATACGAACGAGATCATCCGGCCGTTCTGCTAGGGTGAGGAACATGCCGCCTTTAACACCAGAGATGTTAGCGCTAGTAACTTCCAAGGTTGACTTTCCAGGGGAGGGGGGGAGTCTCACCTTCAACATGCCATGCTACGTGGCAGTGCAGCGCCCATACCCCCGGGTTATCCGTCGCGAAGCGGATGACTACGTGGTTCGACGGCGGCACCGTCACAGTGTCCCGCCGCATCGGGTTGTCTAGGCTCCACGTCGTCGTGCCGCTGCCGAAGAGCCCGTGGCCCCAGCCTACGATTTGGAATGTGTGCCCGCTGTTTGATGGGGGTTAGTATCGAGGACGGGTGAGGAAAAGGGGAGGGGAAGGGGGAAAGTATGGTAAGGGGGCGGGGCTTACTGTAAATGCCACGGGTGCTCCATCCCGTCCTTTGAATTTATGACGATTTGCGCGCCTTGCTCGGAGTCTGGGATGTGGAGTACTTGCTGGTTCAGCCCGAAGTCCCAGCTGTTATACGAGTTCGCTTTGTCGGCGGTGAAGTTCTGCTCTATGGCTTTCCAGAGCGTGGCGTTGTTTGGGAGGGGGGAGTATGATGTCTATGTTTCGTTAGTTTGGTAACTTGAGAATTTGGGACAGTTAGGTATGGCGAATATGTGTATACCTTATTAATGAAAATCCGATTAACTTCCTGGGCTTGACGGAACGCATACTCGATATAATGCGTATTTGTCTCGCTAACATTGACCGCAGGCTGCCTGCGCATCGGTACCGGCATGTCAAACGGCATATCATCGCAGCCCTCCCACACATCTCCCCTAAGTTCGTTATTCTCAACCCCGTACGGGTTCGTCGTATTCCCCGCCACACCAATCGTCTTAGGCACCCCCTTACTCTCACTCTCACTCTCACTCTCACCCTCACCCCCTTCACCACCACCCTCCCCGTCCTCTTCAGCATATACCAAAACCCCTTTAACACCATACCCCCCATCCTCCAGCCCAGCACTCGTATACGTCGAGTACGGCAAAAAGCAAGTCCGCGGCATCGACGCTCGTATGTAATAGCTCCCAACCTCCTGGTCCGCGGTTAGTACGACGGACACGCGTTGGCCTAGGTTCAGGTACACGCCGCGCGCGGGTATGGGCTCGATCTCGACGCCGTCGAGTTCGACGATCGAGAGCGTGTGGTTGTCGATGCTGAACCAGTAGGAGAAGAAGCTGGATGCGTTGATGAGACGCAGGCGGGTTGTGCGGCTGGGGTGGATTTTGGTTTTGTAGAGGTTGCCGCCTGTGCAGTCGTTGGTGTTGGTGTTGGTGTTTTGGTGAGAGGATAAGGGGAATGTGGTTGAGGTTATGGAGCAGTTATACGTGTTTTGTCCGTTCATCAGGATGTTGTCTGAGAGGGGTTCGACGCCTGATTCGTTGGGTGCCCATTTGGAGGTTGAGTTGAGGTAGCTGTTTAAGATCTTCATCGTGGTTAAGGCTTGTGGTTAGCTAGGTAGATTCCTTCATGAAAGGTGAACAGGGGTATCATAAAAGTTCGAGTTCTTACAACTGATCCGTAAGTGTGATATACATCCGATACAAAAATGAGTTTCTCGCTATCCGTCTTAGGAACCATCTCATCCGGATCGTGAATAACAATGGCTCCGTAAGCACCGTCGCTATACTGCACCGAAGAATGGGCATGCCACCAAAACGTGCCCCTCTGATCCTTGACCTTAAACTCGTACGTGAAGCTCCTCTCCGGCGGGATCCCGCATTGTGTTATCCCAGCCACGCCATCCATCCACGGCGAGCCTTGCTGGTTGATTCCGTGCCAATGGATCGACGTACTAATATTCGCCATCAAATTGTTGACCTGCACCCTAATCGTATCGCCCACATTCGCCTCGATCAACGGCCCCGGAGACTGCCCATTGACAAGGACCATCGGTTTCCGGAAGCCGTCTGGCGCCGCAAGAGACAACGAAACGTTGAACACGTATTTGCGGATCTTGACCCCCTCATCCCCTTTCCCCAAAGCTGAAAATCCAGTATCGAGCTCAAGCTCCGTTCTATTAACCAGCCTCCCTATCGGCACAAACTCCAGATCTTCAGGCACACCAACACCATATTTACCGCCATTACCCCCATCTGCTACCAGCGTTTCTCCATCCACAATCCTATACCGCACAACCCCGAGCCCGAACCCGCAGCCCGCACCTAGAGTTAATGCAGCGATGAACAGGCAGACGAGAGAAGCTATAAAAACACGCAAGGAAACCGATTTCCTCCGTGAACCCTTATCCTCGGCGATAAGAGGAATATCAATATAATCATCAGTATCCCACGCCTTCGCCGACCAATCCAGCATTGGGTGATTTTCGGAGTCGATCCCGGGTCCCATCGACCCCATCGCGGAGCGTGAAGAGCGACGACCGAACATAGCTCACCATATCTTTAAAAAACACACAAAAAACACAAGCGCAATTCAATGATATCAGGTTCATTGGGGGGTTATCTACCCGACCTACCTACCTCCTTCAGGGACGTCATGAATATAGTAAGGGATGTGGGTATCCAACACCAGGTATGCCATGTCGCAGAACGCCCTTCGGTGCGATGTGGCATCCACACGACAATCAACCCACAATTGAGTGAGCAGTCCCTTAAGGGATGAAATACATACATACAATACGTGGCTCAGGGGAAAAGGATAGTACCTAGTAACACAATAATTGACGAGAATGTCTCGCAGCTTGTAAAATTCCGATTTGCTATCTGTTTTACGTAGAATGGACAGCTCATAGTTGGGCGATGGGTTACTATCTTCCAAACCCAAACCATCCTTTCTTCTGCGGTTGAGCTGCTTGTTGAGCTGATTGCTCTTCGGGCTCCGGGGCAGCGGCCGGGGTCTTGCCGGGATATTCAATGTAATTCCAGGCAACATCGAAGAAGAGAGGTTTCACCGGAATTGGGTCGACCTTGGGCGGGAAGTCCACTAGACGTGTCAAATCTACACCTTCTGCAGGGTATTCATGTAATCGTTGCACCAAGGGAATCCTCGCTGATGCGGGAGTTGTATTTGCTGCCTTCTTTCGCAGATTGTCTATTTCAACAATTGCGCGGCATCGTTGAAGCTCCCCTCGTAAGAGATTGTGCAAGAATTGAATATCGGGCTGCCGAATTTCAATGTTGCGGGGAGAAGTCTCTGAAGAAGAGGTTTCGTGTTTGGAGAAAAACGCCACAGCCTGTTCACACTCGTCAAATGCATGTTTGGTAAGAACTAATGCATTGAGTGATTGGTCAGTTAACGAATGCGACCGCGCAATAGAGAGAGACCTATACAGCAGATTAGCATTCATTTAAATCATGTACGTTAAAGTTGTAAATACTGACTTTAGAGCATGGAAATACTTTGCGGTCGCATTTAATTGTTCTAGAAGACTTTCGTCAGCCGCAACACCAGGTAACTCTTTAATCGAATCGATGCTCTGTATCGTAGAATCGTAAAGCACGACTTTATCTTTAAGTCGAGAAATCTTTCTACCGATAGGCTCTATCTTGGGCTTCCGAGCGGTGGCTTCTTTCTTAGATTTTCGGGTAGTTGTCGGTGCTGAATCTAACAAGGCTCCGTCGTGCTCTCCGCTCAATACCCGATTGCGACCAATTCTCCAACTAATCATCTGGTAGTTGACGGCTGTGCGGGTTATTTGTAAACTCTGTACTCGGGGGTCATTCTGCGACACGCCTTCTTCCTTGAGCTCGTCAATAACACGTTTGGTGGCATCTGCTGCATCTTGGCTAGCTATAAGCACTTCGTCGTATGCTGCAGACATTTCCTTCGGAAGTATAATATCGGATGACGAAAGCTTCTCCGCCAGTCTAGAAGTAGCCGTATCGGTCGAAGCCAGTGCTATTGCGATAGCTGCATCTTCGATCTTCACTTCTCGAGATCTCCACGTAATGGTCTGTGGTGCGTTTGGGGCGCCTACTTGGCCTTGCTGAGCATCCGAATCACTTGTCTTTAGCAAATCCGGGGCCAATTTGTTGATCTGTTCAACCAAGGAAGAGTCGGAAGAGGGAAAAGCTTTTCTAGCTATAGTTGGTATCGCCAAAGTTCTTGGAACCTTGGATTGATAGGCGGCATATCGAATAGATGGGTCGATAGTTTCTGATAGTAGATCTTTAAAGATATCCCCTTTGATTGTCGTGGTAAGAGCGGTATATATGATACGAGCTGTGGCGTAACTTCGTAGACAAGCTTCCCAGCTCTGTTTCTCAAATTGCGTCGCACCCCGTATCATGGAAGCATACGCACGTGCTTCTAGGATATCCGTGTCGCTGGCGCCACTTGTAGAACTATCAGATAAGACGTTGGCGAGATCTTCGGCGGCTCGAGCTCCTTTATCTAATCTCGATATTATGTGGGAGCGTGTTCTTCCTGTGATGCCCTTGGTGTCGGCGGAATGGACGGCTTTAAATCTCATCGCATGCGCCCAAGCACGCTCGGCCGTCAATAATTGGAGATGAAGAAACCTGGTTCCGGTCAGCTATTGAAAATCCAACTCCAATAAGTAACTTTGCCCATACTCATGGTTTTCCGCGAGCTTCTCGGTTGTGATAGTGTCCTTCTTACTGAACTTGCCGCGATTCTTGGTGACGATATTCAACCTTTTTCGACAATTGTGTAGCTTCTTGACTAACTGTTTGTGATACGTACTGTAATCACCATACAACAATGCTTGGTTTCTAGCCGAAACCACGAAAGTGGTGATGTCCATGCTGGCGCAACCACAAGCTGACTGTCGCCGGTATAGATGAAGGTGGATGAGAGTTAGTGGGGTCTGAGGTCCAACCTAAATATTCCAAAATCTGAAATTCAATTTGATGTGGGGTTAAGGAGCCTAGCTTTAAGTATCTAGGTACCTATTTAGGTGCTGTAGCCACCTGTGGCTGTCTAACCGGCAAGCTGCCTGTGGAAGAGGCAGAGGGACAAAGTTTAATTGATCCAGGGCTATTTGTAGTGGGGCACATCATCCCACCATGTACCGGGTACCGCAAACGACCGTGGCTGGGTGGGTCCGATTAGCGATAGCTTGGAAAAAAAAGAAAGTCGAAGCTGCCGACGTCGTTGAAGAAGTTTAAATGTAGCGTGTGGTTAATTTTCCACTATACGTTATATTCCGTAGCCGAAGTACTCCGGTATGGTCTATACCATTTACAACTCTACAACTCCGATGTGTATTCTTTATGGTGTACCGTAAGTACCTACTTACTACTCCTCTTTTCAAAATTTCAAAATGTTAATGAATAATGGACTTGCGCCGGAAACTCTTGAAATCTCGGCAGTGCTAACACACTCATGAACCAGTTCCCATAATGTCTTAAACTCCTCGAACATACTCCTTTCGAATTGTTGGCCATTGTGCGAACTACTTACTGTTCCAAGCATACTCTAAATGCTGGAGAAGACTGCTGCGAGTCTGGAACCATGCGGTCTCCAACGAGTAGTTCCCGGCGTCGCCCAATCTCTTCGGTCTCAGAGACAACTTCGAAATTCCTTCTGGAATCATGGCGCAGCTGACATTGAAATCACCAAAGCTTGGCAAGCGTTAATGCATGGCACCTTTGATCTCAACATGGGGTCGACATCCGAAGAGAATAAGGGTTTGCCATTGACAGCTTCAGCCTTTCTTCTCGACTTCCTATACCCAACTGGTGCTGTCAACCTTATGCGTCGCTTAACTCCCACTACTTCCGCCTCTACCAGTCGATCAGATAGTCTCCGCCGGGGACAGCGCTTTTCCAAATTCGCCCCTCGCTTGTATACCTCATCTGTTCCCAGACAACAGGTTAATCGCCAAGAGAACGAGTCTAGCACCGGTGAAGAAGAGCATGAGCCTGGTAGTAATACTTCGGACACTGAGACAGGAGAGATACTAGGCACAGCTGTTGAGGATATAGACCAAGAGGTTGATATGGGTGCTTATGAAACACCGTCACAACTCGATACTGCCGCGGATGATATAAGTCATTTAAGCAAAGAAGAACATATTGAGACGCTCGACTATCTAATAAAGGACGGTAGCAACGACCCCAGAGACATTGATCAGATCTGGCATCATTACAAGTTCCTAGACGAATCATCGAAACTTACTTATATGGATCAAGTTCTGGATTCTCTTTCAAAGAGTGGTCGAATTTCCGACTCGTGGAAAATTTCGGAACTTTTCCACAAATTGTCTTTATCGCAGTGGACTGACCAAAATTTCGTCGCTGGTATCAGGGCCGAAATTGGCCTCCAGAACGATATTGAAGCCGTCGAATTGCTCATTAAAGGATTAGATCATGAAACTCTTGAGGTTCCCTCCTTAATTGACGCACTCGATTTAATACTTACCAGTGCATTACGATCTTCTAAGACAGAGTTATTATATAATATTTGGAGACACTATCCCAAGATGGCCGCCAGATGGGATTTTGGAGGCATTGTATCTCAACTGAAAAATGTTTCCGAAGTTCCTGATCTCGCTAGAAAAGCCATCGAATTTCAGAAGCGTGGACGGCAAGAGCTTCAAGAACTAGACAGTCAGCTTGGTCAGGAGGCGCTAGACATGTTGCAGAGAATTTTGGTTCGCAGAGCTCTTGCATCGTGTGCCAATGACCAAGTTATCCCCCTTCTCGGAGTGACGAATGACCTTCTCGCTTTCGAAGAATTTCTACGTGGTGTAATCTATAGGGATCAAGCACAACTTGGAATAGAGGTGTATGAGATCTATCGTAACCTCCCCGAGAGCATGCCGAGTCATCCCGTACTCCATGAAATTTTCAAAGCTTACAATCGCATCCGTGCGCCAATTTCATACAAGTACGCGGGGGTTGAAAAGCTGTGGGGAGACTGGCATAGATTCCATACCGTCCCTTCTCGTAGGGCCTTTCAGAGGTACTTAGCTTTTTACGCGGCCCAGGGAGATACTCGTAGGGTTTACGATCTATGGGCTAGACTTATGAAGCTATACCGCGATGACCCAGAGCTTCCAGCCCTGAAAGCTGACGACACATTTTCACATCTCCTTCACGTCCATGCTGTTCGAGGTGAAGTTGAAGAAACGCAACGCATTTTCAACGATATCGAGGGGAAATTTGGTATCAAACAAAATACCTACTCCTGGAACATTCTCCTGAATGCGTATGTGAAAGCTGGCGACTATGACGGTGCTATATCTACTTTTGAAAAATTTGGCGAAGTAGGAGAACCGGATCAGTATAGCTACGGGACAATGATGCAAATGGCCGGTACCAGAGGTGATCTAGGCTTTGCGATTGACTTATATCGTCAAGGATTAAGCGCTCGCGTAGGGGTCAGTGATGCTATCCTAAGCAGTCTCGTTGACGCGTACTGTCAGAATGACCACTTTAAAGCGGCCGAAGACGTCTGTATTCGTGCAGCCAAGAAAGGGATCATTGCAACTCGGATGTGGAACAAACTTCTTCGCTATCACGCTCTTCGCCGCGATCTAGCTGCTATCAATAGGGTTCTCAATATCATGGCCGAAAAAGATATCCCTTATAACGAATTCACATACCTCCAGTTACTTCTTGGCCTATCGTTATGTCGCCAATCACAACACGCTTTAGGGCTCCTCGCATCCGCGTTGAAAGACAAAACCTTTGAGGTTACCCAAGACCATTTCCATATTGTCATGGGTGCTTTACTTATGACTGGGGAGCCTGCATCAGTCCGACGTCTCCACAAGCTGATGCTACAAAATGGCCTCCCGAGTTCGTCTACTAGTCTGTTCCAGTTGGCTCAAGCACTCGGGCAATGGAAGAAATTCCCTCCAAGACAACGGGCACGTTTTACCGCGACCGAATGGCTTGGCAAAGCGCTTCGTTCATTCTATTATATATACGGCCTCAATAATAACAAGAAATTGATTGCGCTGTCATCTCCAAGCCATAATCGCGGTCAACCGGGCGAGCTTCTAGGAGAAAGTACTGAAAAGTTTCATTTCAGCACCATGGTTTACATGTTGGTTGATCTGAAAGATTTCGTCCAAGCTCGAGAACTTGTTGATCTTTATCGGTTTATCTTCCAAGGCGAAAAAGAGACAGGTGGAGTTTTGCCCGTCATGATGCTCAATTCTGTTATGCGTGCGGATCTCCAGGAACAGAATTACCCTCACGTTGCCGAAACGTGGAATATCCTCTTCGGGGCCGCGAAGAAGGAAGCACGCTCGGCTGATTACGTCGAAGAGCTACCTCATACGCCGAAAATCTCGCCTAGATATCGATATGTCCTATCAGGCGGTCTCGAGAGCATGCAAAGGATGCTTTTCAGCCAAGGAGACGCGTCAGGAATCCAGGATCTTATCAAAGAGGTTCGCTACGAGGGATTTGAGGTCGATAGCAAGAACTGGAATTATTACATCCAGGCACTTGTCCAGTTGAAAGAATACAAGGAATCATTTCACACATGCGAACATATGCTCATGCCAAACTGGACTGGTTGGTTCGTTGTGCGCACCAAGGAAAATATACGAAATCAGCTATCGCTAGACTTACGTCGGAAGGGCTCATCTCCCCGACATCTTCGACCGGTCTCTACCACGCTATACCATCTCGCTCAAGGTTACATGGAGTTAGATCAGCTCAGCTCTATCTCGATGGACTCGGCGAGGATCTTCCTGGAAATAGAGAGAGACTGCCCGCAGACGGTCCGGGCTATCAAGTCCATGATACGGGTGCACTCGAGCCTTGAAGCCGAAATTTTTGGTGAAGAGAATTTCACCGATATTGACCTTGAATACGACGATCAGGGTAATCCGATTGATACCTCTAGTAGGTAGGGAAGAAACTATGAGCTGATTCTCCTACACTTGCCTACCAAACTATGTGGATACAAACGCCCTATCCGATTGTATATTCAGCATATATGTATATAGCACAAACTCGAATCTATGTGCAATAGGACTTACTCGATTACGCCATGAGCATCGGAACTGTGACCATTGGCTTCCGATGCCTGTAACACGGCATTCAGGATCACTGAATAGGTAGGTATTTATTTATAATATGACATTAAGGCGCAGGGGCTATACCGAACTCGGCTTCCGTACGTACATACATACGGTTGACTCACGAGACCCCCCCTGGTTAGTCTAGGTAGGTAATGTATATGTGTAAGCCGTTATACAGTCCAACATCCAACAGCGCAAGCAGCACATAAGCACGTAAACCCGACTCGAATCGGCGGATCATGCGGGTTGTTGTTCATTGCGCTTTATTCCCGCTTCATTTACGCACTACTTGTTTTCAGCTGTTTGAATCGCTTCGTGTTGATTCTGGGTTGCGTAGAAGTAGAAGTAGAAGTTGGCGTATAGCCCGCCGTTGCTACTCCGATACTATGACGCTTCCGTTCCCGCACCCGTCGGCGCTGCTGCCGTCTGGGTTTGTTATGGAGAGGTGTGTGCCGGAGGATACGCCTGGGATGACGGATGTTTGGTGAGTTGTTGCCTTTTGTGTTTACTTTGTTTGGGGTTACTAATGTGGTGGTATAGTGAGTTTTTATTTATATTTGGGTTATACGTATATATATCACTTGCATTGCTTGAGGCATCACGCCTTCTTCCCCTTAACCCCAGGAGCGGGAATGGGAACGGGATATCTCCCTAGTGATATTTACCCACTAACCACCCCACCACCCAGACATGCACGCCTTCTCCGCCTCGCCCCAATTCACATACTGGTGGTCATCCCCCGCCACCATGCACGCGTGGAACACGGACCGGATCCGTGCCCGCTTCGCCGACCCCGGGATCCAGCAGTTTAAAGTTGTGGACGAGGCCACGGGGAAGATCGTCGCGTTCGCGAAGTGGGATGTCCCGGCTGCGGTTAAGGGGTTGGCGGAGGGGTTTGAGGTGTTTGATGAGGAGGGGAGGGTTGTGCAGAGGAAGGAGGGCGAGGAGGAGGAGGTGAAGAAGTTTGTTTTGGAAGTGCCGGAGGGGGTCGATAAGGAGTTGTTTGATGAGTTGTTTATCGGGTTGAAGAAGTATGGTTTTTTGTTTTTTTGTTTTCTTTTTCTTTTTGTGGTTGCCTGTTGACGATGGCGTGCTCGCTATGGGATTGAAACCTGTGGACTCCTTATTTTAGGAAGTATTTACCCATTTACTTGGTTACTTGCTAATTCGGTCATTGTAGGATGCAGGAGAAATGGCGTGCGAGTGAGAAGTTAAGTACGTGGAGTATACCCCTTTATTTCCTATAGATTCTTACCCCTTGGTGACTTTTCCTCCATGGAAATGTTTACATAATGTGCTGATAAATATAACAGCTCTAGGCATCATATGCACCGAGCCATCCTACCACGGCCGTGGTATAGGCGCCGCTCTCATACAGAGCGTTCTTGCCGTCGCAGACGCCGAGCAGGTTCCCGCGTACCTTGAGGCCATGCCCCTGGCTGTCAATCTATACAAGCGCCAAGGCTTTGTTCCTGTAGATACGTTGCAGTTCGACGCATCTAAAGTTGGAAAGGAGCACAAGCCTACGCTAGCTATTATGGTACGGGAGCCTAAATCGACGGCGTAGAAGGGGCGCTGAGTTGATGGCTTGTCCTAATAAGTCGTCAAGGGTGCATGCGGGATAGTTGGCAACGGATGGTTATAGATGATTTGCTATAGTACTCACAAGGTATACACAAAAGACAACAAAATCATCGCGATAGTCTGTTCCATCTTGATATACATATTACCTAAGAAATATTTAAAGGAATACTTGGCTCCCACATCGTCCCTTACGTGATTAGATGAAAATGCATGTGAAACCCAGGTGGATTCGCCTATCTGCGTTCTTAAGGCAAGAATAACTTCCGCTTAACTAATATCCTTAAATATCTATAAATCAACACTTCAAATGACTTACCTACCTAAAGCAATATTCCCGCCTCATCCCAAATCGACAATATCGTTTCACATATCGGACCCATATACACGCCGCCCTGCGCCGCCATCAACTCGCGCTCCCAGCCTACCTACCTACCCTACCTACCTAAATCCAGGAACCCAACCCGACGTCAACCTTTCACAGAAAACACCCAGTTCCCCCGCAACGAGATCCAGACGAAACAAGGCGATCTCATGAAACCGTGCTAGTTGACAATATTCCCGGTTTTCGCGTTGTACTATATATATCCACCTGATATCTCTCTGCATGCGCCGTACACCCGCATACGTGCGATGTAGACAGATAGATAGATGATACCTGGGGAGGATCGCAAAGCCGCACGATCCTCCGGCATTGGTGATGACGGTGTGGTAGCACATTAAGTTTATACGCCAGGTATGTAGATGGATGGATGTGCCTAGACGTGTAGGCAACGGGCACAGACGGCCAACCGCCATATCGGGGACTTTTATGTGTGTATATCTCGATTACCTACATACTTGAAGTTAAAGGTGCTTATGAGTAAGTACCTAATGCAAGGCGTAGGGAGGGCTGGATGCCGCATCTAAACATCGCGGTCCTTCCTCATACATCCATACGTACCTACATACATGCCTATCAGCCTTAGGTAGTTACGTAAATGCGCGTGTCCGTGGTATCGTTGGAGTTACAAGGAGCGTCGGTGCTCCTTCATCTAATCGATTTTCTCAGATTCCCTTTCCCCCTTTCACCGTGGCATGCGGGACGGAAGGTCGCAGGTGCTGTGGCCGCATCTTTATATATTGGGTTGATGCAAGGAGATTCGGATTGGGAGGCGGGAGTGGAGGATGTAAGGGGATGTGCTTGGCGATAATATAGGCTTTGGACTTGGATGACTTATTCATATATACCTAGGTACTTATGTGCGAGTGATGTGAGGGTTGGTGATGTTATATTGTTAGTTTGCTATAGTAACTCCTTCGGTTAGTATTTAGAGATAAGCTATATGATATTTGTTTCTATGATTTCTGTCGATAGGTAGGAATTAGCCTATATCGTTAAGCCAAGGATTCGAAGTGTTTCAACGAGCAGGTTTTGTATAAAGAATACCCCTTTTTAATAAATTTACCATATTAAATAACGACCATCATTCGATTAGATGATCATGTATAATAATATCAATTGAGTATAGGCATATATGTACCTGAATTATAGTGAAGCCTGTATGATCGGCATGTCGACAGGTTTGACAGGTGGATCGCAAGGGGAATCAATCAGGAGTCGTTAATATGTCAACTCTTAACACCCCATAATCCATCGCATCGCATAAAAGATCCATTAGATACCTAAAAAGAAAAAAAAGATTCGTTGTCGGTCCCAGAGTTGGGCCACGTCACATTCCGCGATCTGGTTTTGTATTCCCATTACTACGTAGGATCTGCTGGCTACATTTCGCATCTTTGCATCTCTGCATCTCTTATTCTTGGCATTATCCAAGTGGCAGAGTGGTCGAGTGGTTCGTGGAGGATAAGCCCTAGGTTTAGAAGATCCAGCCCTGAGATCGGATATTTATTAATTATCCACTATCCACTCACCGTGCGTTCGGTCACCAGTGCCGGGTCGCTTAGTAGCTTCAGCTGACAAGCGGATCTGAGAGTTTTGCAGTCTTGTAATTCAAGATCATGCTGTATCAATTAGCTCTTCGTTTCATCTGAAACATGTCGAATAGGACGTTATACTACTCCCACCTAACTGTCGGTAATATATCTCCCGAATCGTATTTAAGGACCGTCTTCGGCCCGCGGTAATATCTAGTCGTGTATGAGGACACCAAGCATAAGAGGCTAACATAGTAGTTCAAGCAGATCTTTTCTACTGCTAGCTCCGAGATGCTGCTAAAAACCTGTAATGCATCTAAGCATACAAGTAGTTTGGAGGTGACGGGGGTATGGCGGCGTACGGGAATATTTTGCATGCATCCGCACTAAAACGCAGATACGTTATACGAATCTACCTGTAAAACACATTATGCGGTCCGAAAGACGACTGGTTGATTGTTTTCCGTGCTGGATCGGAGATTTCGCCTGTGTACGCCGGCGATGAGTGTACGTAGTGACCTAGGAGTATGTAGTAAACATTTCCAAAAGTTCTAAATGAAAGGGCCAGGGTCGTAGGCATCAGGACGAAAAGAGAAACAGCTGCTAAAATCAAGGGTCTCCAACTGTAATTGGTAATTCTAGATTCCAACAAGTGGCAATGCCTTACAGCACCAAAAACACCTCGCCGGGACCGATTAATAATAACGACTTGCATTTGGTAGATTGGGATCGAATTTGACAACAACTCCCATCCATGTTAGTAAGGCGTGCCCGAAATGATTATGTATATGCACGCTGCAAAGCGGCTCGACGATACAAGCGCGACAGCTGGACCTGAACAAGGATTCGAGGCTGGGGTTTGGGGTTGGGGTTCCAGAGTCTCAAATGGGCGAAATGGTCGGTGGGACAGGATTCATATCTTGAAACGGCGCGACGTGCTGTAAGCGATCCGCCGCCAATCTCATCGGTTCTAAGGATCCCCGTAATGTGGTCTTATTAAAGTACGAATCCTAGACCAACTGATAGACGCTGGGTATGCTCGAAATCGTTCTGTATCATCGCTCGAAAGAGAGAGAGCATTGAAGAAAAGGTAATAAATGATGGGACGATGAACTTGGCAATGACAGGGACATTTCTTATTTCCCCTAAAACAGCAACCGGCCGAATGTTACCTGTAACATTTCTGGACGGGCATGAGACTCCCCAGGATACTGAAGATCAGCTCAGGGGTCTTATCCCGACCCTTTAAGAAAAACATAATACGCTGTACTATGCTGTAGGCTGCGTACCTAGGGAGTCAGCTCGCGGTTAATTACTGTAACGGAAACACGTAAGGGAATTATATGGATATTCTTTAGTTTCATAAAGATAAGGCTGGGTGTAGAGGACTATAGCAGATGTAGAAAATATTGCATGGTGGTGGTTAGCAACCCTGGAGTAAACTGGTAGGTAAACTTGACGCCCTATCGCTGTGACGGGCATCGTGATCGTGACTAGACAGGCATGCTTACGTGTGCTTCTAGAAAGAATGACGAGATTGCGTGATGTCAGCATGGTGCATTCCTTTTAGAAGGCATGAAGAGGTTGACAGGTTGAATAATATGTCTGAATCGTTTCGTGGCTGAACGAGAGCCACTCAGAACCATGTCCAACTTGAAACACGTTTTAGCGGTCCCTTTTACCGCGCTCGACAGGCTCGACAGGCTCGAATAGACTTGACTCGCGTTCCCCTGCGTGGTCTATCCGATCAACGCTGGGATTGCGTTGCGTGGCTTCGCATGTAGCGGAACAATCCGCCACTGTAGAAAAAAAACTCAAAGAAATACCGGTATCCGGAAAGCCATTGATCGACCTGACTGGCGAACTGGAATATGTATGCGGGAAAAGCAATCACCTCCAATGCTTAGCCTTTGGTAGCTAAGCTGCCACCGTAGCTCTAGTGACTTTAGCAGCTCTAGTAGCTCTAGTAGCTCCTCGTTTGGTGATCGATGACGATAGGGGTAGTCCGACTAAAGAGACGGATTCGTTTTAAGTTTTAGTTTACGGTTAGTATAAGTCCCTGACGTTTTTCATTAACTGGGTCGGTAGATTATAGATGCCTCAGGAATCTGTAATTCGTGCCACAGAACAACGGCATGACGGCGGCGAGAGGACGGCACGAGGCGTTCATCGGGTTGGTGCAGGAAGATACAGACACAATTCCTCTGGGACCTGGAACCTGGGACTTCGAAGAAAGCCACCGAATGCCACATGAGGAGAATGAGTTGACAATATGGGGGGTTCTTTGTGGTGCCGATCTTTAGGCCACTGGCCCAGACCGCCTCCAAGCAGGTACCAAGACTTTCGCACGTAGCACGAGTTCCGCCACGTTCATGTAAAGAAGATCGCTAGCGCTAGAACTTTCTCGTTGGCCAACAATGCATTGTTACGTGCCTTTGCCTTTTTCCTGTGCCTGTGAGCTTTGAGCTTTGTATGTGTACCTACTTCTCAAATAGTCCATTGGCATGTAGGATATGTAGGACATGTAGGTAACAACACATGAAAAGTCGGAACTCGAAGCATGATTCGGAAAAGGAAGCCTCTTCTGTATGTTAGTCCTATAGCATTGATGGCATTGATAGCCTTAATGGTCTTAATAGCCTAACTGGCAACTTGTACCCGTCGGCCATATGCGAACCTCTTACCGTTCGTTATAACAGCCAAGAGGCTGAGGTGAGGAAAGATATGTAGGAATCCTTTTCAGCTGGTTAGCTGGTTAGTTGGTTTCGTATAACGTCCTCCTATCAACGGTTGACCTAGTTGACCTGTTTGACTTGTTGGAAAACCAGGTTTGAGATGGCCGTAGGAGGATGGTTCGATTGTTTAGATGACCTATTTTGGACTTTGATACAGTTGCCGTTCTAACTTTGAATGTTCATAAAAATAGTTGACCATGTTGAGATGATGATTAACACTGAACGTTTTGCTTCGTCTGATGTATCTACTAGGTAACTTAGTATTTGGTAAGGTTCAAATGGTTGGGACTATCCAGACTGAAGTAGGTACGCTGTTGGTAACCTGGGGTTTTCCAGGTAACCTCGAATATTTAGATATTCCTCTAAAAGGATTACTCTATCCAGGGTCATGGGAGTGTGGAGATCGACCCGACTAGCCGGTTTCTTTAAAATGACGGTCACTACATTGCTCATCTCGACTCGTCTCGTCAGCAAAACTCGTACAATACTTGTACAACATCTTAGTATTGGCTTTTATGTAAACCTGGCATCATAGCTATTAGAAGCCATTACTCACGTATTATGTATTTCCTGTTAACCCTTTCATCGATATATCTACTTTTGAATATCTTTCATTTATCTATTCAGCCTATCCCTTTTTGTTCGAATTACCTACCTATGAAGAGAAAGACTACTAGGTAGCTTTAACACTTACACGACTGTATGTATATCCAAAATTAATCGAGTGTACTTGGAGAGACATGTACGTACCGTAGATATTCAAGTACCGAGAGAATTATACTTCCATCTTCTGGGCATGTACTGTACATAACCGTCCCACTTTGGTAATAAGGGTAAGGGTCTATCTTCTGAGACGATTAGTTCAACTGGGGCTCCATCCAGTGGCATCCACGCTTGTATCCCCTCCACGGGCAGCGATTCCCCCCTTTCCTGTGTTCCGAACTTTATCATTTTTTAGTCGGATTAGTTAGTAACTTTGCATTGTGATTCATTGAATTGAATTGTTTGATTTGATTTATTCCTCCTAATTGACCACTGTCCACATAGAATCGACAGAATCGACTGAAGCGATCCACGATCTACGATCTATTCGTTGTTCGTCGTTCATCGTTCATCATTCATCGTTCGTCAATCCTTCGTTTCTACATTCTACATTCTACATACATGACAACTTGGAACCAAGTCAAATTAAAAAAAAGAAGAAGCAAACTAGACCAACTAACTAGACCTTCTTCCCCGTTCCTGAATCCTAAAAAAAACCCTGAATATCTTTGAATACCTTTGAATACCGAATACCTAATCCCAAATCCCATTTCCTGATCGACGTAAGGTCCGTGAGTGGCATCTAAGTGGACATTAGTTTCACCCGTCATACACTCCTGTGTCTCGCCTTGTGGCTTGCTACTTGCTCTGCTTGCTGCTATTGTGTTCGACGCCTCCAGTTACGACTACGACTACCGTACCGACTACCATAGTACACACTTACTACGCATGCCTAGGTAGAACGCCTAAACTTTCTTTACCCGTCCAGCCCGTCTCGCAAACCACACATACCAGATCATTACTCGCAGTACCACTCCCAAAAACTACTCCCAGAACACAGTAGCGCCTTACAAGGCCTTACAAGGCGGTTGTTACCTACCCTACTTTCTGGCTCCGCTCTTTTCAAACCCTTCTACTCACTCGATCCCTTCCACATCTTGCCTCGTGGCTCATCACCGCATCACCGCTATTCGATATTTCGTCAGACAACCTTGACCCTCCACCACCTTCTAACAAACCTCTTAGGTGTCCAGGTCGATAACGATACCACGTTTATCCTCTCCCTCTTCATTTAAACCAGTCGGGTAACTCCGTTTTATACACTCGACATTTCCCTCCTCAACGCTATTCCGAATACCCATTGAGTTGTCGCTGTGTAAAAAGTGGCAGCTTCGATGTTGCGATAGCCTAAACTCGATCGCCTTTCATGACGCGCCAAACCTAAACTTATCTACACCCCCTTATTGGCGTAAGAAAAGATAGCCCTCACTAGATCGTCGATTGGTTCGGCTAGGTTTAGATATCTTGCTTAATATACGAACTTGGGTTGGTTACCGGCAAAATGGCGAGCAGCATCATGGACGAATACACAGACCCTCCTCTAGAGAGTGACGATGTCTTTCCTTGCAAGGGCTGCGGCGAGGTAAGAAGAGCAAATACTCAACTACGAAGATGACGTTGCTAAACTATTATTTCTTATATAGATCCTTGAAGAGGGCAAGGCATTCGAGCTAGGTAAGTTTGCTTTACTTGAGGATCCAAAATATTCGGTTTAGTCTTGTTTGCTCATACCATGCAAAAATATCGTCCATGAAAGCTAATCCGAACATGATTGTAGCTGGCAACCGATGGCATCTCAATTGCTTCCGATGCAACACTTGCGGTACCCTCCTCGACTCAGACGCAAACTTACTACTACTCGGCGACGGTTCACTCATATGCAACAACTGCACGTACAGCTGCAGCGCTTGCGGTGAAAAGATCGAAGATCTCGCAATATTGACCGGCGATCAGGCCTTTTGCGCGGCCTGCTTCAGATGCAGGAACTGTAAAAGGAAGATCGAGAACTTGCGATATGCTAGGACTTCGCAGGGAATATTTTGCATGAACTGTCATGAATCCTTGATGGCTAGACGTAGGAAAAAGTCTAAGGCTGCAGCTCAGGCAAAAGCGCGAGAGAAAGAATCGTCGCCTATGATTATGGAGAAGTCCCTCCCAGCGCTTCCTCCTAACGCTATACCTCCCAATGCCTTTTCGAACGATAGAGTCGAGCCTGACTCTGACACTCCTACCGAACTCTCCCCACGCCCACGACCTTCGTACCCTCGGAACGACTCGTCGAGAAGTAGTTCAAGACCGGCCAGATCGCCTGAGCGATCTACCGACCATACTGGAAGAGATGGCGGCTTATTGCCTGCGCAAACTTATCGCAACAATCGAAACTCGGCGATCTTCGCGGGGGCCGACATTACCAACGGCAACTCAGCCGATGATCAAGGCTTTTTCATCCCGGTTGCCCTGGATCCGAGTCCAGTGCCTGCTCCGACACCCAGATCCGCAACAGAACCTATTAGCGATTCTAGTAAGAAATCGAAGGAGAAAGACTACTTCAACCTTTCAAAGCCGGCTTCCATTTCGGAGCGAAGGGAGCCGGCGCAATCTTCGACGCCCCATATTGCTTTCCAGGAGAAGGGAAGACAATCGTCGTTCGATCACGAGACTCCACCTCCCCGAGACTTGGGTAGGAAGCTTTCTAAATCTAGCAGGGGCGATAAAAACGCACCTTCGAAGCCATCACCAGCTTCGACCGAAGACAGAGGTCAAAAGATGACAAATGGAAGATCACATCCCGCAGATGATTTCAAGTTGCAAGAAGCGCCTAAGAGCAAGAAGACAAATTCCAGAACAGAGTCCCAGTCGAATGCGATCCAGGATGTTGTGAGATCTAGGGGCAGCAGTAGCAGTTCCGGCCGAAAGGACAAGGAGGCATTCCCCAATCTACCACTCACCGATTCGCCCCAGCTCTTGCACGCTGGTGACAAGACTAGTACCCCACGAAGCTCACAGGAATCTCGCCTCAAAGACGACGATGAAGTACGATCAAGTGACTCCTTAGCCACATCGGTTAGCAACAATGCAAAGCCTATTACTAGAAAGGAACTTCCTGCTACGGCTGCTAGAAACGGTGAGTGCACAAATAAAGCAAATTTACAAAATTATCATCAACTAACAGACTTTTTTAGTAAATGGTACAACACCCCGACCTTCTGCGGCCGAAAAGGCTGGTGATCCGTATATGACTCCGAGAGCGCCGCCCGCTCCACCAACATCGGGTGCGGGCCAGGAGTCGGCCAATTCGACAGGAGAACCCAAGACATCGCCTAAACTACCTAGGTGGAGTGCAGGCGGTGACTTCAGTATGGATGAAGACATGGCTCGTATTCTGGGTACGGACGAGGGTTCTTCTTCAATTCTTCGTCGGGTTTCGAATGCGGTGCGCCATGGCAGAACAAATAGCACAGAATCCAGCAACAATCTGCCTCGCGCCGGTCATACGCGCAGCGCCAGCGAAACAACTCGCACAACCACGTCACCTCGCTGGCCCAAAACTCCCATCGCGGAGGATGCAGTTAATGGACATCCACACGATATCACCAGCCCTCTATCGATAGCTTCGAACGACGACCCGGTATTACTGAAACGACGCCTACGAAATTCCGAGCAACGAGTCGCAGAACTAGAGCGCCAATTCAATAATGAGAAAGACCTGAAGAATCTAACGATAAAATTGGAAGAGAAGCGCAAGACAGTGTCAGTGCTAGATACGCAAACCGAGATCATGATTCGTCAATTAGAGGTGCTTGCCGGATACGTAGAAAGGGCCAAAGAAACGAAGAGACCTATCGACCCCCGCGAACTTGAGGAATCGGCCTTGAAGGACTTCGTCCAAAAGTTAGAGAAACTCAGGCAGTCTATGTCAGCCAGCCTGGAGCAGCTACACACCGAGCGGGACGAATTAGTCGAGGAGAAGAATAGGGCAATTATAGAGAGGGATCGTGCTCGAGTGGAGTTTGAACAACTTGTTTCTAAGAATGCACAGTTGGCCGACTTGAATAACGACCTCACAAACCAGATACAGGAACGATTCAAGAATCACTCGGATCCTAAATCGCCTCCCAACGGTCTTGGTATTTACAACCAGCACAAGGGTACATCCAACAACTCAGTGAGTTTGGATAGCTCTAGCATTCAGACTGGTGGATCGCTCCTTGCCGTTGACTCGGAAGAACCGATCCTCGAGTCCGGACCGACCGTGGTCAAGATAGGAAAAGGCCAGGTTAAGAAGTTTAACTGGAAGAAAGGATCGAAGGCCATGGCCCAGAATATCGCCAAAGGAGTTAACCGTACAGTTGTTGCCTTCCAGCAGCCGGAGCGCGAGCGTCACTTGGGTATGGCCGGCGAGAATATCGGTCTTCCTTACAACATGACTGTTGCGCAGGTCGAAGCGCCAGTTACACACTTAGGCCCCATGAACATCAACCAGAATCGCCAATTGAGCGATGCCAACCGTCAAGGATTCTTTAATTTCAAGAAACCCCAGACTATCCAGAAGAGCATGACAACGGCCAATATCACCACTACCCAGGCACCGGCCGAGCCGCCCTCGGTACTCTTCGGATCTGACTTATCGGAGCGAGCCGACTTCGAACGCCGCCAGATTCCCTGCGTGGTGACTCGTTGCATAGAAGAAGTCGAGCTAAGAGGTATGGACATGGAGGGCATCTACCGCAAGACTGGTGGAAATTCGCAAACCAAAGCCATCCAGGAAGGATTTGACAAGAATGAGAATTTTGATATTTCAGATCCGGATATGGATATCACGGCCGTGACGAGCGTGCTGAAGCAATACTTCAGGAAGCTTCCGACGCCACTACTAACGTTTGATGTCTACGACTATATTCTCGAGACAAATTGTAAGTATCGAAAGAGCAAATGTGACGAATATAGGATTGAGGCTAACTTAAATAGCGATCACGGGCGACGCGGAGAAGTGCACCCACTTACAGAATGTATTCAAACAACTACCGCAACAACACAGAGACTGCCTTGAGTTCTTGATGTTCCATCTTCATCGCGTTGCCTCCCGAGAGCGCGAGAATCTTGTAAGTTAACACGCCATTCTATATCTAGCACATGGAGCTAATATTTGATTAGATGACACCTAAGAACCTGGCTGTGGTCTTTGCACCTACTATTATGAGAGACCACACTATCGAGAGAGAGATGACGGACATGCACGCCAAGAACCTTGCCGTACAGTTCATCATCGAGAATACACATAACATTTTCGTTTAATCCAAGCCAACTTCACTGCCACTGGCTTATTAACCATACGATTCGACCCATTAGACACACTTCACCGCCATAAAGAAGTACTCTTCGCCAGTTTCCCGAAGTTACAAAAGTTAACAGCACTCGCGTAAACGTTTTAGAGTCTTCGCAGACATTATGACCACATTAGTGGATACTTAACCGCCTCACACCTCTTTTATTTACGAACACGACACCGACCCATCCGGCTCATTGGATTTTTTTTCGACTCTTTCTATTCGAGGAGGTGTCCCGGCGGGATTTTCTGTCTTTACGGTAGGAAATTTAATGATATCCTTGAGAGCATTGCAAATTTTGTTCATTTCCGAGGGAGAGGGATGAGCTCCGCATTCCGATTCTTTTTTTCTAAGAAACTTGGCAGCTGGATGATCCAAGCACTTAGAGAAGCATGGTTAGTCGGCATGATAGGTTTCAGGGGATGAGAAAGCCAGAGCAGGAGAAGCATAGGCAAGCAGAATATTTTAACACGGCGCTTGGGCCAATGCCCACCTAAGGACCTAGCTTTAAGGAGAGAAGCTGGAATTTGAGTGCAGTGGCTAACATATTACGGGCTTGGAGAATGGACATCCTCTCCAATGCCGTGGAAAGCCGACGTTACGTTAGCTAGGCAGGGCAGACAGTTGCTATGAACAGAGATCCCAAGAGCTGATTTTCCAAATTGACGAGTATTTTCGCCATGTGAAGTGATATGAGCCTAGCAGCTGCGACCATGGATAGATGTGCTCGCAATCGACTATAGAAGACTATGGAAGATTAAGTGATCGTAAGATCATATTCTATACAATGCTTCAGCCTCGCGTACTTTAGCCAAATGATATTATGTCAATTTTGACGGCCCTTTTGCCGGCCTGCTTTAATGGGGTTGAGGCTTTGAGGCTGATGACAGAACTTCTCATACCAACTCACCGAGAACGGGAGAATGATATGCAAATGGAAAGACAGCGACCGGTCAAGTTTTATTTAGAACCGAAAAACTCTACCGAGATATTTATTGATTGGCAAATATCAGGCCCGCATGATTTCTAGAAAGATCGGATATGGGGATATCGTGAACCAAGTCAGCCGTTCCCCGTTGTCGCCCCCAAAAAATCTCGGATGGGGGTTGAAGTAGGCTTAGAGATTTATGGCAGGCGGATACAACCCTATCTTATATATCCAATACTACTTCTTTACTACGTCGGCTTCACACCCACCACCGCCGCCATTCATTCATCGATATATTGACGACGTAATACACGGATTCAGAGCACAGCCTCGTTCAATAAATTACCTATTGGAGATGGGGATGGGAAATATGTCCGAGGTACGGGAACGCGGGTATCCGTTTCCTGCACTTATACACGACAAACTTCGGGCTGTTGCTTCTTATAGTGTCTACCTAGTGTCAGGTAGGCTAGCTACAGCGAGATGGACAAGCTCCCCTTGTCCGGCATACCTACCCCTACTGTAGGTACCTAACCGCGTAATAAAAAAGGCTTACCGTAGCTGCTTAGGTACCAGGTTAGGTACTTAAAAAGACCCCAAATACGAAAAGAGAAGGAAAGAAAAAAACGTGGTAGAGCTGTAGCTAATAAGTAAGCGTCTGTCTGACATGCATGCCATAGTGCGTGCGTACAGCGTCTGCGACCCCTGGTGCTATTCCCCGAACGGGCGCGGTCTAGATGGGCTGAAGTATCCAGGTCTAGCTACTTGGTAGGTAGGTAAGTAAGGGTTTGGTTCTCGCTTTTTCACCTTCCTGTTCCTTGGTTTTGGTGTAGCGAGGACCTGGGTATAGGTAGGTAGGTAATCTTACGGTTCCGTGAGAGAGAGAGGTTTGTATGGTTTGATTTACCGGATTCGAATCAGCTAGTAGGCAAATAGCCTTATGCTTTATTCATGATCCATGGATGTGTTACGGGTCTTTCACTGCCCGGGAAACGTACGACGTTGTCTTACTAAGATATTCGACTTCTGTGTTAGCTAGGCTGGGCTGGGCTTGGTTTTAATATGCCGATATGATTTAAGGTCGATGTCTGTGCAATGGGATGTTAGATGTTAGATGAGATGCTTGTAGATGGGAGGGTAGACAATGGTAGGTCCGCGTGGCAGGGCTGCTGATAGTGGTCGATCGCCTAGATTCATGGCGGTAGGGCGGTTGTTGAGTTGCGTACATAACCCTTGCGCTAATCATCTGTGTAGTTTAGTCGTCGTTAAATTTAGCAAGGAACCCAGTCTTTCAAATCTCGATCAAGGTATTCAACACTTTCTTCATCATAATTTCTTAGATTATTAGTCCCTCATATATCACATTTGTTGGCTGCTCACCTCCCATTCACCTACCGGCTAAGGCATGATTTACATATTACATACGCACGAAACGAAACAAAACGAAACAAAACTCACAGCCAACCTACGGTACCCGCCACTGGTTAGTAACATCGACATGCAAGTGTCAAGTGACAGGCTCGCAGGTAATTAACGTAGGGAACGGAAGCGCGCAATAGGCCCCCTCGCTCCCAACCCCTGGAGCTCGATCCTCCAGCGATCGATTCCGAGCCGAAGGATGCAAATTGCAGACCTGCAGGCACCCCAAAGCAGCTAGAGCCCCGCCAGCGAGCCTGCTTCTCAACCCCACGGCCTGTTCTAGCACCTCCACGCACTCGCTGGAAGAGGTAGGCAGTAGAGATGTGCGAGGGCGCGTGGGTTAGTACATGCCATAATTTGAGATACCGCACTGAGACAGCTATCCGAGCACGACAGCTTTTACCGCTATTGCTATTGTCCGGGAAGAGCTCTGTAAGCGGGAGAACGGATAGGCGCTGATGGATATTACATCCATATGTCTCGGTACTCCCCAAACAAAACAAAAAGAAATACATATCGAAAGAGAAGAAGAAAAATAAATCACCAACGCCGCAATCGTGCTGTTGGAGAAGTTACTTACTCTCGCTAGAGACTCGATAGCCTTCGCCTAAGCTGTGATTGGCATCATCAGGTCCTCGCAGAACGGGCTGCGCTCCTAAATACCACCTACACACAGGCACGGTACCGGACCTGCGCGCACGCACGCTCCAGGGTTCCTGATCCCGAGCGGGTTGACCCCCCTGTTCCATTGCGTCGTCGCCGTGCCGTCGTTGGGTAGTAGCTTTGCAAGAATCCAGGCCGTATGTATGTATGTCTTTGTTAGTAGGAAGGAATATGCTACGGGGGGTTAGTAAGTAAGTAGGCGAGTCGGTTCAATAAGTAAATACATATAAGTCCACCAGCGAATCCCCTCCGCCCACGACCTTGGGGGCTACAAAACTTATTTTCCGCCCCTACTGGCGAAAAAAAAGAGAGTGGTAGCAGTTTACGGATTACGTGCGTAGAAGCAGCAAAGCGAAAGAAAAGAAAGGTGTAGTCGACCGGTCAATCTCAAGGCGTTTTTCTAATTCGACGGCGAAGACTGCGAGACATACATTACTTACATTACGTTTACATGATCTGACGGTGCTGGCGATGCAAAAGGTCTCTTGTCCGCACACACCCGCGAAGGAAGACCCTGCATCAGCTCCTTCGAGAGCCCGCCCCGGATTTCTTAATTGTCCTTCGTCCTTCCCTGAAATTTAACCCTGACCTTCCTGACTTACCCTACCTACCCTTTGTCTTTTTTTACTTACCTACTTACTTTAATTCTCGGGCGGCGCAATCCCTCTCATAATGTTCAATAATCCTTCGTCCTGAAATGTTCAAACCGCCCCGATGAAGGGCTCGTGTGCGCCTCTAGTGCTGCTGCTACTCGCGGTCTTGGGGCTTCTGGCTGGGAAGGACGGGTTGGCGGATGGGCGTGGGATCGCTAGCCGCGACGGCGATGGCGAGTTCCCCGGCCTGGACGGTTTTTTCCGGCATAGGTATCCTACAGGTTAGCAGCCACCTATAAGGCGCGACGTGCCAAGCGAAAAAGAAAAAGTGAGCCGGGTCTAATTTTTGCGTGTAGTTGTGGCGTTTGGCAATCGTCTCTACATAGACGGCGGCGAGCTGTCCCAGCAAATCAACGGGACTGGCTCGAACGGCACCCAATCATATTCATCATACGCCGGTATACACAGCACCTCCGCATCGGTGTATAGAACACCACGAAGAAAACATCTACTAACGAGCAAGTAGCGAACGCGACGTTCTCCCTGAACCTAACCGAATCATGGACGAACGAAACGGTCTCGTTCCGGTCGATCTCCAAGACCGCACCGCTTCTCGACCAGCAAATCTATTGGACCGACCCGACCAACGGTGCCGGCGCTCTGTATACCTGGGGCGGGATGGCCGTGGGGTCCGACCCGCCACCCGAAAACCAACTATGGCTACTCAACACGGACAGCACCGGGGGCGGGACCTGGTCGGAAGTCACGCAAGTGAATTTCCGGGACTTCGCTAAATTATCGCAACCGGTCGGCGCGGCCTTCACGCAGACCAGCAACGCGGGGTTCGCGCTCGGCGGCCAAGTGACCTCAAGAACTGACAGCGGCGTTCAGAAGGAAGATCCGGGGTACGCGTTAACAGGGCTGGTATCGTACAACTTCCGAACGGGTCTATGGTCCAACAGCTCGACCGTGTCTAACTACGGGGGATACGGGACGAATCTGAACGGGCTCGCCGAGTTCGTGCCTTTTGGACCCAATGGATTACTGCTTTTTCTCGGTGGCGCCGAGACGCCGGTCGATGCGACAAATTTTAGTATCTCGCAGGTTGATTGGAATCATATCACCTTATACGACCCCGTCACGGGGATGTGGTATCGGCAGGAGACGAGCGGATCGCGGCCGCCAACGGTTGAGAGGGCGTGTAGTGTGGGAGTCAAGGGACCGAATAATACATATGAAATGTAAGTTTGTTTTACTTTTTTTAGGTTGAGGAGCTTCATCAGGAGTCTGAAATAAGAGGTGAGAGTAAGTTGATGTTAACGGCTCGTGTTAGATTCATATATGGCGGTACAACAGCTCAAGGAGCAGATGGAACCGACAGCACATCGGCAGATGTGCACGTATTATCACTCCCCGGATTCGTCTTCTTCGACGCGCACTCTCCCGGTACACCACGTGCCGACCATGCTTGTACCGTAGTAGGTGGAGGGAAAAGACAGATGTTGAGTTACGGAGGCGTTGATGGTGGACCTGGACTTCGTAATCCCACGACGACAGCCGATCCGTGGAAACAAGGGCTTGGAATATACGACATGACGGAGATGAAATGGACGGACTCATACGATCCTAATGCGGCGAAATACGAAAGCCCAGCACGAGTGACGGATTGGTACACACAAGGAGGAATGAATACAGTGACCTGGTGTAAAAATCTTCGAGAGCTATTCGTCAACGGTAGCTCAGGTACATATGGTACGAACAGTACGACCGGAAACTCCACCTCAACGGACCCGGATAGCTCCAGGTTTAAGAGGACCGGTATCATTGTTGGTTCCACCGTAGGAGGAGTGGTATTTTTAAGCATTATGAGCACCGTCATATTCCTGGTGCTGAGGTGGCGTCGGCGCCGCCGTGAAAGCACGATAGTAGCCAGCACTCTCAACGAATACAGGCCAGAGCCGTGGCCGAAAGATACGCCACGGATGCGGTCGGTGACCCCGGGGACGATGGTGTCGTCACCCACACCGGTTCCGATAGAGATTAGTGGTACTGTAAGGGGGGAATTACCTGCTGAGGATGTGGACTGGACATACGAACTCCCGGTTCCTACACCGAAACTGAGACCCGAGCTCCCGGATCGGAAGTACTCATATTAATGTAATTATATCATGTAAATGAATTAAACCTTAATAAGTATTTGTCAGTTTGGAAGACTGACTTGTGAAACTGAATTGAGGCCTACCAGAATAACTCGTGGCGTATAACCCTCGTGACCCTAGCCTCGTGCCCTTTTCTTAGAATCTAGCCATAACCGCACATTCTGATGGATATTTTATAGTAGCGAGCTGCCTCTCGCCATTCCTCCAAGTAGTAGGCGGACGAGCTACTTGCGGTGGTCGCATAGGTGTGTCTCTCCCTGTGCCGATCGTGACATTCAAAGTCTCGCATAACAGCATGACTTCAGCCACAATTCATCTTAACAACGAATACACGCCGGCTCAGCTTTTCGTTTCGCTAGTCATCGTCGTAGATGCTAGCCAGTTGACCAAGGGAATATTATTCCGCTCCTCCCATAGAAATGGAACTTTATGCACTCCATCTACCCGACCATTTTCTTAACCTTCTCGAGCAACAACCCGCTCTCTCTGCCTAACCTGCGCTGGCCATCCCGACCAGGTTTCCGCGCCTTCGCCATAGCCTTTCTAAACCTCTCACGCTCGGCGATCTTACTGTTTCGTTCCTCATTACGCCTCTCGATCTCTTGAGCGCGGGCATCTGCCTCAGCCTTCTTGCGTTCTGCATCAGCTGAGGCCTTGTCAAAGTAACCGGGTTTGCGCGGGTGCTGTTTACGCCGACGAGGTCGATCTCCTGATCGAGGCTGTGATGTTACTTCCGGTTGCTCCTCTTCTTCGTCTAGCATAGCCTGTCTCTCGGGATGAAGCTGAGGTGAAGGGGGCGCTTCAGTTGCATCTGCATCTTCAGTACCACCCGTTGTCTCAGGTTTAGAAGATGCTTGCTCTGCAGCCTTTATCTTCTTGTATGCCTTCTTGACCTTTGCCTTATGAATTAAGTCCTTCTTTATTTTGTCGACTTAAAGTGGGTTTAAGTTAGTCATACGTGCGTAATAAGGAGTGAGAGCAGATGCAAACCTTTTCTCTTCCATGGTCCATCTGGCAGATTTTGTGGTCCTACGCGAAAACCTTTACGAAGTTTTTTCGCCGCAGGAGTGGCTGCGCTGTCTGATTCGAGAGGTCTTTTCACTGCCATCTTCAACGAATATTTTGTTGCTTGTCTGAAATGTCTAATTCATGAGATTGAGATTAGACTTTAGTGACTGAAAATTGTTGTAATTAATAACAAATTCACAACTGAAGACGCTGAAGATCCTTGAAGTTTACAGTTTGATTTAGCGGTTGAAGTATCGATAAGCTGCGCTGGATAAAAAGCTGGTACTGTTTATGCACGCACTATGTACCTGGATGGACCTACCTAACCAAGTTTGCCAAGTCTAGCTCTTTCCGGATTACAGCATGCTTATCCTTGCCGATACCGCCCCAAATTTGGCAGTCTTTTGCCCAAATAGGTGTGTTAAATGGCAGTAACTAGGCGCTAATTATGACGCTGGACAGTCATAAGATTGATAGGTGAGGAAAGTCCGGATGATCAGAAACAATCCTACATTAATGTAGTGTACCTTCCGACCTCATACACCTGTCTTATGATAATAGGTCTTTCTTCGACCTCTCAACTTCTCAACTTCATTTTGAGTCTAATTCGAAGACGCATTGGAATTACCTAACCCACTCTGGCCTTGACAACTAAGCCCTACCTTTATCAAACAGGCCATACCCTGGCCGTTTCGTTTCAAATATCCTTGTCCTCTAGGCTCTGAGTCTCTTGAGTCAATGAGGCGAGCACGAGTCAGTTCCTGATACCGACCCATCTCTTGCGTCTTTGCAGTGAACAAGAAAACCTTCGAAGACGACTGAAAATGGTTAAATGCTTATAATATGAACTTATTCACAAAGCTCTAGACCGACGACCGAATGCACCATGCCCATGTTTCAAATAGATCCAGAGCGGAGGGAGTCCGCTGAGCAGCCAACTTCACCTACGTCACTCACAATGGCGTCACAACCTGCCCAAAACCAAGATGATAACACATTACGAAGAAAACAATCGGAGGAGAGCATCAGCACGGAATTGTGCGAAGGTCCGATCCCAGATAACCCAGCACCACAAACACCAGAACGAAATCTCTCGACCGAATGCTCTGATCGATCTGAACTCATCGAGCGGCTAAAGAGAGGCGAGAGTCCGACTTGGAAACCGAATCGACATGTTCGTAATCCCCTTTCACTTCAAGGTATAGATGGGAGATCTGAAATGGCTAATGCCGTGGTCAATAATCAGTTCGAATCAATTTGGGGTCAACAACCTGTCTCTCCCACTCGCAGTCCGAAACGTTCGAATGCAGGTTCACCAACTCTACTCCCTCCAGCTACGATAACCCCAGAGAAGAGGAAAAGTCCCGATTCCGATAGCGAGAGAAGACAAGAGGGATTGAGCATTGAACGCCCACGTTCAGCTCTCCATAGCGGCGACTTCACACAAGATGAGATATCTCGAGATGCTGGTCCCGTACAAGATAATCAGCAAGCTCCAAAAAGGCAAGATTTTGATGGTGCTAGTGATTCATGGCTTGCTACTTCGCCTCCGAGGGATTTTAATCCCTTTCAGTTTGAGAGGCGGGAGATTTCAGCAAGAAGACCGGACCAGGCAACTGGTATTTCTTCATTGTCATCCTCTATCTCTTCAAGCTTCATCTATAAGCCACCTACTAGTCCACTAGTCCAGTCAGAGAGTAATGACGATATTGATCTGACCTCTCCTATGGATGGTATCAATATCAGTTCAAGCCTCCCTAGAAATCCACGTCGTCACACCTTCATGTCACCGCATTCAACCTCGTATGGTATGCCTCAAAGCCCATCACCAATACAACCATCGTATCTACGTCAAGAGAGACACTTTCCATACCAGGCACACCAGCCACGACGCTCTCTAGCCTCCACTCCTATTTTCCCAACAACTTCATCTTCTCCGCATACCCCTGCGCTTTTACGGTCTAGGCGTCCGTCATACAGCTCAGACGTCTCGCCGATTCAGCATGCATCCATGGTAGGGTCATACGAGGAAAGCATCTTACGTGGACGAATGTCGACAACTCCCTCGAAACCACTTGATTTCTTAGCTCAGATTGGTGTCCTTGGGCTAGGTAAGTGCAAATCAAGCCTACGGTGCCCTGCTCACGTGACATTGCCGTTTCCTGCTGTATTCTATAGTTATGGTAGCTCTCACGGGCATTCCAAAGTAGAAGATGGGCCTAGTCCGTACGTTGGACAAATAGACTTGGAGAACGGACTTCCAAACCAGGAAGATGAAGTTAGATCAAGACGAAAGATCCAAAGCCGCGCTCAGGAACGGCTGTCAACAGAAGATGATGGAACGGAGACGAATCGTCGCCCTGTAGAACCGTCGGAACGTGACATTCGCAAAGCTCAACGACCCAAACGTAGGTCGACGTCTCCTCGAGCACCCCCTGGCGGGAGTTACCGTATTGCCGAGAAGGGTCAAATCCAGATCATTATCAAGAACCCCAATAAGACAGCAGTCAAACTATTCTTGGTTCCATACGATCTAGCGGGAATGGAGCCTGGAACGAAGACATTTATCCGGCAACGAAGCTACTCGGCTGGGCCGATCATTGAGAACATGCCTCTGAAGGATAGTGGGACGGGGGATCGCCCAATTCTCAGATATCTTGTCCATCTACACATATGTTGTCCTTCTAGAGGCCGGTATTATCTTTACAAGAGCATTAGGGTTGTATTCGCAAACCGCGTACCTGATGGGAAAGAGAGACTTCGCAACGAGATTACTTTGCCCGAGCCAAGATTTACTAGTTACAAGCCGATTAGAGTGATGCATCCTCCTATCTCAGGGGGTACTGGTCCCGGCGCCAGCCTGGCTGCTGACAAGGCGTTCCGACGACGCAGCTCTGGGTTCTACTTCGGCGGTCCAAATCAACATGTCTATGATGCAGCTCACGGACTTCACACGACAAATGTATCATATCAGTCTTATACATCTGATTTCGGCGGACTCGATACTCCGATTGAGCCCGTTCCACTCATACAGAATGAAACAAGGAACACGATAGATGAGGGCAGTAATTTAGGGTTTTCTGATCCCCAGTCACCAAATTCGTCCCAAACTAGTCGACCGAATACACAGAATTCGAACGATGTATCCAGCTGGGACAGTTTGGACGGCCAAATCAGCAGATACGACAAACTTAATAAGGGGGATGTAGGTTATGGAGGCAACGCATTTGCCCGATTGATAAACGGGAACACCGGCGCTGCGGAGAGTCTTTTGTCGCAGAGATTGCGATCACTTGGGGTGGAAGGTCGGGATATGGCAAGCCATGAATCCGACACAATGCAGGAGTAGGACTCCAATTTTTCTCAACTTCATATTCCGACGTTAGGCGCTTGGGCGCCGATCGTCCTTAGGGTCTCATTTATTGGCTTCTGGGTCGGGTTAGCGAGGTTTTGTAACAGGGATACTCCGGCGCCGTTGACGACGTGGCGGCTCTTTGCTTATTCGGTTGAGAGGAGAGGAGATTAAACTTCTCATAATAGATTTGGCTATTGTCCGTACAGGATATTGAAACAACTATTTCAGAAATCTGTTGAAATCGGGATTTACGTGCTTTGAGCTGAATATTTGATGGGTTCCGATTCTAGATTCATAGAACCTTTTAGATCGCTTTCTTGCCCCTTTCCCTCTTTGTATAATATCCAGGTACATTGGTGGGTGATTGCCAAGGCGATCAGCTAATGAGCAGAGCAGAATTTGATTCGATCTCAACGTTTAGTTCATTTCATACTAGTAGGTGGCAAGCTGAGACTCACTACAGTATGAATAATAGGTGAAGCTCTACTCAACAACCCTATTGGGACTCATGAGCACATATTCTATTCAAACCAAACATTTTAATACACAGCAAGCTTCTTCATACCTTCATTTTGAACGTAGACCTGATTGATGTCGACTAATTATGACTATTACCTAGGGAGTCATTTAAAGATGACTCTATACAGTCATGTTGGAGACTATCCGTGGTTTGGCTTCCGGACGGTAGTGAGAGTATCTAGTATATAAGTCGGTTCTAGGTGAGCATCCTCTTGTCAATATTCTCGATTAAAGCCAATGGAAATATATATATTTAAATTATTATGAAATAACTTGAAGACTATCTTCAACACTTCGCAACCAATGAGTCCTTCAACTACATCAGTTGTCGGGATACCTCTACCCTCGGTGTGGGTAACTGAACCATCTACAACTTTTCATCCTTGCATTTTGTTTTCTTAACCGCGGTTATTATTACCTACCCAACATTGGTGTCGTAGATTATTGGTACTATTCAGCAAGCTCTCCTATCTTAAATGTATCACTTGAACTCCTCACGGACAACCAAAGATATCGCGACATTCCGGTCATGATATCGACCCTCGATGTCGCATTTTACACAAAAGGCATCCACTCGATAAGATTTTCTCAACTCCATAATACGGTATTAGAGCCCTTGATGTCGAGAAAATAGGGTGGAATGAGAAGAATGAAGAGATTCTTACCACGAATCCCCGTGTATTCACAGTACTTACTACAGCAGATAATATGAGATTATTCATATATTTCTCAACCCACGTCACCCAATATATCTCTTAATCCTCGCTTTCGATAATCGCGATCACTCAGTCAAATCTCAGTTTATTCAGTATTCCACCTCTCCCATGGGACAAGAAAGGTCTTCCAAACATGGTGACCAATATCTATATCTTCGATAGGGCGAACGATTTTCTGGCCGGTCGATACAAGTATTGTTTAGGGCTCAGTACCCAGGTATGCATACATCGGTTTAACACACCTGGCACATCTTGTGTCAGTTTTATCCTGCACACGACAGGTTTTTCTTTCCGCGCAGCTTACAATGAGGCACATTAAGGACCTGCACTCTACGCTCTACTCTATTACCAGAGACCAGTGTACGATGCGTTCTGACCTTCTCTTACAATCCCCCGATTCTAGGTACCTACCAACAGCACAAGTGTACCGTAACAGAAACTCGCGTACGAAAGATAATATACATACAATAACAACAGCCAGACCGCCCATATACCAGGTTTAGATGCCACGAAAAATCAGAACCATGTTTGGAAATCGGGCCATTGATTGATTATATTAATTTAGTCGATTATTATCCTCCACATAGAAGGAGGACGAGGCGTCATCAATGAGAAGCTGGACAGGAAAACAGCACTAAACGTCCCGCACACACTCTCTTCAAGAGACCTGGGACGTCAAACACCTATACCGAACGTACAGAGATATACCTCGCGCCATGCGAGTCACGCGTATCGCAGATGTTCCATCTATTCCGGAGACGGGAATCGATGCGGACGCTTTGGACGTGGACCAGCGACCTAGACTGGGATCGACAATTCTACACGTATGATAGACGTGAATAGTTGGAGTCATGCCTCTCCATTTAACACAACTTAGACCATTAACACTGTCTAAGACGAGAAGAAGGAACAGAAGCTAGGTCACATAACTGGCTTGCTCTTCAAGATTGGCTGGCCGCGTTGTTGCCTTTGGGCTGTATGTTTCCTTTTGGGACCATGACGAGTGAACACCACCACCCTACTTAGTTAGATTTTTACGACGTTTCCAGTTCATATCCATCACTTACCTAATACACAATATGCAACTCGATCAATTTCCACGTGCCTATATATATATAGGTATATATCATATCATGGTGATAATTAAGGGTCATGTTTTGTTTCCCCGTGAGAGTAATTTGTGCGATAGCCTTCAAGTATGAGGTTCATTGAAATCGACTAATACGGGATCCTTAAACCCCTAAGCATTCACATTACCATTACACTAATTCCCACCTACCTACCCAGACAACCACAAAGCATCCATATCACTCACTCACGCACAATCTCCAAACGCAGCCAAATCAGATAATCAGGTATCATCCCATCGATTGAACTACAAAAAACCCCGTCACAAAAGTCCACCCTCCAGACAACTTACTTCCTCACTAGTGACAACAACTATCATTACAAAATCTGTACGGTAAACCCATCCCATCCCATCCCTCGCCCCTTAATATCCCTGATTCCCCGTAGCCGTGGTAGCTACGGCACTACCTAGGTACTAATAGCAATCCCGATTCGCCATTTTTCGCCCGTTAGGTATAATTGGATCCCCCGTATCCGCCACCGCGTCTCAGGGTATAATTCCCGGTCCTCAAAAGATGTGGGTATGATACAAAGCAGCACGGCAGAGTAGATAGATAGGTACACATGAATCAACTCGACTCCAGTTTTAAGGTAAGGCAAAGTAATGGTATCGCGACGAATGCAAAAACAGAGACGGAGAGAGAGATAGAGAGACCACCAGCGCCTAACTAATGACTATGTAGTGTAGTGCCTGGGACCGACCAAACGACAGTATGTGCGTATATGCAAGGCAGACCAGAAAAGCATGCCTGACTTTCGAGAACCAATTCATGGTACTGATGGAAGAGAAGCCAAGGTGTTTAAAGAACCCGGTTACCCGTATTCGCCTAGGCAACAGAAACTCCGTTCTCCCTCTGCCTCTTGACGATATAGTAGGTAATCAAGCTCTTAGGATCGTCCTTGATGTTCTTCATGCTCTCCCAGAACTTAGCCTCACCCAAGCGAGCGTGTAGCGCAACACAGAGCTGAACGGCATCCATTCGGACGCCACTTTCTTTGCTCTCGAGACACCTGGTCGCAAGGCCTAGTAGGCCCGCGATCTCATTTTCACTAGGTGAGAACGTAGTCCTCGTATCCACGAGCTCTTTGAGTACATGGAGTCCCATGCTTAGGCTACGGTGGCCCGAGGTGTCCATGTCCATCTTGGTCAGATTCTTCGTCATAGTCACTGTGATTTCAGCTGCGTCGCCGAGTACTACTAGTTCGTCTGCAAGCAGCTCTAGCCCGCTTACGATATGCGTTCGAGCGTCGTAGCGGGTGCGTGCAGCAAGCAGTGCCTGTAGTCCGCGCGACACGTGGGGTTGGAATCTATCGCGAGATTTCTTGAGCAGCAACTTAATAGTGGCAAGGATCTGCGCTTTCACATCCTGGATCTTCTCAGGGGCAATGTTACCGAGAGGAGATTCGAGATACTCGAAAAGCCCCTGTAACAAAGCGTCGAACTTGCTATCCTCAAGTACTATCTTGTTATCACGGAGAAGACTCTGCAACTTGCGGAAACCATGTACGTCCAGGGTCTGGGCCTTGACTCTAGCAATGCCACTTTCGATCAGACGAGAGTTTTGGCGAGACTTATCCGGAGAGACAAGAGGACTGCCGTTGGTGCCATTCGTCTCTGTCGGGGGATGAGACAGATTAGCAGCATCTTCATTAATGGGCTTATCTTTAAGCACTGGTTGCTCTGCAATAGGATTAACCGACGGACGAGGAGTCGTTTGATCCTCCGTAAAGGGATCCTCGTAAACTTTGAGGGCTTTTGACGGTGTTGGGGTTGGAGTGGCTGATGCGGATTTGGAGACGATCGATGCATCCACATCTTCGATAATTATCGATGCTCTAGGAGAAGGAGAAGACTTGGGTGCAGCTGGCCGTGCGCTCTCCTTTAATTGAGCAATTGTTGGCACAACAAGCGTGATATCCTCATTCGGATTTGAAGGGCTGCTAAGGTTAGGTTCACTTGCAAATGGTGGCTTAACCTTCCCCGGACTCTTCACTGGACCTCTAGTCGGACTAGTCCTTGGAGATTTGGTTGCTTTGCCATTTGCTGGCTTCGAAGGTGTTGGAGCGATACTAGATTCACTAGCAGTTGCTGCATGACCAGGTCGTGTTCTTGGGGCCGTCCTTCTAGGTGACCCCGAGATCGTCTTTGGCGTCACACCTTTTGATTTCGCGGTATCGGTGGGGCTTGTGTGCTCCCTTGATGGACCATCGTGAGACCGGACAGAATAGGGCCCGGCAGTAGCAGGTCGAGGTGCAATGTCCGGTCTTCTTCTAGCTGGACGCATGGGTGCCACCGACATACCGCCATGAGACTTCATCGCACTTTCTGGGCGTTCCGGGCGAGTTCGGGTTGCAGGAGCGGTCGCATGTGAAGCGGATGATACATTTGACGAGCCAGACACCGTCCGCGCCGGCGTGACCGTGGCCATAGCAGATCCCGGTCGAGAAGGTAGATTCCTCGTATTTAAAGCCCTCTTTTGTGCCAACATCGCCTCCCTCAGCGAAGGCTTTGTGCTAGTCATGGTACTCTTCGAGAGACCTAAGCCTGGCCGTGAGGCCGGCTCGGACTTCTTCGGAGAATTCGGGTTGTTAGGATCCTTCTGTAACAATTTCTGTGCAGTGGCTTCAAGATTATCTATGATTCTAAACTCGATTAGTCAGCACACTGAAAATGGGAGAGTCGTATAATCATCAAACTTACACTTCCGCTCTCGCGGGCCAGATTGCAGCAAACGCCCAGTACGTTGAGCGCATCTTCTCGCGCACTCCGGGGTTTGCATCATTGAGACCCTTCTTGATACATTTCTCGATCATGTCCAAGCCTCCACCATGTTCGAGATGATTCTTGTGATGCGACTCTTTCTTCAACAGAGTCTTCAGCCAACCTGTAGCGTACATCCTCGGTTGGACATTCTTATCCTGACAGGCACCCCATACGTGTTGCATGATCCTAGCGTTGTAAGTAACTCTTCCAACGATGGTGTCCACGACGGCATTGGCCAATTGAGATGTGATCTTCTTTGTAGCAGCACATAATTTGATGAAAGTCTGCATGAGGAGTTCGACCATTGGGTCGATGCCTGGTCCAAAAGTATTGGCTAGATCCTGGACGAGGGCACATCCCTCCTTGGACAAACTGGTTCGTAGAGAGACGACAGCCTTGATAATGCCATCGAGTAAGGCTCTGCAGCCATTAACAAAGACATCCGGAAAATCGGATGGTGCATTGCCAGCATTAAGTCGTCGTAACTTGGTGATACTCTCTTCTCTCTTTAACCAATTTTGTTCGGTTTCCTTGCTCTCGAACCATTGGTGCATGTCCTTGATCGTGTCATCCAATTCTCGTTGGGTATTGACGTATGAGGGCTCAACCGACTCCGCCTTGGTTTCCGGCATTGGTGTTATTGGCCGGTCGCTAACCAGCGACGAAACACTCGCAGCCAGATTCGGTCGCCCCTGCATCATCGACGAGCCCGGTCTCGATTCCGGGTCTGCCCTCGCAGAAGTTGGGGCTAATGCCTTCACGATGGCTTGTTCTATGGCAGGTCGTACTTTAAAGTTCTTCAACTGCTTCTTGAGGTCAGACTTTGCTGCGTTTGGCGCGTCCCTATAGCTAATGTTAAAATCCATGTCATGTATGTAAATATAGTATAGGATATTGCGAACTTAAATAATTCTATGACGGTGCTCTTGGCGGCATCTCGGACCATGCCATCAGCATCTTCTAGTAGTTCCATCAAAGTTGGGACGTAGGTGCGGAATTGCAAGCCGTGTTCCTTGTTCATCTGTTTCATTGTTAGCGCGTCTGGTGTCACCGTAGATATCGTAGCAGATTGCTAAGTCGCGCATACTTGTAGTAACCATTGCATGCCGGCCTCCTTTGCTCTGGGATTCTTTCCAGCCATGGCAGTGTTGCGCACAAATCTTTCGGCGTCCATTGGTACCTGGATATATATAGTCGCCATTGCTTGTATGGCTAGAGCTCTGATCTTATCTTTCTGATCACCCATCTTCTCGACGATGAGTGGTAGCGTGTGTTTCGCTTCTTTGACGATGAACTTAGGTTCTTGGAGCGACATGCGCGTCAAGAGATGGTTAAGCGTGGTAAAACCGGCATTGACGAGCACAGAGTGTTGGGAGCTTGAGGCGAGTCGAAGAGCTTCGAAGAGAGGCGCGACACAAGTGTCGGGCACGCTGTAGTGTTTAATATCAGACTTCACGGCAGTGACATGTTGAACCTTGGCTTCAATAGAGGCATCTTTTCTGAGAAATGCCAACAGGCCATCGACCTGTTCCTCCGTGAGTAGTTCGGCCATGATCCTTGGGGAGAATCGAGGATCAGGCAGCGAGTCGTGATGATTCAACAAAATTCGCGATTGTAGATGGTCGTGTTCGTTATGTTAACTTCAAAATAGGATGCGAAAAGGTCGTGCTATCGAGCCGTCGCGGTTGAGAGGTAAAAGGGGGTTTAGGTAGGATGTAGTTAATGAGAAATACTCGAATTCAGAAAGGTCGAATTGACTAGGTGATTCAAGTACCTATCAAAAGCAAAAAGTTTGCGATAACGGTTCAAGAGATTATTTCATTTCAGGTGGGTAGACGGTTAACATCAGCTAATTGCGCAAGTGGGCAAGTGGACAAGAATAAGTTGTGAAGGAATCTTGGAATGGTTTAATGTTAATGCTTAGTGTTTGGTGTTTAATGTTCGACGGAATAAATCTTGCACAACGAAAAACCTGAGGGCACTCTTTCCCGTTGTTGTTGTCATAAAGTCTGCTACAATACAAAGTACTCTGTTGATGCGGGAAATGGCCACCAGGACAACGGGGGGTAGTCCCCACACTTTAATAGCACTAACATGACCACTAATTGATCCCTACTATCCATGATAGGTCTGTGATATCCCGGCAACCTGGATCCCTGTTATAGAAAGACCAGGAACATTAAATGCCATCCATAGTGCTGCCCCTCACCGATTCGCCTTCGCGGGGCATCTCACAGCGCTACTAGGTAGGTCCACGGGTATTACCATTTGAAGCTCTAGGTAAACATCCTCTAGATGGAGCCTCTCGTACGACCTTAGAAAGAGCCTCATACAAGTTACAGCTTACCTCCTACTTACCTATATTTTCTAGGTACATACCAACCAACCAACTCCATCTATCTTGTAGTACAAGGAGTTTCAATATCAGTGAACACACCCGAATAGCATCGATATCTTATTCTATCCTTCCAATTCCATGAGTCAATCCGATCCATCGAACATTCCATCCTCGACGGATAACATCCACATCCACCTCGCCATCTCACAAGACCAAGACCGGAAGTCAACTTCCTCAACAATGACCGTCCCTCCCGAAACCACACCGGTCCCCCCGTCCGTCTTCACCCCCGGCACATCACCCCGAACCGACGAACCAAAGCCAACACCAACATCCACCGCCATCCCCATCCCCATCCCGCCAACCGCTAAACCCGCACCCGAAAACGAAGGAAACTCCACGAAGCCCCTCGCACTCCCCCGTCTCAGATTCCACGTAGAAGACCTCACGCACACAGGCTCCGCCGTCTTCCTCTCCTCAGTACAAGCCCCAGCCGTACTCACGACAAGCATCGAATCCATCCACAAGCACCTCTACGACATATCCCTCTCATCCCCAACAACCACAACCACAATCTCATCACACCCCCCAAAACCGCGCGTAATAACCCTTTTCCTGCGCGACATCCCAGGCGTAGCCTACACAACCAGCTCCGACCTCGACCCAGCCCACAAAGAAATCCACTTCTCACTGTCCTACATCGCCTCAATCGCCTCCTCCCGGCAAGCCCACGAAATAACCGGCGTGCTACTCCACGAATTAGTCCACTGCTACCAATGGGCCGCGCAAGGGAGTGCGCCGGGGGGATTAATCGAGGGAATAGCCGACTGGGTGCGTCTGCGGTGCGACCTAGCGCCACCGACCTGGAAGCAGGACAACGTGCCGGAGAAGTGGGACGTGGGGTACAGTGGGACGGCGTATTTTCTAGACTACCTAGAGCGGCGGTTTGGGGACGGGACGGTGCTGCGGGTGAATGAGAAGTTGGGGAAGGAGAAGACGTACAAGGAGAAGGCTTTTTGGACGGAGCTTGTGGGACGGCCGGTCGAGCAGCTGTTTGAGGATTACAAGGAGACGTTGCCGAAGAAGGGCGAGGATGAAGGAAAGAAATGAGACTGGACTAGATTTGTTACTAAGCGATATAGGAGTTACGGAAGCGAGGCCACATTTCAAGATGGATGATCTCTTAGACGGAACTTCTTACTATTTTAGAGTTGTAATCAATGCTACATTTTCTAAATCAGATAACCTCTAGTCAAAATAACAAAGTAATGGCTCCATTGTCGGGATGCCTAGCCCATTTGTCCATGTTGATCCAGTTACCTCGAGTCCAAATCCCTAAACCAAGACGCCATGCCATGAAAAATCTGCGGTATCGAAGATGAAATAATGAGAAGAGAATCGTCTATATTAATGGTGTACCGCACCAGCGACACCTGCCTCGCTCTCGCTCACCACACTTCCGACCTCGGTCCAGCTGGCTGGGGTCATCATGCCCTCATCGTCGCTCATCACATCGTAATGACGGCTTCCAGACCACGATACAGCAGATACAGCCTCGCCGATATCCTCACCAGAACCTGCTAGCGAAGCAGAGTCTGTTGGTGTTAACATACCGTCACTAACAAGTTCTGGCTCGGACATGGGCTCAGCAGGAGAAACGGGTAGAGGCGAGTAGAAGCTGGCGGTCGAGGCGTCATGAGCCCAAGCCTGGATAGAGCTGTAGGCGTCGTGCGAGTCTTCTTGCCCGGCGGTCATATATTCATCTGGGCCAAGTTCACGTTCGGAAGGTTCGGCTGGTGCTGACCGGGTGGCCGATGGATGGTCATCAGTATCAACTAGCGGGGTTTCGGAGGTGGCGGCAGCGGCGGTAATGGCAGGAGATGGTAATAGAGTTGCAGATGGAGGCGTGTTATCCTTAATACCAAGCTGGGTGCTAGCGCTGTAGATATCCGACTCGATTTCATCTTTCTCGGGATCCATCAAACTGTTTTCAAAGGCAATGTCCCCATCGATTCCGTGCTCGTCAGAGAAGGGGTTTGTGTAGATGGATTGAGATAAGCCTCGAGCTCCGTCTCCACGTCGTCGAAGTAGACCTTCATTGTTCCGGGCTTCTAATCCTGTCTGGAAAACGTAGGTACCTTTCTCAGCATTGCCGTCCTCTCGGAGAAAATCATCGAAACTCGAGCCTCGTGGTCGCGAACCTCCAACTTTCTCTGGGTCACTCGATTCCTGTGTTTTCTTCTCTTCGCGGAGGGCATTCCAATACATTATTTCTTCTCTCTGTCGTCGGCGGGTCTCATCGTCGGCATCGACATCCATGTCGCCATTAATATCGACTCCTCGGGATCGGAAGAATCCTTCGGCATCTTCGGGTCTATTGAAAAGGTTCTCTCGTTCTTGAGGGGTGACGCTGTCGCCGAGAGCATGAAGGGCTATAGCAATTCGGCGTCGAAGGTCATTTGCCATGCGCTGTAGCTCCGGTGATTCGTAAACTGCTATAGCAGCCGCGACGGCGACCGAAAGGGCGATAACGCCGACTGAAACAGCAGGATGGTTAAAAGGAGGCATGATGTAGATGGTGGGGTTTATGGTGTATAATCCAAAGAACAAACGAAAGACTTGTACTATGATAAACAGTAGATTGGATAATAATATTTGTGCGAAACCATTAGAAAGGAATATTGCTAATAATGATGATGCCTAAGTTTCGAGGATTGAAAATAGACAGAAGAGCTTGCGTTGCTGTCTCGCCACTGTACTCGAGCCACTACAGCTACCTACTAGGCAGGCCAGGCAGGCGTATTTCAAAAGTGATCCGTGATCCGCAATGATTGACGTGGGGTAACAAGAAGTACAAATGACATGTTTGGACTACTTACCCTTGGCGACCACGGGAACAGGCATGTTTCAAGCCGAAGCCGTAAGCCAACAAGAAAGGATGCAGACACCCGCAAGAGAGGTGGCTGGCCGATTCAAAATAATATTTTTGAAGCGAAGAAAAAAAGGAATGAAAGTAAGAAAAGAATTTAAAGTGTAAGAGGGGGGAGGGGAAGTAGAAGAAGAGGAAAAGGAAAGAGTTGGTTCGCTACGACGGAGGACAGCGGGGAGTCGCAACGAGGCACCCCAGACTCTCCCTAGAAGGATAAAGTTTGTAGGTACATATAAGCGAGGAAAAAGCAGGTAAAATACGCCCAAAGTTCAAAGGAAGGCATAATCGCTACCTCCCAACGCAACTCAAACTCAAAGCCTCATTGCGTAATGATTATAGGCCAATGAGCTGCGCCATGGTTGAAGGAGGACCCGAGAAAAGAGGGACATTAAACTGTAATCCACCCACATATTGGCAGCTGAAAGGTACCTACATTACTTGAAGAGTAAGATGACTTTGAAGCCTCTAAGGACCAGCTAAATTTCATTAATTAGAGGAAAATCACGGTATAATATGTTGGATGGGAACCACCTAACAATTACCTAGAATATTGATGTATGTCTTAGAAAACATTGAGTTTATCTTGATAAAGACCGGTACATTACCCGGTACCAAACAGCTGGACCCTTGATGGGATGTATCCGATGTACATACAGGTACCTATGTAGTATCCGTCCATGGTGTATGCGCCCCGCATTGGCACAGGAATGTACCTATCCTAACCTTAGAAGTTTATCTGAGAATATCTTATCTTCTTCAATCCCTGGTTCGAATCATGTCCTGTTCATGAAGTCTTAAGGGTAACAAGAGCTGTCAAATACGGCCCTTGCATGAACTATTTTCAACCATTAGGAGGATGGGACGAGTTGGTATATGAGAGGCTTGATAGGGCAATTAGCTCTCAGGTACTGCCCGAAAGTTTGGGCTGCACTGCGAGTTGGAGTCGTACAAACTCTGGTATCTTCTAAATCACAACACCTGATAATCATAGCTAACGAATTCAGTTCCCGGACCTCTTGCGTGACCGTGATTCTAGATCCATACTATCACGAGGAAGCTAAAAGGGACATCGAAGAAAAGAAGAAACATCAAGAAACAAACGACGGGAAATGGGGAAAGTCCTCATACTAGACCTACATAATTTCGAAGTCTCCAATCTATAAAATTCAAGGCAATGTAGAAAACTACCAACAAAAGCTTGGCGACCCTATTCCACTGCGGTAGTTAAAGCTGACCCGCAGCACGTCCAATGCAAGGCACAATTACGGCAAGTGGGAACTTCAATTGAACATCTCACTGCTGTCATGTTTGTTCGAGATAGCCTTTTCATCATTAACTGTAAGCTGAGTCTTGGCTAAAAGGATTACAGGTATTTTTACCTGGAATCCAGATATTTAGTCGACGAAACACTACGTACACATCCGTACGTCATAAGGGTTCTAGAAGTGGGTGAACTTCACGATATCCGGATTCTATGACGTCTTTATAACTTTAAGTAGTTGAGTAGTATAAGGGCGCTGCCATAAGTATCATGGATAAAGACCTTATGGCACTTACTAGTGGAAGACTATAACTAATTATATTCGAAGATGAGCCGATATCTCTACGTCAACAGAAATTACGTCTAGCACAAGAGGGAACAGTCCCCATATCAAAGGATCTCGCAATACATAGTACTACGTGGCACCTATCGACTACCAACGAAGTCTCCATAACAACCACTAAGACTAGATAGGATCGTCGAGAATATCCCTAGGTTTGGTTCGATCCACGATCACGGATCGCCGACTTAGATCCGGAAGACGACGAAGTCGGCTGTGGCGTTTTTTAATACTATTCGATCTCCTACTATGCAAGCTCACACGCCGTTATAGGAGTATGGGCATATGTCCTTTTAATTAGGCAAGACTATCATTGCCATAAGAGCTATGATGTCTGCCTAAGTAGGCAATAGTCATGAGCATGACTATAGATGCCCAGTACCTCAAAAGCGGGAGCTTATGAGTATCGTACTCTTCTCGAACCTACCTGCCGACGCTCGAGCTCCTTACATTTTAAGGCACACACAGAGCGTAGTGGGCACATGTCTGGATTTAGTGTGTGCAGATAGCGATGGGAGCAGCGCCATGGTTGTGAAGATGCGCATGTAGACTTGACAATAAGAAGACTTACCTTCTCTATTGTAAATTTTTGGTTATGGAACCGATGAGGTTATATAAGCCGTAGTTGTCTAACATACCACAATTCAGCACAGCATAGCGATGTCAGCCATAGAGTCGTCTAGGCCGATGCAATCCTTAACTCAGATGTAGGACAGAGCGAGCTATGATTATTGCTAAGCGCGGTTGTAGCATCGTAGCAGTTCTTCATCCAATTCTTCTCTATCTCGGACACGACGTCGAGATGACCTGGGATGCTCGCAAATTTGCGAACTAGGATAAGTTACAGCTAGGTAACAAACCTATATATAATCAGCCATCGCTACCCGTCTCGTATTATAATAGCTAGAGCCCTTACATACCCTCACATCAAACTCCCAACAATCCCACGCGCCCCAAAGGGCATCGCGGAAATAGTGAACTTTCCCAACCCCAACGTAATAGATTCCATCAAGTAATCCGAATACCCTCGAGCACGGGACACGGCATCAGCACCGGTCAGAGTAGTCGTAATGGGCACAAATCCTATTCGAGGGCCATCTAGTCCGGCCCGCGACACGACGCCACCGATCTAACGGCCCTCGATAGATCCAAGGGATGAGATGGCAATGAGCGCGTGCAAACGAATTACCCATATTTTTCATTCGAATTGGGTATGTACATGCAGGTGAAAACGCCTCACGCCAGCATCGAAGGAACAGAGATAAAAACACCTTTCCCACCGGCGCTATGCGGCATATCTATCTTGGGTAACCCGGACCCCCAACAGTCAACCAGTTAGCTAAGCTCATAGAATGTAGGTGCTAAGTTGGTAGATACCTAGGTGGTAGGTAGTAAGTATTATCTAACAAAGTGTCACAGGCCTAGAAAAGCGAACGGGAAACAGGTATTCGATAACAATAGGTAAATGATATGTATATTTTTTGCGGGTTTTGCATGATTTTACTGTCTTTGAATAGGTACGGCAAAGTAATCCCCATCTGTGCGATCCCCTTCCGCTAGTCAGACAGCGGGATTAGGAGGACCTCTCAACTAACCGAATCCCAGCATCATTAGTAAGTAATAGTAGTAAACACCCAGTGCTGTAGAAAAGCGAAAGGCGTTCCACAGCGTCGGTCAGTTGATCTGCGGTTCCCCCTTCCGTCCAATTGGATACGACAACCTTTTCTTCCTCACAGTTTTTCACTCTCCCCAAATCCTCATCCCGCATTCTCCAAATCCCATTAGGTGGTAAGTGTACCATGTACTGTACTTTATCTCAAGTAAGATATCTGATAGGCGTGTGGGTGTGGGTGATATTGCAGCTGGGGTGGCACAAGCTGATGCGACAGCCGAATCAGCTCGAGCCGCCGCTTCGGGGAGTCTCCAGATAATGCCGCAATCAGGTGGCCCCAACTGGTTTTTTCTTTTTTGCTCATTATTTTTTGGTGTGATTTGTGATGTAAGTGGGTAATTCCGTGGGTAGACGTTCCAAATCGAGAACAGCAAAAGACCAATCTAGCAATGTGCTCGTGTGACAAGGTGGTAAATGACGGATGCGGAAACGGGGTTGCGCTCGGGGATACCCATCTCCATCCCATTTCATGTACGGACTGATGAAATGGGAAAATGAGGTTTGGGAACGTCTAAAAAGACGCTTTTGAGCTCGTCGATGAGGTTGACGAGGTCGAGAGGCCGGAGTCGGTACGTGAGATCCCGGGGGCTCTGACGACGCGAGCGCGCTCACTGGGGAAGATGGTTTCAGTGTTTCGTTAGGTAATAGATATAAGAGGACAGGGTAGCTCACTATGAGGCTCTGTCCTTGTGTATCTGGCATTGCCATCGACCACCTCCGGTCTTGATGGTGAAAGCCAAGGGCTTGGTGTCGACGATCTGCTTGATATCTACGGAAGGCATATTGAATTGATAAGTATGTAGATGTTTATAACTAGGTGGTTTTTTTTAAGAAACTAAGTTATAGGTGAAACCTGGGTTGGTAGGTTTAGATAAGTAGAAGAGCAGATCGAAGAAGAGGCTTGAGAGCGGAGATTGGTCTTGGGGAAGTGTTTGACTACAGGATACGAAAAAGAAAGTTTCGAGGAAGGCGACGGGACGGCTATATATAATCTTCACAAAAAGACCGGATTCTCCGGTTCCCCCGTCGAGCACATAGATACCTACACGTGCCTACATGAGACTAGTTGGACCCCTAATCTAGTGGTATATTGTACATTTACTTTTGTTCACGCGGCTAAGTATTGTTGTATATGTGTAAGTGTATAAGGTAATCTCTAGTAATCTCCAGTAATAATAATTACAATACTAAACCCAGCGCCGGATGAGTGATTTTGTTAACTGAGACGCAGCCAAACGTATTCGGAAATACCCTCTCTCGCGCGCGCGAGACTACCTTGTGTGGGTACCGTATTTTGGGGCTCCGCTCGGCTGCTACTTTGCTCGATGCGGCGCTACTACGTCGTTAACTGGCTGCAAGTTTTAGTGTACATAGGTAGGTTGGTAGGGGTCTATCTAGGGGGTGTGTGCGTGGAAGGGAATAGGAAAGCTCCCGATCTCTAGGTACCTGCTGTAACTAGGTTTTGACGGAAATCCTTAATTGTTATTTGTTCGGCTTCTTGGACTTCTTGGACTTCTTAACTGCTTGGAATAGTTGTACCAACATCAGACCGCTTAAAGCCCCCATCCTCATCCCCCGTGTCCACACATATAGTACTTTATACATGACTACCTTGTTCGTCGCGGGCAAAGATGAGCGTTGCCAGAATTGTCACGCGACATACATATGTGAGGGTTATGCATGATGCAACCTGACTTCCACGTACTACGCAGCTCAGCTTCGATAGCTTTCCGCTTGTTGGAAGACCGGTCGAGATATTCTTAATACGCCCACACCTTTATTAGTCGGTATTTTAACTGCTAGTTAATGAGCGGTATGGGATTGATGTAATCCGTACATCGTCAGAGGACCAGAGGTTTCCAAGTTTCGCGGGATAATCACAATTACATATTGACATATCGTCATCGCAGCTCCTCCTGTTCCTCAAGCTCCTCATCCTTCTTCCTTGAAAAAAAGACCGAGAAAGCGCTCTTTCTAAGTTAGGCATAGAGGGGGCTCTAAATCTGCCACTAATCGACCTTAGCAGCAGGTAGATACGGGAAAAAGGCTTAACTGGACTTGGCTGCTGACGGACTTTAAAAGATGGAAGGCCGTCCAATTATAGAACGCCGATCCCACCAAATCGCTCAAGGTGTGCTTCTTGCCCGTCCAAACTCTCAGTAGAGAAGGTTCATAAGGGCGTTCTGATCTTGCTTTTGATCTCGAAATATGCGTGATGGTTGCTCGCGAAATCCGGCTTGGCAGGCACGCAGAATGAAGCAAAGGCGTCTAGGGCGTCATGGATGTTTCGCTCATCTCACCTAGCAGCCTAGTACATGTTTCCCTTTCTAGAAGAAGCCTCGAGAGGTGTAGATCTGCAATACATGCTTCTCTAGGTACATCATTTAGTTGGTTAGGTACAGTAGTGCGGGAAATCGGTCGGGATGATCTCAACACCTGGGCGTTGAAAGGACAAGAAAAGAGAAGAAGACTTGGATTTCTTGGTGTCGGACACTGGCTACATGTACGATGTACGTACCTACACCCCTGTCAACGATTTCCCTAAATGGTTCGCCCGACGTTCCGTGATTGGATGACGAAACTTTAGCTAGCCGGACTCTAGCCTCACCGGGACTAGTCCAAGTACTTCCGTATATCGACGGCGTCTCATCTCCGTGATATTTCCGCACCGAGTTTGAAACAACCAACCAGCCTACAAAATAAGATGCATAAACTAAACAGACCAAATTCACACCAATTCGCACCAATTTGCGGATAGGCGGAGAATCAAACATGCAATGGTGAGGATCAACTTCTCTCGGTGAGCCTTTTGTGCTATCCAGTCGCCCCAATATTACTGCATAGTGTGTCTCCTGAATGATTACACATTGCAGTCTTACATTAGCAGGTTAATTACCTCCACATCCCCATTTTCTATTCCCCAGCCCTGCTGCACTGTCCGCCTGTTGTTGATGTCCAATTAAGGATGTCTAAGGATGGAGAGGAGGCTAAACCTCCAAACCCCATGTTTTAGACGACCATGGTCTGGACGGTCGATGTCTTGGGATTTAAAACTAATATCATTGGACGAATACGAGCACGATGATACTTAGCCAAAGTGCCCGATGCAAATTTGTCAATTTGTTATTTCTTCTAGGCAGTCTTGGATGTGTACATCATCTGCCCGTCTACGGGAGTACTTTTCTGTCCGAGGCTTTTTTTAGTCACCGTCTATTAGGGAAAGGAAAGCACCTCGTGATAAAGTACACGCCCCTTGAGGCATTTCCCTAGAATAGGAACCCGATCACACTCTGGAAAAGCTGCAAGATGGGAAGAAGATTTCGCGATCATGCAAGTCTCGAAACTTACCTATCACATTCGCAAGAGAGAGAAAATCTTTCCTTGAAACCGACTGGTTCGATCGATAGGCAGACCGTAACACTACCTAGGTAAGGCAGGTAAGCAGGTCAACGAGGATATTGGGTTTCGAGGTTGTTTCTGACCGCGTGCAATTATCTCCTAGGAAGGGTTGCACGACTTGCACTACTGGTAAGCAATCTCGATAAAGGATCTCGTGTACTGTTGCTCAAAAGGCTGCAATATATCGAATGGAACCGTCTTCTCCACGATGATGGGCTGAGATACGTCACCGCCGAAACCTCAAGGAGAATAAAAACCTTTGTACGCGGTTCATCTCGCAGAAACCTGCCCTTGAGACCAAGCGGAACGGGAGGTTATTCGGCAATGGCGTGAAGACGCGGGAAGATGTTGCTTTGCGGCCCAGCCCGTTCGGCTTGGAGCCCGAAACCCGCAACGCGCTGTTGCAGGTCCGGGGGCACGCGAGCTCAGCCAGTGGTTTTACGAGGCCACACGCGGCTTTCCTGATAATACCATGTACGACACGCAAGTCGTTGATGAAAGAAAATATAATCTGGGGAAGCTAAATGGCGCGCATTCGATTCCGTCCTCTCCAATAGTAGAATAGGGGTTCTGTGCAGGAATCTTCGATGCCTGAGCGCTACTTAACGCACGCGCTCTCTCTGAACATCGATTTCGATGCTCTGGACATCAACCTATAACCCGCAGCACGTGTATGACTCGAGAAAGATGAGTGAGCGAAAGCGAGGCCCTATACCTAACCTCCAAAACTTGCGATCGTGATTTCCCAAGCTCATCTTTCGGTAACCTCGTCTAAGCTTCAAAAAATATCAAACTTTGACGACTTTGTCTGTTCACACATCTATGCTTCTATCTAAAATCGTATAGCCTATCCAATTACTCATATCCCTTCCCTATTCATCCACATCCCACGCCCCCCCTATCTAGGTACCTATCCAGGTCGCCGAGGGCAGATAGCCCGCGCATACCGATTCCGACATGAGAAAATGCCGCAAGAATCATGCGAGATAAGACATACATATCCTGATACCCTTGGCGCATGTACAGGAAGCAGTCATGGTACGATATAGGTCGAGGCGACCAAGTAAGAATAGTGTATCGACTGTGGCGAGCTTTCGATTACTTGTCTAGCGGGCATGGTTTTTTGAAATCGTATCCCGTTACGGCTGTTGGGGGCACAAACGGACGGGCGATCGGTTTAAGGTTCGATACGTGTCACCTCAAGTCCTTCGTTGAATAATTTATAGGTATAGGACGGAGCTGAGTACGCTAGGATCGAGCTTGGCATGCGCCGCAAGCTGATCTGAGATGTTGGGCTGATGTCTTACTACCGTCTACTGGCGGGAGGAGGTAAGCCTCTATGTCGGTCGGGTAAGATTGTTCCTTCATATATCCCTATGACGTAGAGCTAGGGACGACAAGACACATAATCGGGTAGGATATGGGATGAAATCATGAAAAAGAAAATCTTTAGACGGACCCCCCTTTCATTATGAAAAAAAAATCATGTTGAGATCTCGAGTTAGGAGGTGTAAGTAAATAAGTAAGTATGGAATACTAGTTTCACGATCCCGCAGCTTACACGATTCACCAATAGAAGCCAAATCTCGACTTCAGTCATGCAAATTCGTTCCCATTGTTGTACACTCTACAAGCGGAACTACCCAGCTCCCTTCTAATGGACGCCACTATTGATGTATGATGGATGATGAAGAGGTATCTACAACTTGGAAATGATAGCCGCCGCATACTCGCCAGTCTTCGCCTTTCCGCCGAGGTCGCCCGTCAGCGACTTTCCTTCCGCCAGGGTGTCGAACGTGGCCTTCTCGATTCTGTTGGCGTAGTCGGTCAGACCCATGTGCCTCAGCATCATCATGGAGCTGAGAAGAAGAGCTGTGGGGTTGGCGAGACCCTTGCCAGCGATATCCGGCGCGGATCCGTGCACGGCCTCGAAGATAGAACACTCGTCGCCGATGTTGCCTGAGGGAGTAAGACCGAGACCGCCGATGAGACCGGCGCACATGTCGGAAAGAATGTCACCGTACAGGTTGGGCATGACGAGGACCTTGTCGTTGTACGGTTGGGGGTCGGTGACCATCTTCAGGCAGGTGTTGTCCAGCAACTCGGCGTCGAACTCGATACTAGGGAAGTCCTTGGCGACTTCACGCGCGGTCTTGAGGAATAGACCGTCGGACATCTTCATGATGGTGGCCTTGTGGACGACGCGGACCTTCTTGCGGCCGATCTCCTCGGCGTGTTGGAATGCGAATCGTAGGACACGCTCACTGGCCTCGCGGGTAATGAGCTTGATGCTCTGAACGACACCATCGACCACAACGTGCTCAATTCCAGAGTATTCACCCTCGGTGTTCTCTCGGATCAGGACAGTATTGACGTTGTCGTAGTTTGTCTTGTAGCCGGCGACGGATCGGCATGGTCGTAAGTTTGCGAAGAGGTTGAATGTCCGTCGGAGGGTGAGGTTGAGGGAGACGTGTCCCTTGCCGATGGGGGTCTTATGGAAATAATTAGATTATTGAAGCAGCGCGCGCATAAATAGGCGGTCGTAGACTTACGGCAAGGGGACCCTTAAGGGCAACCTTGTTTCTTTGGATGCTCTCAATGGTTTCGGAGGGGATGGTAGTCTTTCCATCTACCAGTTTAGGGGTAACATCGACGGGCTCCCAGCTAATGGGCGTCTAAGAAGACAAGTTTCAGTATTGTACCTTGGCTTTGAGGAGAATCGAGCCGTCAACCAACCTTAGCAGCCTCGAAGATATCCTTCACAGCTTGCGAAATCTCGGGACCAATTCCGTCACCCTCGATAATGCTGACCGGGTAGCGGCCCTATAGTCCATCTTATTAGTGAATTGTCCTCCAAATAAATAACATCAACTAGCCAATGCCAATGCCAAGACCAAATCCAAGTTTGAGTGATTTTCCTCGGTCGAATTGCGCATGACAACAGTCGCATAAGACGATCGTAACACATACATCAGAGCCCTTTACACCGGTGAACTTGGCGACTTTGTCGGAGTAGAATCTTTGGTTCTGTAAAGAAAGGATGGGTTAGTAACCGTGCCACCCAAGTCGAAACTCTCACTGAGCGCCCACCTGGAAGGATAGAGTTGCGGCAGCTCGAGGGGCCGCGGTTAGGCATTGGCGCCGCAAAGGTGCGGCGGCCGTTCGAATGGCCAGCATTATATAGGATTATATGTAGGAGCTTTGGGTATTATCGGTGGGCTCCTGCGAAAAGTAAAAAATGCTGGCGTATGGAAGAGGTTGTCGTAGGAATTGTTTTCGATTTCGCAACGCAAAGAACCTTGGAAGCACTTTTGCGGCTCGGGTGGTATCGGACGGACGGCTGCTGCTTCTGAAAGATCTGATAACACCAATGTGGGTCCAGATTTGAGCCGAATTAATTGGGGTTTCCATGTTTTTGCCAGAGATTTCCCGACGGCTACGTAACATCGATCTTACCTATCGATACCTGCATTAGCCACCAATTACATAATGCTCTGCACTGTGGCTGCATTTCGCTATGCAGGGGTTGCGTTTTAGTTTGATGTCAATTCCAGGTTGCACAGACGTAATATCGGTTTACATAATCCCTTCTACCTTCTATGCGACAAGTTACAAGTTACAACACCTCTATTCATCCCACCCTTTACACCTACATACCTACCGATCCGCACCTATTCACCGACGACCTAGCATTCTCTGAGAGTGCGCGCAAAACGAAAACTAGAAGTTACATACGATACCATATCCGTACATACCTAAGTTGACGAATGGGAGGATCCTAGGATTTGGCCGGGGCCATATACTATTGCCATAAGGCAACGATCGAATAGTAGAAGGTGTAGGAATCATGGCGGACTTCGATAGGAACGTGCTGGAGTTCTACCAGCTGTCTACACCATTCCCCACTGAATGGCCTACGGAGAAGGACAAGAGTGACGATTCGGATAGTGAACTAGAACAAAAGAAGCAGAAAATCAATCGAAGGAAATCCCGATATCAAGCACTCGAACGAGCTGTTAGCAATAGAGCTAGTATTGTCCAAGGATCTGAGAAGTCGGCAAATGGAGTGAGCAACTTGGTCCAGAAGGATGAGCCCGATCCGTTGGGGACGTCGGATAGCGTCGTCAGAGCATTGAAGTCATTGGGAGTACCGGTTCAAGATGATATTCGTTTACGTATGTTTAATGTGACTATATTTCCTATTGGTCCAAACTTACCAATGTGTTCATAGGGAATCGCTTCCTCTTGTCGTCCACGAGCTTCTCTCCTGCGTTGTTCTTATCCCAAATGCATGCGGCTGCCGATACCCAATCCCTATTGAACGGTCTCGAGGTGCTTTCCAAGTCCATTGACCAAAAGTCCGCATCCTTGAAAGTCCTTGTCGAGTCCAATTTCGAGAGATTCGTTCGAGCCAAAGCTACAATCGACAATGTTTATAAAGAGATGAAGTACAGGGGTGTTGAACCTCCATCTCCCATAATTCGCGCCCGTGGACATTCCCGACATGCTAGTAGGAGTAGTTTCAGGAACAGCATGGGCGGTGCCGCACTCGGTACAAACCCACTAGTATCTCCTGTCCCTGATATCACCAAAAAGAAGAATGCATTGGTTAAAGAGAGCGATTACGGAGTCATGGGCATCAAGACGCCCTTGTTGGACGTCGCGGCAAAGGCTGAAGATGTTTGGGGCCCTGCGCTCGGTGGTCGGGAGAAGGAGGAGAATCTCAAGACCGTTTCGACCTCGCTTGATCGGTATAAGGAGTACATCGAAGCAAGTTCCAATATTGCCGATAGTATTAAGAGAAAAGATTATGAAGCCTTGGTAGAGGAGTATGTCCGCGCCCGAAGGTTCGCAGATGAAGCGCGGAAACTTGTTGAAGAATTAGGCTCGACGCCGCCGAGTGAGACGCAGACATACCAGATTCTTCTCGCGGCTAGAATGTGGTACGACGTCGAGGAACAAATTCAACTCTTCAAACGCGACGTATGGAGGAGGCTTACATCGCTTCATACGGTGAACAGGGCAGAAACTTTGGCCGGCCAACCACAAGACCAACATATGGAATTAATCAGCTTATTGCTAGAACTTGGTGTTGATGACAATCCGATCTGGGTATGGCTTCTAAGTAGGTACGACTATCTGAAGGGAAAGATAGCTTCGACCGGCGAACGGGCAAAAGTCGAGATCGAAGTACTTCGACGCCGTCTAGCAAACGCTGAAAAACCAGCACCTCAGATGATGGCTTCACATCTGAAACATCTCGGCCGACAATCGGTTGATAGTAAAGCCACCGGATTGGATTCCGCTGACGTCATCGAATTATGGGAGAAGATGCTAGCCTTCTTATCAAGTCTCCTATCCGCCCAGGGTATTCTAGGAGAGGTAGTAGAATTCTGGCAAACTGTCGAGAGCTTTATCGACGGAAAAGCACAGAAGTCGTTACCCACAGGTTACAATGGCGAATCCCGCGACCATCACCGGCTTTCTCAGCAGGGAACTGTTGATTTACAGAAAGGCACTGTTGAATTAGTTGATATGATACGTTTGCACGTCTTTGAATTCTTTGCTGGTGCTCCCCCCGAGGATATTTCGCTACTCTTCTCTCCGTTGCCGCCTTCGCCCGGAACTCCTTTGTCAGCAGGGCTGACACCTACTAGCGCACGAGACCCTCGTTTCAACTTCGATGCGAATAATCTACCTCCTCCATCCCCTAAAAGAGGCGAACCATGGGAGAAATTCGCATTCTGGCCGCCGACTTCCAATTCGGTTAGCGGAGTACACTACCTATCCAAGATGCTTAGCTTGGTGGGATCTGGCGCATCCGAGATGGCGAGCGTAGCTCCTGTCAAGCAAGAAGATGCGAACCAGGTTGAGATGTTAAAGACCCTTGTTGGTGCTGCAAGAGAGAGGTCCGTCACTGCGTTATGCGCTGCGTGGAACAAGGACGCCGAAAACATTAAGTATGTCGAGGATTGGAAGCGCACCAAGGAGATGGGAGACGTCACGCGCATGCCGGCAAGCTTCGCATCATTCGAAGGCGCCTTGCTCTCTGGGATGCAGAAGATTCTCTACATTCCAGAGGCAATGGCTAAGCCTGGCTCCGGGGGTATCGTCCTTGCGCCGCCGTCAAAGCTCTTACAGATGGTGCGAAGTCAATACGTCACGACGCTTTACAAGGCCCTTAGCGGAATGGTTGAAAATGCGGAACGCGCGATTAAGAAGGCGGATGATGAGTGGACTGCCGATGTGGACTTGGTTGTAGCATCCGTCAGCGATAGAGCGTCCCTGACTGTTAACTCGGGGACCGTCGACGCTGGTGACAGGGTAGGTTTTTTCTCATTTCAGTTGTGTGTATTAAAATCGCTAACAATATTATAGAATGTTCGCATGCTCTTAACACTCGGCAACCTCCATGCCCTGCGCACCAAGGTAGTTCCCAACCTAAACGGCCAGTTTGAGAACGCTTTCTCCGTAAAACTCACCGACGAATCCAAAACCATCAAGGACGTCCTCGGCCAAATCGACGCCCGCCTCTTCCAGACATTCACACGCCCCTCGCTAGACGCCCTACGCAAGGTCATCCGTGCCGGCCTCGCGGACCCTAAGTGGGCTCCACCTAAGCCCTCGGAAGTCAAACCGTACGTCTACGAGGCCCTACTCACCCTCGTGCTAGTACACACCCAAGTCTCCACGACAGCCCCCAGCATGACACACCAAGTAATATCCTACCTCCTCGAGCAAATCAGCCGCGAGCTCCTCGAATGCCTCAAAGCGCGCCCGAAATTCGACCTAGGCGCACTTATGCAAGCGACCCTCGACGTCGAGTTCTTCGCTCAAACCCTCAGCCAGTACACGACCGAGCGCGCGTCAGGCATCCAGGGAGAAGTCTACTCCATGCTCGACTCCAAGACGGATAACCAGGCCAGGGCCAGGTTACAGGATGAATTGCCTGGAATGCGCGAGGTCCTGAAGAAGCTTAGGGAGCAGAGCAGGAGCGAGTTCGCGTGCTTTAAACGGCCTCGGCGGAACGGTGGCGGCGCCGGAAGCGGCGGGTCTAGTACTGCTACTGCGGGGTCTGGGGTTGGGCCCGGGACTCTGGAACGTACGGCTACGGGCTAGGCGCTTGTTAGACGGCGTACGGGAAGGGGGAGCGTTGGTGCGAGAGATGCTGGTGGAGGAGGAGAAGAGGGGAGTGGTGATTATAGAATCGCGGGGTTCCTTAGCCCGCAGCGGTTTGTGGCGGCTAGACCCCCGATCCAACTCCCTGTGCTGGCGGATACCGAGGCGTATGTGCTTGAGTTCAGGCTTAGGGCTTGGAAGTTGGGGGATAGTTTGTAGAGGGGATGAAGATGGAGATGGGGGTAGAAGAGTAGATGAGGGGTGGAAGATGAGAGAAGAGGTAGGAAGGATGGGGAGGGGGGATTAGGACATAGGACAGACAGACGGACATGATTATAGTCTTGGAGATTAGTTATATTATGGATGACACAATAACAATAAGAACAAGAATTCTGTATAGAGTTAGTTGTTGGTGTTTTATGGTCCTAGAGACCCCATATCACTATTATTATCATCACAAGCACGACATGTCACAATCATAAAAACACTTCATAGTATTGGGTGGGAATAGGAGGGCAATCATCAATTAATGAGTCTATAGCCAGGACCGGGTTCCCGCACCCCAAAAGGCCAATTTATGACCAAGGGAGGGTACTACAAAAGTCCAAACCGAAGCTAAGCAAGCCTCCAACACCACCCAGTCATGTACTCGTATAGTGGTACATTATATGCAATTGCAGTAGTCGTCTTCGTAGCCGTAGTCGTAGTCGAGAGAGATCAAATTTGACGCGTCGCCGCGTTGAAAGAAGAGGAAAAATCTCGACGGTGGTTGGTTGGTGGAAATCAGAAAGTGGGTATCTTGGTCAGAACTGCAACTTTTGTCTCCCAAGTAACGCCGATTGGTATAAGGGAGAATGCGAATTCGTTGGTAGTATAGCGTAGCGTTACATCGTGAGTCGTGAGACAATGTGTCTTCATGTATCTAGAGATTTAGAGAGGTTGAGAGAGCGTTTATTGCTCTTCCGGAAGTAGAATCTTGGAACCATATAAGAACTCTAATGAACGAGAATCTTCTGGTTGGAAGTTTTGGGGGTCCTGGCGGGACTGGAGATAAGATTGGGTGATTCCTAGATGCTGGAAGTATTCAATCACACGGCTATCCTTAAGGGCCGTGATGGGAGAATCCGGACCCTCGGCGACCAACTTGGGTAGGAAGTTCCGCACCTTAAGTAACACTCTCAGCAGATCGGCGAGCGTGTCTCCTTGTCGCGTGAAGTTGCTAGGAGGTCTCTCCAATGGCCATTTCGGCCGAAGGTTCTCCTCCTCCCAGACTTTGAATGCCCAAGTTGTCTTCTCGATGCAGTTCAAGAAAAGAATAACAACTAGGAACATGGGGAACCCGTGCTTAATCTTCCCATCTTGTAGGCGACGTCGCATTTCGCTAAGCAAATTCTTACTAGCAATAGATGCTTTGCGTTCCGCGGCGGCAGTAAGCTGTAGACAGATGTTCGTATATGCCTCACTGTCGAAAGCATCATCTATCCAGTATTCATCAATATCATCATTGGGCGACTTGGCGCGCATTGTCCACTGCCTTTCGAGATCCATAAGCTGGACAATCCCCCAGAGCTCTAAGGCTTTCTTCAAGAGCTCGTCACCGGTCTGTGCAGCGACGGCAACAGCCGTGTCTAGTGTAACGCGAATGTGGTGGGACGGCTCCTGTCGAATGAGCTGGGGGAGAGCATCGCGCATATAGGCTTCCACCTTTCCAGGAATGTCCTCGGCATTGTTGTCTAACAGAAGGATTCGAACGGCGGGATCGGGTGCAATCACATCACCTTTGAGCACTCCTTTCAGCACTTGAAAGGTCGCCTTGTGACCGGTAGTAGGAAAGTGTGATACTTCCACTACCAACCCAGAATTCTCAAGGTCATGGGTACTTTTATACCCATTGATGCGCTTCTGCGACATCACAGCTTGTACTCCAGCGGAATATAAATCAATATCCTCACACAATTGTGCGCGGATACATTCAGTTCTCCACACCCTCGGCGTAGAGACCTTCTTACACGCATCGCATGGTGTGCCTGGGGAACAAGTCTTTCGTAGAATTTTACAGCGCGCACAAGCACCGATTCTGCGCACTTCTTGGACTTGTTTTCGTCGCATGTCATCAAAGCGCGCTCGGCTATGATGATGCTTGCCGTGGTTATTGGAGGTGTTCATTCGACGGCCACCCTTACTCAATGTTGCAGCCATGGCATGACCATGGTCGTTGACGGTGGCCGGAGCATGGATGTCGTCTGATATGTACGTCATTCCATCCCAAGGAGTGGTCGAGCTGGCTGCATAGCTTTGCGAGGCGTGTTGCCTCTCCGGGGAAGGTGGATAATTTATCAACATATCTGACTGTTCATGGTGTTCCTGTTCCTGCGCCGCTCTTTCAGCCAGAATATGGGCATCCATCTGGTGGTCTGCCTGGTGATGGATAATTGGCGTATTATTTAAGTGAGCGGTTGCCGCTGCTGCAACTGATAACGCTGACTGGGAACCATTGTGTCTCTCATGATAATCACGGTATTCATGGAGAAAGACTTCACGAAGACGCCTTTCGGCAGGACCAATCATCTTCCCAGATATACCAACATCTAAATAGGTTTCCTGTTAGAATAAATTCTTTTACCTAGGCAATTCTAAGTTTTCTTTTTCGACATACCTCTGTTATCAATCTGAGTATTATTGTCGAGACCCGTAGGCGGATTATCCAATGTGAATTGCTCGTGAAACTCGAAAGAATTCGAGTCGGTTGCTGCGATAGGAACAGCACCAGGGACACTGGTAGGTAGGGTGGTTGGCACAGTGTTGGTGGCGTCGTGTGTTGTCTCGGAATGATCATCATGCTTCTCATTGGCCTCGATTTGACGAGAGACTTCAGCTAATGTCTCTAGTGGTGTCCATATTTGATTTTGCGATTGTTCCAGCACAGGAGCAGATGCAGTAGGCGCGATAGCAACGATAGGTGAGGCTGGCGCGATCGGAATAGAAGGAATGATGGGGTTGTGATTAGGGATGTGATTAGAATCATTGTGTAGAATATTGCCGGTGTCGAATTGAGAGCGATTCGTGCGATTCGTGGCATTCGTGGCATTCGTGCGATTCGCTGTACTTGTAGGGTTCGCGTTGTTAAGTCCGTTCAATGTAAGGCAAACGTTGACTCGATCTGCTTGAGAAATGGCAGGACATTTCTTAAGTAGGTGGGCGGTCAGACTATCGCTGCGACCTTTAGGAAAATCCTCGCCGCAAGCCTTGCACCTGTGGTGATAACGATTGCTATTGTCATTCAATTTAGGACCGCGTTCAAAGAATTGAACAATGACCTGATTGGGTCGGCGACCCATCTTGTTGAATGCTCAATGTGAGGCTCGTTAAATGTCGTCACTAATGGTGAATTAACATAAATCTGGCAGAATTTGAATGCGGTGAGCGAGAAAAGATGGAAGAAGGAATTGAGTGTGAAGATGGACCATTGAACGTTGAGGATTTCAGCCCTAGTGGGGTAACCAGTTAGCATCTTGGGGAGGAATTCTAATCATCCAGATCACCCCTCCAAACATCCAAGTACCTATGTATTTTCAACATAAGAGCCAATCAAAAAGAGTACGGCGGTCGATAATTGTGGAATCACTGGATAGAAACTTAGGTACCTAGATACCTAAGTGACGATTTGGCCAATTGAATTTCATAGACCAGTCTTTTTACCATTCTAGGAAATGATTTGCCTATATCTTGTTACTAAGGTCAGCTAGGGCGCTTGGACCTTCTAGTATAACAATCTCCATCATTTCATTCCCGTCAAGTACATTGGTAGAAACAGTACACATCAAGTTGTCAACACATGTATCCCATCTGTACTATTATATTCAATATTTATTGTACAAAGTACCTAGGCACCTTCCGGATCTTAGACGATTAACTTCCGGGTACCTACGACCGGAGACAATAACCTAAATTTAAACTGTTTCCACCCCTGATCCTTACTCGGGTACCTAGGTACTTTCGGTACGTATGACTTGAAATTCATATTCAAATGAACTCCGAATGATTAAGAAAACCATACAATCCATTTTTCTTTGCCGCTTCATTTGAATCAAGTCAAGGAGCATGGCATCGATAAGCAGCGTCCTATGCGTAATACATATTATCAGAATAACTTAGGAGATGTGTTCGACAACATACCAAGTTATAATCTACCTACCATATATTATACACTACCACCAAATCGGCATTCGGGAAATCGGCTCATGCATGATCAACGCACCTGGACGCTGTCGCTATTATCATTGGTAGGTTCCCATCAAGCTACTCAAATAGAGCTTCTTGATAATAAATTTCTGCACCGTTCGGTTGTAGAATACCACGCACCTCCCGAAGTCAAGAAGAGGCAAGACCTCCCACTCTTGGACTTTACTTGACACTAAGAATCCTTCGTGTGGTTAGGGTGACAGGCTGCGACACCACAAGCGCGACGCAGCAAGTTCAGATGACAATGTCAACTGAAATCGAAAACTAGATCCAAGCTATGCAGAGTATGCTGATCTTAAAGAGGACCTGAGCTGCTGAGATGGAAAAAAAAAGAAAAAAGATAATCTGGTTAGGCACGTGCCTCCAAAGAATCGAAGAATACCTAGTACGGTCAGCCCTCGGAACCGAAGCATACCCAACCTGCCAACTTATCCACGCTGTTACGATAGCGGCATAGGTATCCCCTCTGTCTCTCTACTAAAGTCGTCGATCACGATGTTCTCAGCCCATTGTTTAATGATATTATTATAAAGTATTCGCTATATTTATGGAATAGCAGCCTCAAATCTAGCTGCCAAGCTTCGATCATGTCTTTTCCGGGAGGTGATCGTCGCTGCGCCTCGTCTAGCTGCACCCCTGGCAACCCGGCGACCCTTTCATTATGTAGATGCTGGTAAATGCTAGTAGATGCAGGGCAGCAGGGTTCCGGCAAATTTGGTCAACGTTACAGCTGCAGCCGCTGCAGCCTCTCACTCAGCGGGAATGCGCAATCCGGTCCACACAAGGATTCCTACGCTGTAGGCACCGTGGCTTTGTTACTCCTTTGGATAGGTCCAAATTTAGGTAGGTTCGGGGGGATCTATGTCGTCAGGAGCCAGAGAATCAAGCCAGAAACATCGTCTATTCCGTCTAGGTAGCCACTCGCTTGCTGCACTGTTCAACATTCACTCGCTCTTTATGTGAATGGGACCACTACTGCCTTGATGTTTTCGGTTTCCCTAAAGTCGTTCGTTAAGATATATACCAACTTATGGAGTAACTTGACTCTTTTGCTTTTCAATGTTTCGATCATAGGTGTTTTTGGTTCTAGCCAATTCGATCAACTCCGACATCAAAGCCATACCGTCTCGATGCGTCCCTCCGCGGGCATGGCGCTGGGCGTGGCGCTCGCTCAAGCACACAATTTCCACCTGCAAACGCAACAGGATTTGAGTCAATTTGTGTTACCTCTGGTATGTAAACCGAATTAACACACCCTAAAATGAAAAAAAAGAATTCAAATTAACTTTACCCTTCAAGACCGGTACCACTAATGGAGGCAACACATTTCCTGGTGTGAGCGTGCCGTTCGGAATGGTTAAATTGGGACCTGACTTATACACCGGATCCGATAGCTACTCGGGCTACCAGTCGACCGGTAGCTTCATCGGTTTTAGCCTGCTGCACGAGAGCGGCACTGGCGGCGCCCCAAAATACGGCGTTGTCTCACAGATGCCCGCCGTCGGCACCATCGAAAACCCATTGGCCGATCAGAGCGTCAACCGGAGTGCTGCAGATGTGGCGCGGCTTGGCTACTATAAGTCAAATTTATCCAACGATGTTACGGTGGAATTGGGCGCAACCGCCAAAGCTGGATTATACCAGTACCAGTTCTCTGGAAATGCTGCTGCTTCGAATATCATCGTCGACGTCTCGCACGTTCTTCCGTCATTCAGGGGTCAAGGTCTAGGCCAAAATTATTTGGGTGGTAACATCTCGGTGACGACGACTGATAACAGTGTTCGTTACACAGGATCTGGTTCTTATGACAATGTATGTCTCTAATTGGTGGCGCATATCGATTGGATTGAGTGGACAGAGTTATTGACGTTATCAGGGATGGAACCGTGCTCCGCAATGGACGGTGTATTTCTGCGGCTATTTCGATCAGGCGGCAACATTCAAGACATTCCTCGGAAATGGCTCGAGCGGTGACGACTTACAGGATTATAGTACCGCGAGTTCACAGGATTCCAAGTCTCGGCTGGGTGCTGTTTTCACTTTTAGTAGTGCTAATGTCACATCGCGAGTAGGAGTATCGTTTATTTCATCCGAACAAGCTTGCACAAATGTCGATACCGAGATACCCGCGGGAACGTCCCTAGAGACTTTGGAAAAGAATGTGAAAACGGCATGGAACAGCCAAGTGTTGTCCAAGATCACGACAACGGATACCTCCAACACCACGAGGCTACAACTCCTTTACTCGTCGTTATACCATATGTCCCTCATCCCGACCAACAAGACGGGTGAGAATCCCCTTTGGTCGTCAGCTGAGCCTTATTACGATGATATTTTCACATTCTGGGATTTGGTAAGTTGGACGCATTCCAAACCAGGATGACCAAAACCTAATGAGATATAGCACCGTTGCACAACATCGCTTTTCCACATCCTACAGCCTGTAGCGTACGAAGAATTCATCCGCTCCCTTGTCGATATATGGAGGAATGAGGGCTTCTTGCCCGATGCGCGGTCCTCGTTTTTCAATGGCGCGACGCAAGGCGGCTCTAACGCAGATAACGTTCTTGCAGATGCTTACGTGAAGGGTGTCCGCGGCGCAGTCAACTGGGACGACGCATATTCCGCCATGGTTACCGATGCTGAGAAAGTGCCTGCCAACAACAACGATTCGAGAGATAAGTCATCTTCGACTAAGGAAGGAAGAGGCGCGCTCCCGGATTGGATAGATCGCGGCTTCATCACCACAAAGTACGGGCGATCTGTCAGTCGAGCTATCGAATAGTAAGTTATACTTTGATTTCGCGATTTCAATAATGTGAGGCTGACGACCTTTAGCGCCGGCAACGACTTTGGTCTGTACCAAGTAGCCAAAGGTCTCGGCAAAGATGACGATGCGCAGAAATACCTCAACCGTTCTCGCAACTGGCGCAACCAATGGAACCCGGACCTGACCGCGCTCGGGTTCTCCGGTTTCCTTGGGCCGATCGACCAGAGCGGCAAATTCACGTCGCAGGACCCGCTCAGCTGCGGAGGATGCTACTGGGGCGACGCCTACTATGAAGCCCTTCCGTTCGAGTACTCGTTTAACGCGCACCACGACATGAACAAGCTGATCGAACTGGCGGGCGGTAACGACACTTTCCTGTCGCGACTCGAGAAGTTCTTCGAGGGCGGCGTCAGCTCCGGAAACTCCCAGTTCAACCACACCCTCTTCAACCCCGGCAACGAGCCTAGCTTCACCACCCCCTATCTGTTCAACTTCGTCGGCCGCCAAGACTTGAGCGTCAAGCAAAGTCGCTACGCCGCCAATAGTTACTACGCGCCTACGCCCGGAGGTTTACCCGGCAACTCAGACGCCGGCGCCATGGAATCCTGGGTCTTATGGTCAATGATCGGGCTGTACCCGCTTACCGGCCAAACCACCTTCCTCATCGGATCACCATGGTTCAGCAACCTAGCCATCGATCTCGGCAGCGGGAAGAAGCTCATCATCACGAGCACCGGCGGCGGCGGCCAATCATACTACGTGCAATCCCTCAGAGTCAACGGACAGGTCTGGAATAAATCGTGGGTAACATGGAACGACATCTTCGCCAACGGCGGAAAGCTAGACTTCGTACTTGGCTCTGAGCCCGTGAACTGGGCTACGGGTGACCTGCCGCCGAGTCCGGCGACAGAGAGCTCGTAGTTCGTGGTATTGGGGGTAATGAAAATGTTAGATAGTACGTAGGAATGAGAATGGGTATGTAGGTAGTTAATGGGTATTCGTTAACGATACGTGTAGATATACATACATAAAGAGACGAAGAGGAAAAAGAGGAAGAGGAGATTTTAGTTCGTGTATATAATGATTGGGAGATTGGAGTATATATGTGCCTATATATATATCTTACATATACCTATCTACCTACCTATATATAGATACAACTATGAGGTAGTTATGACCCAATCTGAACTTAGAAGTGAACGCTTTGATCGTGTTTTACGAATTGTGAATTCGGGGTTTGGAAGTTGGGTAGGTAATTTTGACGTGTGTTAAGCTTTGTGAGAAGTCTAACTTTACTGCTACTCGTATTTGAATCTAGATGGAGTAGCGTTTGTCATTTCAATGATTTTCAATTGTGGTATTTATATTATGACTTATATCACGAAGGTGCCTTAAAGGACGAGGGAAAAAAACACAGCTACAGTTTCAATTTTCTTTTTCAATATTTCACTTTGCCTTCTAGTTACATACCAGTATGAAACGGCCGTACGCGAAAATCCAGGGTATCTAATAATTACGGCGCAAAAGGACTCAAAACACAATCTCAAAATAAAATCACAAGCGGTCGCCGCCCCAAACATTGCTAGACTCGTCCTCGCCCGTGCTGAAAACTGGACTTGTTGTGCTGCGGTCTGCTCCGTCGCCTCCCCATTGCCTTTCTTCTTCTTGCCCTCCAGGGGTCACATCTTCGGATGTTGATTCTCCTATCTTAAATGTAGGATCTTCCTCTTCAGCCTCTTCCTCTAGAATCTGAGGTTCGGCTGTTGAGAGTAGGGGTGCACCTAGAGGACCTTCTGATTCTCTTTCCTCTGCAACAGCGGCTGTAGGCTCTGGGGGAGGTTTAGGTGTAGACTTGGGTTGCTTCTGTTTACCTTTCTTCTTTTTACTGATAACGGTTTCAGCACTTGGGGGTGTCGACTCTGTTGGCCTGTTGCTGATGCTTTGGGATGACCTGGTTCGAGTTGTATGCCACGCCCCGGTACTAGATTGATACACAGCCGGTTGCCTGGAGATCCAGCGTTCTCTTGTTGGCACATTTGCGGTAACAACAGGATACTAAGAGATATATCAGTAATTGTGACATGAAATATGTCGGTTAAACTTACATTCCAGTCTCCAAATTCCAACTCTCGTGCCTTGTGGTAGAGACTCTCATCATCAGGATCCAGTGTGGCCTCATCGGTAGACCCATGCTGATACTTTGGTGTTGGATTACCACTAGGTCCTCCATTGGAGTTCAGAAGTGGCGTATTTGCACTCATCTCTCCCCTGACCTCGCCTGGTTTAGGGATCCAATACTTGGCCTCACCTCCTCGCTTGTATCTCATCCCATCCTTCAGCCTTGCGAATCGAGAACTCGAGTCTTCGTGTGCAATAACTTTTCCACTAGAGTCGAATACCCTATAACTATACTGATCGCCTCGGAAGGTCTGTTTGGAGTCTTCGATAAGATCAAGGATGCCGAAAGCATCCCTTGCGGCATACTTGACGGGTAATCTGGCGGAGGAAACGGTATTGTCGGCATAATCATGCCAAGAAAAGGCATACCAATGAGCCACAGCAAACGCGGGCATCTCGCAACATATCAAAGCGTCTTGGATCGCAGCGGCGAGGTTGTCCGAAGTATACCCCTGGACATCATCCGGAATGGCCCCTAGCCACACAAGAATGGAAAGGAAGAACCCTTGCCAGTATGAGGCGAAGATGATGAGTTTGATGCATAGAAATTTGGGAACTGGTCGGTAGGGTATCAGGTCATTGTGCATGCAGACCCAAAATAGACCGAGCGAGTACAAACTAACTGTAACGCTAATGTTGTATATAATTCCACTCCACATGTAGCCTGACGAGACGCCGATGTACCCCTCCTGGTAGATACCTGTTGCTTTCATGACGACTGCAGCTAGGGCGAGAATGGGCTTGAGCCACGCATACTGAAGTATTCCTCGTTTTACAGCCAAGAACGTATGAGGATCGGATATGTCGACTTTGGCTAAGACATGGTTTAATGGCCACAGATGGTGTACGGGGGCACGTCCGTGTGCCATAATTATGAGGGCTCGTTCGCCATCGAGGTAGTTGATAAGGAGTTGGAAGAAGGTGTAGATAGTAAAAGCCTTTTGTGCCAAGTTAGATTGATATAAAAAAGTTAAGGAGTAGTTTGCATTCATACCTCGTATATATCTCTAATTGGATCCAGAAACGCCGATGCTGACAATGACACCATACTAACCCAAGAACTTATGGAATATATCGGAACCCTGACGACGGCATTAGACAAACGAGAGTATAAGGAATTTTGAACTATTCTCACATTAATAATATGCGGACGACATATCTTTGCAACAGTGGCTTTCGATAGTTCTTCCTGTATACGCGATTAACTAGGTGCATTAGATAACTGGGTAATTGGGGTGGGCTTACAGTTGAAGCCATATCGAGCTATTTCAATACTATATTAGTATTTACTACCCCCAGACGGACAGACAGATTAATATATCTTACACAATAGATACGAAAGTTGCTGCTAAAGAGAAGACACCGGCGATAACGGTGGTGGCCGTGGTGAACTTCTGGCCGGTACCTCCAGCCATGTTGTCGGGTTGAGACACAGACACCGGGAAAGATGCGTGTCCTGGCTACATAAAGGCCGAAAGATTCAAAGGCACATGGTGGAAAGCTGTGGTGCTTGTAAATTTAAGAAAAGCGACGCGTGGAAGTTGTGAATATTCTAAAGAGGAGTGGGAGCTTTCTGAATTGTCATTTGATCATTCTTGACTCGAAATCCATGAACCCAGTCAGGGTACGTACCGCAACGTACATCGTAATGCAACCTAAATGAGAGCTTATGTGGATGCCTTCTTATCGATAACAATGGAACAGACGGCTGGTTTAGTGCGAAAAGAGATCCGCCAATCATATCAACGCTTTTTACTCCAGCCTAGAGTCTACCCCCTGTTTGGTCGCGCGTCATGCAGATCTAGCCTTCCTTTGCTATTAATTACATGTACCATAGTACCAAGTACAGTCGGATCGGGATCTACCTTCAATATTCTAATCAATCTTGATGATAGGTTATTCAAAACTTCCTCAACCCGGCTATCTCAACGACATATGTCCAATGTGGACTATTACTCCTCCGTGGAGGCCTTACAATTCGACCGAAATCCACGGCTGGAGGTTCAATGCCTTCTATAATTAAAATATTGGAGAGAACTTAGGCGTCGCAAATCGTAGGGGGTGTTTGGGGGGTCGGGGGGTCTTGAAGTTATCATGGCTCACCCCATCGTCCCGGGTTGGCGCGATTTCAATGGGTAGGTTAACCTGGAAGTCACCGCTACCAGATCTCTCATAACCGATCCGAAGGTCATTAAAGCTAACCAGAAGAAAAGCCAATTCCTAGCTTATGTTATTGTCTGTGGTGTCCTGTAAGTTTCTTACCCGGATCGCACTCTATCTCTGTATACTATCCATCTGTATACCGGCCTGCTACGTACCTAACCTTGTCGAAGTGCTATCTTCTTCCTGTTATACTTTAACAGAGTATTCGCCTCTATCGTCTCGTACATGATCCGCGCCTATACCTGGCATACTTATCGTGTCTACATCGATATACAAGCCTTGCAGTGGTCCTTACTCGGTGGACGAGTCTTCTTCACCGGCCTTCGATATCACGGGAATAACGAAACAATCCTTATCCAGAATGGGCACATCACCTGGTCGTATTGGTTGCGTAGAGTGCGAGATGTCGGGGTTGGCGTAGGGAAAAAGAACGTAAAGAACGGAGATGGTGTTGCGCTAGATGCTGGTAAACAGCCGGAGCTTCCCTGCCGTGTCAATATTGTCGTATCCGGGTTGGAATGGTTCGTCTATAACCGAAGTGCTGCTTACGACTCTTTGCTCGATGCGATGACCGAGAACCCTCCGCCTGAACCCGCCGATGCGCTTGACGAAACCGAAGTCCTCAACAACGGCTCAGCCAAACTGCGACATCGACAACGTAAGAGTCAAGAAAAAACCGATCATTATAAGGAAAACGGCCTGAGCTTCACTGATGAGAAGAATGGATTTGAAACTCACCACCAGAGGACCTTCAGTTCTAATTCTGTCGCTGAGAGTAGTCACGAGATAAAGGAGAAGGAGGATCTTCCTCTGATGCTACAATTATTCCCTATAAATTTCAGATGCGACAAGGCCGCGATGGTCATGGGAAACGACAACACAAAATCTATTTTGATCGCGAAAGCTAAATCTTTATCTGGGGAAATTGATGCCGCCGATTGCCAGACTCCGGATCCGTACCGCCAACTTTTCAAGATCCGGCTCGAGGACCTTGTAGTTGAGATGAAGGAGAACGATGGGTTTAAGGAAGAGCAACTCACTAAAGCACATAAGGATCAACAAACAGCTAAAGACTCTAGCCCTGTACAAAACCGTCGATTCTTTCGGGTGCAACGTCGTAAAGTACTTGGTCAATTACGTTACATGATCCCGTACTGGAGGAAGTCTGTCGAGTCTTTTTCGGTGACTTCACAAGATGGCGGAGATGCACCGACTGACACTCGCATACCTGGTTCTAACCAATGGCAGGGGCTTTCTCGATATCTCAATGACGATGATGAAGATGATAAGCTTAGATGGTCATCGGTCGAATATGCCTGTGTAAACACGATAGCGGAGAGTCCTGAAGCAACACTAACGATACTTTGGGATGTCCCTGGAAGAGTCACATCGCATAGCGCGCCACATCCCCCCGCAGGCAACAGTTCTTCGGATAACGTTAATGGGGCCACAGCGCCGGCATGGGCGATCAGCCTATCATTGAAAGGTGGCATGCTTCACTACGGGCCTTGGGCGGATAGACAGCGAGCCGAACTCCAGAGGGTATTCTTCCCAGGTTTATGTAAAGATGCTGTACCTGCTCAGAAACTCCCGCTTGGCGCATACAGGGTGCCTACGCAGTTTAACTTCTATCTAGAAATTGAAGAAGAGGTCATACTCAGAGTGCCTACGCGCGAAGATTCGAAAAACTGGAGGTGGAAGAAGGAGGCTCTCACGTTGCAGCAGCACCGAAAGCAGGGGAATAGGCGAGAAAGGGGTCGCGACCGAAAGTCACCTGCGACGACAGCAGCACAACAGCGTCCCTACGGATGGCTGGACATCAAAGTAGCGCCAAATGCCACAGTTTCATATATCATGGACATGCTTGCAAGGCCGACCGGATATACGAACACGTTGAAGATCGACCTTCCCTCGACTGAACTCTCGACCAGCGTCAATCATGGCCTTATGTGGAAATCTGGGCGTCAACAGATATCCTGTGATATGTCTACCCCTCTTAAATGGAATGCCCTCCGGACTTGGCGTTTTAACATCGACAGCGATGGGCTTGAACTTTTCATTTTAAGAGATCACATATTCTTACTCACAGACCTCATAGATGACTGGGGAAGCGGGCCACCTTCAGAATACCTTACATTTACCCCTTTCAAATACCTCTTGAATTTAAGGCTTCGTAGTCTGAAGCTTTATCTCAACGTCAATGACGTGAATATCGTCAATGATCCCACCAACTTTGAAGAAAATACATATTTAGTCATCTCTAGCCCATGTTTGGTAGCAGATACTTGCATACCGATAGATATCTATCGACCCCCGACGAATGCAATACCATTCCGGGTCACGGCCGAACCTCTCCGCGTCGACTTACATGTTCCACCATGGAACACTCAAGCGACATTCTTACCCTCGAAAGAGATAGGACACCTCGAAAGTCTAACTCTCGAAGGAAAATACCACTATAATTCAACCACTTCACCCGCAAACACTGATACCCTTGTCCTTGACGTTGGTGGACAATCCCCCACTGCTTTTCTTTACGGTTTCCTCGTTCGATATTTCTTGCAATTAAAAGACAATTACTTCGGCGATAACGTCCATTTCAGAACCCTGGATGAGCACCAGGAAGCCTTACGAACCAAAGAAGCGGCACCAGATTCTCAGTCGACAGATCGACCCCCGCATAAGAAATCCAACGACATGGACGTCATACTGAGCATCCGTACTGACGACCCTAAGATTTTTCTGCCCGCTAATATGTATTCACCCAAGCGGCATATCCCGATAGAGGCCGCCTCTCTGGCGATCGATCTTCGTTTCACAAACTATTATATGGACCTCGACCTATGTTTCAGCCCACTAAGCCTTTCCCTTGGCGATGACGACGAAGGAGCCACTAGCCCGATGAGTTCTATACCGAGCACCCAGCTATTCATCGACGGCATTACTATCTATGGGCACCGCCTATTCGGTCTGCCGCCGGTTGAGCCTACATACCTCTGTAATTGGGACTTGAAAGTCGGAGCGGTTACTGGCGATTGCTCGACCGATTTCACAGCCAGTCTTATACGAGGAGGAAAGGCATTCGGCTTCTCCCTCGATGATGACGAGAATGCTTTAATACCTTATTCATCCATAATAATGTACGATGTGACGTTCTTGCGAGTTTTTGTTGAATCAGTTCATGTTTGGATGCACGTGGATGAGGCAGCATTCCTGTTCTCCACGGGGACAGTTGATGTTGAGTTCAATGATTGGGCTCGGACACATTATTCTAGACGTGCCGACATCAAGGTACCAAATCTCGAGATTGCTTGCGTCAACTCGGAATCTGCCACAAGACATCGATCACGATTCCGCTCTCATGTTGATACCGATGTATTCCTCCGGACCAATGTACATTTTGCGCTCATTGGGCGGAAGTACGACTTTGCACAGGAGAGACAATTACAACAAGAATTGATACGCCGCCATGACCAACGAACGCATCGGACCAGTTTCTTGTTACTGCCAGGTCTCCTAGACGATTTCACACCTGACACCGTTGATAATCCAGCACAAAGCGTCCCTTCGGTTCCTCAACCAGCTTTGTCGGGCTCAGTCGCCGACAACCGTTCGATGTTGTCTTTGGGCTCATCACACCAATCTGCAAAGCTTCGCCGTAAAAGCTCGTTTCTTTCGCTAGCTAGCTCCAGTAATGGTAGTATTTTACGACCAGGCTCAATTAGAACCGCCCAACAATCTCGTGTTTCTGGTCGTACCGCCTCTAGTCCTGTTTTATCCAAGGGTGGTGAGATGAGACAGACGGCCCAGCCTCACGAACACCCGGCACCACCAAGCGTTTATGGGGAACATGGGGACAGGAGAGATCCATATCATACTAGCATATCCTTTTCGAGCCAATATTTTGCCCCCTCCTTTCCCTTGCAGAACGTCCAGCCAGATGCCAAGGAAGCTGTATTACGCAGCATCGAAGAAAACGAAGATGATAATCTTTTTGGTTCCTCCGATTTCAGTTTACAAAACTTCCACCCTGACCAACTAAGTCAAGAATATGCTCATCAGAGTCTACTTCTTGAGCTCCCCTCTGGAATTAGTGTTTTCCTCAATACCCCGTCTTTGCGGTGCATAGCTTCGTTGATACAATCTTTTTCACCTTCCGACCCCGAAGATATTCTTGATACCTTGCAAATTGGAGCAGTAACCGATATTTTCGATGCTCAAAAAGACACGAAAATAAACGGGACGGTTACGGATTTTATCCTACGATTACCACAAGCGAACTTACGGTTCCTAAACTGTTCGAATTTTGATTCTGACGATTCCTCCCAGGAACCCCAAGACCAGTATGATGTGTCGCTCAAGACACTTGTGCTTGCCACGCGGTCTGGCTTACCTGCCAAAGACATTGGTGGTACTCCTATCGCTGGTAGCTCTCAGCTATCGTTTCATTTCCGGCTTGCGTCCATGGAACTCTCCGCTGCGGAGAGACTCACAAATCTGGACCAGATGCCACAAGCTGCTGTATTAGCAAGGACAGAAAGAATTATGGTCTCTATGGGTTCAAAAGAAGTGAATTATATCGATGTTGATGTTGGTGGTATACATGCATCTTCAGCTTCGGGCAAGGTTGAATACCTCGCTTCACTAATTCATAGGACCAGTGTGCTTGCATCTGAAACAGCAACCCTTTTCTCTGACACGCTTTCGGCTGGAGATGAACGTATAAAACAGTTCACATATCGTGTTATAACTGAAGGACAGCAGGCGAGTGACGCTTCTTTCGTCGTTCGTCCCTCAGCTATCTTGCGGACGGCAACCCGACATTTGAGAACGTATGATTCTTGGAAACTCGTTACAAGATTACGTCAGATGTGGAATACTCTCGATTTTGATGCCAAAGAGAGCCTAAAGCGAGACTGTCTGTTCGGGTTCTCGCAATACCCTAACGATGCAAGGTACCAGGTTACCGCAGCTTTCGAGCGATGGCGCAGCTGGGATCTCGAAGACCCAAGACACGCAGTACTCTTAGACAACATCTTTGGTAGAGCACCGGAGCCAAATGCGAATGTCTCTAACCAAATTCCAACAATGGTTGTAGCAAGGATCCAAGAGATGCAGTTTGTGCTTGATCCTGGCCCAAAGCAGAATGAGATCGTCATTTTAGACCTCACTGTGAGAGTCCAAGAGAAGAACAATAGCATCGAAGTGCCTAATGAAAAGCCTATTGATGCGGGAGAGCCGCTGACACTTGTCAACATATATTGTGGTGAAGCATGGATCAAGACAAACTGGGAGTTATGTGAACTTGCAGACGATATTCTCCGACTCTACAAGAAAGCAGATTCCTCGATATCCGAAAAACCAGAGCCCAAGAAAGATATTACAGCAGAACATAAGCCATCTCGCCCACTCCATGTGGTATGCGTCTTAGGAGAAGGTGCAGTATCTTTTGAGGCTATTAACCTAAGCTCTAGATTGCAAAGTAGCGATCTAAAGCTATCAATTCTCACGACTAATGGAGCGCGTGGTTCTACAAATACGAATCTTATATTAGGATGCGAATCGGCTACTGCTAAGATCAAAAGTCATTCGCAAGTACTTGGCACCGCGCGACTCCAACACCCCAGTGTTATTGTTGTACACGATGTACAATCCGATAAACAATTCGATACACACACTATCAGATCAGCAGCTAGCAGTCAAGACCTCAAGTTCATTGTTAGACAAGATCCAATCGTGCTAGCTGAGGTCCTGGACCTGTTGATTAAGGACGAGGTAGCGCAGCTTTACGCACTAGGGCAGAGGTTCCCTTCAAATCCGTCTCCTAGTCCCCAGGAACATAAGAAAGGACGGCTATCAACAATACAGGGCAACTTGGCGATGTTCTTGGACTCGTACACGATTACCCTGCCCTTGTTACGTTCCCTTACGTACACTATTTCCGGTGTTGTTGCGCGAGCAAATATGGCCGCCAATTTTGGCAAGGAGATGATACTCGACTTTGACATCAAGGAAAACTCTCATGATATACAAATCGAGGTCAATAACACCCCTCGTAGTATCTCACTATTGCAGATTCCCCCGACAAATGGTCGCATAACAAGTCTCACATCCCCAGATGAGCATTCAGTAACAGCGCTATTCTCGCTAGAGCTTGTAGAGCTAGATGCATCCGCCGTCTATAGTTTGCTTGGTGCACTCAACCGACCAGAAATATCGAACGCCATAAATGATCTTCAAGAACAAGTCAAAATTTTGCAAGGGCATATCGATGAAATTTTTGGCTCCACGGGAACTTCATCGACAGAACCAATATCAGACTTGGCGCCAACAAAACCCACTAATCCAAAATTGACATACACCGTTCATGGTAGCCTCGCTGGATTGAAAATATTTGGCAAAGCACCGATCAAATCAGGTGTTGAGTCACTCGCGGGTCTGTCGTTCCATTTGGACACGGTACAGATACAGGTTGCGAACAAGCTAGACGAAGGGGTCATTCTCGAAAACCCAGAAGTTCACATTAACCTCCACCAGATTATGTTCAACATCGAGAAAGGATCTGCTATGGGAATGAGGTCTTGCGGAAATCTCGCTTTTGGCGCTCTGATTACCGCCACAACTCGCGAATCGGAAGAAGGGAAAGAGGTAAGATCTTTCGACTTCAAATCTGACGCGTTTGAGATAAATCTCTCGTCTGATACCGTATCAACATCCGTGGACGTGCTCGGTTACATGGGCGACAAAATCAAAGACCTCGATACGTCACGGGAGCTTGAATACTTGCGGAAGTTGAGACAGACAAAGCCTCGTATCGCTATCAACGATGAAGAGCAGGAAGCAGAAAGCGATATATTGGACTCGTTCCTCTCTTCCATCATGTACTCTTTTGAGATCAAGAATATTCAGATATGCTGGCTTGTGTCTCCTCTTAACCAGCCTACGGTAGGCCAGGAAGATCTAGTATTATCATTCCAGCGGATCGAATTTGCTACGCGCAAGAAAAACTCGGCGAAGTTAACCATAGAAGATTTCCAACTGCAAATGGTTCCACCAGGTCAAGATAAATCCCGACGGTCGCTAAATTCGGCTTTACTTCCGGAAGTCATTTTCAATATTGCTTTTGTCTCGACAGCTGATGCCCGCCGACTAGCCTTCCAGGCAGTAGGAAAATCTTTGGACTTACGCTTGACTTCTGCTTTCATCGTACCGGCTGCACATCTCCAAGATTCGATCAGCCTATCAGCGAAGAATGTCCAACAAGCTTCGGAACATTGGGCGCCAATTGTCATGCCGGAAAAGCCAGTCATGGCAGTTACGGGATTAGCTGACCAAGAAGTCGAGACGAGGCGCTCCCTATTTGGAAGCAGGAGACTTGAATCGCTCTTAATCGATGCTGACTTTGCTGGAGCTGTGGTACACCTTGCTGGTAAAAGACCAGATGACCCGACTACATCACCTGGATCAAAGCCTACGCTAGCTGGGAAGTACGGACAGTTCAGTACAGATGAAACCGGCAGCAGCATGGTACTCTGCGCTCCTGGGTTAGCCTGGAAGACCGAATATAGAGACAATGGTAAAGAAGATCCGACTTTATATGGAGAGATCAAGATTGCTCCATCACGCAATATTCTCTACCCAACCATTGTTCCTCTCATAATGGACATCACCTCTAGCATCAAGGAAGTGGTCGGTGACGACGCATCTGAATCGCCGGTCTCACCAGCAAAACCGAGTGAGGATACAGAAAAGGACAAAGATAAACCAAAGTCCAGCAACGAGGATAATATTCTCACGGCAGATCCAAGCGCAGTATTAGGACGTGTGAAACTAAATCTGGGTCTACGCATCTGTAAACAAGAGTTTACTCTCAGTTGCCAACCTATCGGCCGAGTTGCGGCTACAGCTCGCTTCGAAGATGTTTATATCACCATGAACACAGTCCACGCAGCCGAACATGGCAATTTCTTCGCTATATCTGGTACATTCACCGGCTTTCACATGTCCGTACAACATGTGTATTCTAGAGAATCTACGGGCAGTTTCCAAGTCGAATCAATCGTGCTTTCGATGATGAACAGCAAACACGTCAGTGGCACAAGTGGCGTTTCCGCCATTCTAAAAGTTAGTCCGATGGAAGTGGCCATTAATGCCAAGCAACTTCAAGATTTCTTACTCTTCCGAGAAATATGGATGCCGAGAGAAGTGAGATCAAGTACAGCTCCTGTCTCGACGGTTACAGCAGAATCAATAGCGCAAGGCCATCTCGTCCAGAGATACCAACAGGTCGCTGCTACGGCAGCTTTCCCATGGACCGCGACAATTTCCATCGCTTCCCTAGATGTTCTCGTAGATCTTGGTCAATCTCTCGGCAAGTCCAAATTCGCTATAACCGAATTTTGGGTTTCGTCAAAGAAGACGTCTGATTGGGAACAAAATCTCTGCCTGGGATTTTCAAGTATTGGTGCCGATTGTACCGGTCGATTGAGCGGGTTCGTTGCTCTTCAGGACTTCAAATTACGGACTTCTATCGAATGGCCAGAACGAGAGGAGGCGTTAAACGAAACGCCGAGAATCCAGGCTTCGATTTGCTTCAGCCAATTCAAATTAAAGGCAGCGTTTGACTACCAAGCATTCCTTGTCGCAGATATCACAAAGATGGAATTCCTCATGTACAATGTGCGCCAAGAAAAAGACGCCTCTGGTGACAGACTCGTGGCGAATCTCGACGGAGAAGCCGTCCAGGTATTCGGTACCACGACTTCGGCTGCCCAGAGCGTTGCTTTATGGCAGGCTATCCAAAAACTCATGCAAGAGCGGAAAGCAAGTTACGAGACGTCGCTACGGGATATAGAGAAGTTCATGAAGCGAAAGTCGATATCGAATCAACCGTCCATCGTACAAGCTAGCCCAGGCAAGCCACACGCTAACAAATCCGAATCCGAATCCCCTATATCCCTCGACACTGACGTCGTGGTAACGCTAAAGGCTGTTAATCTCGGTATCTTCCCAAGCACCTTCTCAGACCACCAGGTCTTCAAACTAGAGGCCCTAAACGCACAGGCCAAATTCTCCGCGAACATGGAAGAAAAGCGCATCCACAGCAGCCTAGGTCTAACACTCGGCCAACTCCGAATCGGTCTCGCAGGCGTCCGCCGAGTCGAGGCTCCGAAGGCCGTCAGCGAGATCTCAGTCGAAGACGTAGTAGCCAGCGCCACGGGCTCGCGCGGCGGCACGATCCTCAAAGTCCCTAAGGTCGAAGCCAGAATGCAGACGTGGCAAGTGCCCGAGTCCCGCAACATCGAGTACATCTTCAAGAGCTCGTTCGAGGGCAAGGTCGAAGTCGGCTGGAACTACAGCCGCATCTCGTACATCCGCGGCATGTGGGCCAACCACAGCAAAGCCCTCGCACAGACCTGGGGCCGCGAATTACCCGCCATGTCCGCGATCAAAGTCACCGGGGTCCCGGAGCAGACGGAGGGTTCCGGCGCGCAGCAGCAGCAGAAAATCACGGCTGAGGTCAATGTCCCGCAGTCGAAGTACGAGTACGCGGCGCTGGAACCGCCTGTCATAGAGACGCCGCAGCTACGGGATATGGGCGAGGCGACGCCGCCGCTGGAGTGGATCGGCTTGCATAGGGAGAGGTTGCCGAATCTTACGCATCAGATTGTGATTGTTTCGTTGCTGGAGCTCGCTGGGGAGGTGGAGGATGCGTATGCGAAGATTTTGGGGTCGTCGTAGGTGTGTTGGGGTGTGTGGGGGTGAGAGGGAGATTGTAAGAATGGGAGATGGGGAAGTGGTTTTTATCGTTTTAGAAAATTAGCAATTTGCATAACTGGGCGCAATGGGAATTCGCATCAGGAGATTGGGTTGATTGATTCTTTGTAGAGAGATTAGCACATTGTTATGTATGTTGTTATGGTTAGGCTGCAAAGGCGCCGTTGAGTTAAGCTGAGCTGTATTGAACGGCGTATCCGTTTTTGTTCTGTATTCTTTTTGTTTGGTAGGTAGGGTTTGGATGAGAGGAGAAGAAAAGAGAAGAGTATCTAATACTATTAATTAGGTGCCTACCTACCTGCCTGCCTACTATAGTGGTGGTATTTGGTGACTTTTGTTCTGTGTTTGAATATATGAGGACTAGATAAATAGATATATAAAACTAGACATACATCCTTAATTAGAATTCAAACAAAAACCCCAAAAGGAAGCACACTCTCAACCTCACAAAACCCCTCCTCATCGTCCTCAGGATCATCCAATCTCCTCAATCTCCCCACAGCTCCAAAAAGCATATACGCCTCGCGACGCGAAAGCCCCCTCTCATCCGAGACACGATGCACGAGCCCGGAAAGCGCCACATCCGTCGCCTCGCGAAGCGTGTGGTCTAGTCCGCAGAACGAGTAATGCGTTTCTTCGCTGAATTTAGTTTCCACAGGCTCGTTTGCGGCCGGGGTGATTGTGATGGCGGGGACAGAGATAAAGGTGAATGGGAAGGGTTTCGTGTTCTTCTCAACGGTAACCCTGATCCGCACCTTCGCCGCCATCTCCACGCTTGTACCGCATGCTTCGGCCGGACTTCGGGTCGCGTGCGCGTCGGCTATGGTTAGTAATGCGCCTCGTCTCTTTACGGGAAGGGAGATGGTGGATCCGGGTGTGAGGTACTTTATATCGATGGCGTCATCTTCGTCTTCGGAGGAGGAGGAAAGAGGGAATGTGGGATAGGGGTCTGGTGCTAGACCTATGATTCCGAGACAAGGTTCGTAGGGGACGTGGATACGCGGGTTGGAGGATTTGAAGACGAGGTAACCGTCACGAACGGCAGTTTTGAGGTCCCATATCTTTACCATTTGGTATTCGTCGGGTGATGAGTCTATAGGAAGGTGAATAGTGTGAAAAGGGGCTTCTTAGAGAAGATATGCTTTTTTCTAGTTTTCCTTTTTCAAAAGCAACTTACCTTCCTTCTCACACAACCAATCCCGACTCTCCCACAAAGTCCCAAACCCAGGAACCAGCGCCGTCCACGCATAATCCTCTTTCGGACTCACACTCAACACCTCGACTTTCAGCACATCGCCCACCTCCGCGCCCTCGACATATACCGGACCGATGCCGAACCCGCACCTATCCCACTTCTCCTCGTCCTCGTCCTCGCCCTTTCCCTCTACCCCTTCCCCAAATATGGAGGCCAGCGATAAGTTACCATCCGCAGGGCTCTCCCGTGTGATCTGCCCACCGCTTAGATCCGGCACGTCCAGCGTAACTTCCGCGCCGGACGCGACATGAATAGTCGGGCTATTAGTCCGACGGAGGTACGCGGCGTGGGCTTGGTAGTAGAGGGAAAGGTCTAGGTCCATTTTTGTTATTATATCTTGCTAAGTCTCGGCTCAGAGCTCATCTCTGTAATATATGAAGTAAGAAATTGAGTTACTAAACAACACAGCCTTCAAAAATAAGAGTTCGTGACCCGATTTATATACACCTACCTAGGGACCTAGTATATAGGCAGACATGTACGGCGCAGCAACTTCACATTGACTTATTTCGTGAGAGTTGCCTAAACCCGTACTAGGGTGTCAATGAAACTACCAAGGGGCATTGTGAGCAACTCGATGTTCTAGAATTAGGCATCGAAGGAGAATGAATCGTTGGCATATATCCAAAATAGTTAGATAATATCACATCACAGTTCCAAAAATGCATTCATTTAAATCATGATCAATTCTGTTCTTCATGGTACAAGCAAACCAGATGTACGACAGCTAATGAAAGTTCCGCGATCAATGCCTTTGCGTAGCTTTTCTGTATCCACGGCCACAGGTCATTCCTTTTCGATCTCCTATAGGATCGTATTATCCATGCGACAAACCCAGATGCAACGCGCCGAGTCGTCCCATGATATTCGCCAATAATGGCACCAGGTCGTAGTCTATCAAGCACTGAGGAAATCCTTTTATAGCTTGTCGTAGTACTATCGTTTATCGTTAGTATTGCAGAGGCCAAAAATGTTAAGAATAATTTACTTACGTTGTTGACATCGGGTACCTCGACCTTGAGACCCTTGCGCTTGCGCATCGTCTCGACGATCTGTCCGACCTTGGAGGTCTTGTCCAAAGGAGATCCACCGGGTAGTAATTGCCAGTGGTCGAAGACCAGTTGAGGGAAGGCCTGGCCGGAAGTAGCTTGTCGGAGATCGCCGTTGAAGCCGAAAGACTCCATGACGGGCAGGTAAGCCTTGATAGTGAAGAGAGGAGTACCAGGGCGCTGCTCCTCGTTGAAGACGTGACCTCTCCTGCGGGTCAAGACTCCGTAGACGCCACCCATGGCCTGCTCGGGCACTTGGATCTCAACCAAGAAGACAGGCTCCTGGAGAGCAGGCTCGGCAAGCAGAGCAGCGGCGTAAAGGACACGACGGGCAGTGGGGATGATTTGACCACCACCACGGTGAATGGCATCGGCGTGGAGGGTAACATCAAGGATGTTGAATCGGACGGATCGCATTGGCTCTTCAGCAACGGGACCCTCTCTGGAAGCCCACTGGAAACCGGAGACGACCGAATCCTTGATTTCGTTAAGGTACTGGACGGCCTTGGTCTGGTCAACGAGCAAGTTGGCACCGACGGTGTCGGGTCCGAAACACCAGATCTTTCGGGCATCGGTAACATCCCAGCCGAAGTCGTCAGCTAGAACACGGGCACGAGCCTTGAAATCGTCACGGGGTCCGATCTTGCCCTCCTCGATAACCTTGGATAGTTCCTCGTCAATGGGCTCGGCAACCATGTAGAGACGGTTGTGCTTGTTGGGGGACTTCGACAGGGCGGTGATGCTTGACTTGCCAGCAACGGTCTCACGGTACTGGACGACGGGGTCGGAAATGATAAGAGGGACACCGGCGTGGTCCTCCTCGAGATCCTTCAAGCAAATCTCGAGATGCAACTCACCGGCACCGGCAACGACGTGCTCACCGGACTCGTTGGTCTTGGTCAAGACGCAAGGGTCAGACTTGGACAGACGCTTGAGACCTTCGACAAGCTTGGGCAGATCCTGAGCATTCTTGACCTGGACGGATCGCTGGACGACAGGAGAGACGGAGAACTTCATGACCTTAAGGTTGTGGGCAGTCTCCAGAGTAGAAAGGGTACCAGACTTGAGCAGGAACTGATCGATACCGACCAGACCGACAATGTTACCGGCAGGCATGTCGTCGATAGGCTCGACCTTGCCACCCATCATCAGGACGGTACGCTGGATAGCCTTGACGAAGAGATCCTCCTTCTTTCCAGGGGTGTAGTTGGGGCCCTGGATACGGACCTTAAGACCGGATCGGACGGTACCGGAGAAGACACGACCGAAGGCGTAGAATCGACCCTTATCGGAGGTCGGCACCATCTTGGAGACGTAAAGCATGAGAGGACCCTTAGGGTCACAGTCTCGGATACCAATGGCGGCCTCGTCATCAGGGGGACCCTCGTACAAAGTCTCGCAACGGTACTTCTGGGCGGTGACAGGAGAAGGAAGGTGAAGAATCATCATCTCCAACAGGGAGTCGGCAGCGGGCAAGAAGGTTCGCATGACGGCCTTCAGGAGCTGCTTGCCCTCCTTATCTCTCTCATCGCTGGGGAGCTTAAGGTCGAGCTTGGTAAGAAGAGTGGTAACTTCGTCCTTCTTGAAGTTCATGACGGCAGAGAAGATCTTGAAAATAGGGTCCAAGATAAACTGGTTGAAAGCACGCTCAAGCTGCTTGCCGTCGTGAGTGCCCTTGGTAGTCCACTTCTTGGTGGCGGCGTTGAAGTAGTTGTCACCCTAGTCTAGGAGTTAGCAAAATATGTAACGAGGTAAATAGAACAACTAGAAGAACTAGCCCTGGGTAAAACTCACCCATAGACGCTCCATCATCTTGTTTCGGTCAACACCAAACTTCTTGGCGTATCGGATGGCGAATTGACGGATAGTGAAAGCCCAGCCGTGAAGACCAGAGCCGAAAGCGACGGTTCCCTTCTCAGGATAAACCTGGAGATCGCCTAGAGACTTGTCGAGGTAGGTGGAGATAACGACGTTGACAGACTCGATTGTTCGTAGGAAGGTCTGGTAGAGATCTTCCTTGGAAACCTGAAGCTCGAGAAGAGCACGGTCAACCTTGTTGATGACAACAACGGGCTTAATGCGCTCAGAGAGAGCCTGTCGCAAGACAGTCTCGGTCTGGACACAGACACCCTCGATGGTGTCGACGACGACGAGGGCACCATCAGTAACACGGAGAGCGGCAGTGACTTCAGATGAGAAATCAACGTGACCAGGCGAGTCGATCAGGTTGATCAAGAAATCTCGGCCATCGGTTTTTTGTCCGACGATGTCCTTGATATCATCGTCGCTGGGTAGGTTTCCATACAGAGAGATGGCGGTAGACTTGATAGTGATACCACGTTCCTGCTCGTCAGCTCTCGTATCCGTAGCTCGGGCATCACCAGCTTTCGCGGTGGAGATGATACCGGCTTTGGCTAGGAGAGAGTCGGTCAGGGTAGATTTGCCGTGGTCGACGTGGGCAATAACGGACATGTTACGGACATTGGTAGGCTTGTCCATAAGCTGCCTGATCTCGTCGATGGTGAAGCTATTCGGAAGGTCATGTTAGTAACCATGGATGTAACGGAGCTCTTATCTCCGGGTGGGGTTTGTTTTTGGACATCGTGAGGAATAATCTTTGCGCGCACACGCAAAGATGTTACAGATGGGATGAAGCTAGGGGTGATAGTAGTTTGTATGTTGTCGTATATTAAAGCTGACGACGGGACGACGAAGGCAAAGACGAAGAAGATATGATGAACTTACTTAACCATTTTGGCGGTATTGATGCGAAAACTCTTCTAAGTGTGTGTTTTCTATTGAACCGACGATGGTGATAAAATGCGCGAAGGCGGGGTGAAATTTGTATTGATGGAAGTGAACTTAATTGCACTTCTCTGTCATACAAATCACCAACGATCTCTTCTAGAGAGTATCGATTAGCGTTTAGAAGTATGGGAGAAAAGAAAGGAACGAAGCAGTTAAGTGCAAAAGTCGCAAGCAACCACCGACGACCAGCTGTTCCGTTGCTGTGTGCTTCGAAGGAAAGGAAAATTTGTCGGGGCAAAAGTCGAAGGAGGGGTAAGGTACAAGAGGAGAAAATTCACAGGCGGACAGGCCACATTCAAATGGGGGCTTAAGCGGGGCAACTCTTCCTGCAAGTGACATCAATTTTTTGTACCGTACAGTAGAATTTTTGTGGTCTGGTGGGGTTTAGTGGGTTGTTTCTTTTTCTTATCGTTCCTTCTCTTATCCTATAACGGCAAACGGGTAAAATAATCCAGCTTATCGAGGCAGCTGCGAGGGTTCTAGCCCTGTGCTGTATCAATAATATAACTCACCTAAGCTAACTTTCAAGTACCTGGGTAAGTACTTCGTATTCCGGAACCTGGAATTTCCAAGTTGGAACTCTTCGTCGTTCAAATATTGACTATAGTTTCAAGATTTTGCTTTACTGCTGCCACCCGATGAAAATATCATACATGAGCATCATTTTATATTAAATGTAGGTAGCCGATGTGGATTGGTACCAAGGTACAGCACGGTTTTGGTTGCTACGGGCTGATGGGATATCCACGCTATATTCGGTATGACTATTCCTCAAGTCCCCATAAGATGGCAGGACTCAATGCAAAGCATCAATCCACTTGAACGGGAGAGTTATGCATGTTTAATTGATCTTCATAAGTATAATATTATACTTTTCTACCTTCTCCCAATCATCGTTTGACAATCACTTTTGAGTTAGTGCCAAGCATCGATTTTGATATAACCCTTCATAAGACCTTCCTCGATTATACCTTCATGAGTCCGTTTGTGCGTCATTTTAAAGACTCATCCTAAACCGAGTTGTAGGTAAGGTTCAACTTCAGTCTTCAGGTTGTAGCTTTCTGTTATACACCGAGTGACTCATGTAAATCTCAAGTCCTAGATCTACGGAATTCCTAAACTCTACCTAACAGGTAGGTAAAGCTTGGACACCACTGTTCAACCAAGACCCGTGATATCGAGAATCTAGTCCAGGAGTAAAAAAGGAGTAAAGGGGCAAGATGGCATCGCCACCCAAAACATACCTCGACCTAATCAAGGCGTGCGACAAGTAAATCCCCAACCCCCACCCCTAAACCACAGTCCTATACTCACGCAGCGACAGCTTCCCCTACATCAACATCCCACAAACCCCCATCGCCGAATCCCCCAACCCAATCTTCTACCAGCTCCTGCTGCCCTCGGACCCGCGTCCGCACGGGTTCATGCACCCCGCCACGGTGGCCGCCATGCCATGGACCTCGCACTTCGCCATCAGCGCACCGGAAGCCCGGCCCCGCACCGTGCAAGTCCTCGACCCCACCAACGGCGCCGACCCCCGCGGCTCCTGCAACGCCGCCTTTGCTGCCGTCGTCCAGCGCGCCAAGGACCTAGACGTTTTCGAATCCCTCAGTAAGCGGAAATCTACTGAGGACTACCGCATCGTCGGGGCAAAGTACCCCACCGTTCAGCTGCGGCGGGCTGCGGCTCCGCTGTTTGGGATCGCTTGTTTGGGTGTGCATTTGACGATGTATGTGCGGGAGGGGGATGGGGAATTTCGGATCTGGGTTCCGCGGCGAAGTCGCAAGATGAATACGTACCCTGGTAAACTGGACTCGACGATTGCCGGGGGCGTGGCGGCGCATGAATCCCCGCTCGAATGTCTAGTCCATGAGGCTGCTGAGGAAGCGTCGTTGCCCGAATCCCTAATACGCGAGCGTGCGCGGGCTTGTGGTGCGATCACGTACGTGGGGACAAGTGACACGGGACCGGAGGCCGGGCTAACGGCTTCGGGGGTGTTGTATGTGTACGATATGGAGGTGGACGAGACGGTTGTGCCGAAGCCGATGGATGATGAGGTGGAGGAGTTTTACCTCTGGGATGTGCGGCAGGTGAAAGAGGCGCTGCTGCGAGACGAGTTTAAGACGAATTGTGCTTCGGTTATGATTGATTTTTTCGTGAGACATGGGATTATTACGGAGGAGAATGAGCCGGATTATCTAGAGATTACTACGAGATTGCATCGTTCGCTTCCTGTACCGTTGACCTCGTCAGCTTGAGGAAGTTGGTGGTGTATTGAGAAGACATGATCAGGGTTTAAGACTTTGGGTGAATATAAAGGGTCCATGAAATCATTTTAAGGGTAAATTTATCATAGCGTAGGCGGAATATAGGAGATAGACTACGGTATGTCCTTAGAATTCCTAAATATGAGGCCAACATATTAGGGCCAATATCTTAGAGTAAGAATTTCACGTAGTTCAATTGGATCTAGAATATTGTTGTATGCAGAAATGTGGAAATGGATGCACATTTGTGGCAGTCTGAAGTACTGCAACTGTGAGAAATATCAATAAATTAGTGAAAATATTCAGATCAATGAACGCTGTATGTGACGTGTAAATCAATTGAGCAAAGGGAATAGACCCGGCGTATGAACGTCCATGTGAGGACATCATTGGGATAGGTCGTATTTTATCCACACCGCAAGCTATCCCTTACATTCTAATGATCAGTTTGTTAACCCCTTGAAACTACCAAGACGGCCAAATTCTCGAATCTTTGCAATGGATATGAATACTAGGTAGATATTGCTAAGTAAAATGCAAGGCATATGTACAATCAATCTCTGGGCGATGATCCGCCTTAACGATCTGCGATCATAGCAGAGCTACTGTTGTTAGGTATCATTTTGCATCCCGTCTCACTCCCGAATCTACGCCACCGCCGCTCCGAACCCAACGAACTGAGATTATACCTATCTACTTTTGTTTCCCTGCAAGCTACACAGCTGCAGGAAGGTCCTGACTAATGAACAAGTCCCAAATCATTCGTCCCGTAGCCATCATACAGCACATCGTTGTCTAACTCCTCATTTAAGCCCCACAGCGAAACCCATTTATCCTCCAGCAAGCGCAGAAAGGGGCAACATCACCGTTACAAGATTCATCTCAAAAGCTGCCTGAGAATCGGAAACGTGATCCCTCCAGTGCCCCTAAGCCATCGCGAGGGGCAACGTATCTTCGTCGGTAGGTGTTGGTGAAGTCCTGTAGAATCGAGCGTATCTGCCGAACATCGCCCGAATCATTGGTAGAGAGTCTATCTCTAATTTTAACCATGAAGCGGTCCACCTCCGTCGACGTGACCGTACCCTCGGGCAATATCCGAAGCGTATGGTCTACCCATGTTGTTGTTTCACTCGGGAATATCTCGAATAACGTGAGAAGGGCGCCACTAGCATCCGCAAAACAGTCCTTCGGGAAAGTAATCATCATGCCGGCGAGTAAACGCTTGACTAGCATCTCCCCCTCCTTCATGACGAGTCGCTTTACTGCCTCTCTTAGTACCTGAGCCTCAGATGCTGAAAGATGTTCGTAGGATGATGGCGGGTATGGGGTACCCCAGCCAAGGACATCACGGATGTAATGTAGAGTAGCGGAGAGGGGCTCGCGTTGCTGCAGAACAAGAACGGAGTAAGCTGCTTCGAATACGGGTTCAAATAGGGGCGAAGGGATAAATTTCTGGGGGTAGTAGAGGAGTCCGTCCACGGCTAGGCGGAAGAAATCTTCGATGACGTCCGGAAGATCGAGTGACGGCACCTCAGTAATGAAGCGTAGAACATTGGTAGCTTGGGCATTGAAGAAAACGTATATGTCCTCTGTCATGGCCGGGTCTACGTGCTCTCGGTCATCAGAAAACTCGCGCAGGATCGCTCCAGTAACCCATAAGAAGCATCCCTGTCTTGACGTGGCAAATCCGCTTGCTAACTGGTTTGCCATATCCGGGAGGATAGGTGCCATCGCTCCTCTGTGAGAGATCACCATGAATCTCCAGCATCGGCAGACTCTCTCGCAGATAGGAGGGAAGCTAAGGAAGCTTTCCAAGACTTTGGACAAGATCGGGAATACCTCCGCCCAATATTTGACAGCAGGGTCTTCCTCGCCGCGCTCAACTGGAGGGAGGATTACAACGTGCTGAGCAAATAGCGTGATCAATTGAAGATGATCGGCGACTGCGAGCTTCCCTTCATTGTCGTCCTTGCCTGCCGCGTTGTTCGCCTTTGTCATCAATCGTTCGATCAGGGGATCGCAGAAAAGCTTGAGAAGCCTGTAGATTTCGGACTTCGGTTGGACGGGGACGACAGTCGCAACTCCTTCGGTGATCTCTTCTTGGCTAAGCTCTGGAAGCTTATCTAGAATTAAATTGTAAAATTCCTGAAGTTGAACAACCTGCTGGCTCAGGAGATGCTTGCAGTCAGTACAGAAGTATTTGATTGCCATCGCAGCAGCCCGCACGATTTCCTTAGAATTCGCATTGAAAGACTCTATGATGTAGTTGAATTGAGGGTGAAGAAATTCGGGGTGGGCAGCGGTCCATTCGGTGTATCTGCCTAGGACCATGATTGTCGCAAAACGCAGCTTCTCATGAGCTGGCATTTGAACCAGAAGCGGCATGAGCTCTGGAAGAATTGTACCCTCGTCCTTAGTAACCATGCGACCCATGGCTCTCATAGAGAATAGGGGAGCTTCTAGTTTCTGCCAATGAGGGACGGATGTGTCATTCGCCAAACTGGCGTATTTTTGCATCCATATTTTGATAGCCTCGTGGACCTTCGCGAGGCATTCTGAAACACCCATGATCTCGCAGCAGTCCTTGAGAGTGTCGCCCATGAGGTGTCTGAATTCACGGAACTTTTCTTCCGCTTCCCTATCTCCGTCGAATAGATCTTTCTCGTTACCGGATTCGGACTCAGGATACTCCAAGTGCTTGAGTAGAACGTCAACAAGCTTCGCGTAGACATCGAGGAGATTCATGCGTGCTTGAATGTATTTTTCTAAGACCAAATATTGCTTAAGATCATACCAGAAGTCGAAGGTGAATTCGATGACCTCCCTATCCTTATCTCTCGCAGCGCACTCGAGGATAGCATCGACTAGGGGTCTAAAGTGGGTGGGTTCGCGGGCTATAGCAACAGCCCACGACGATCCTGCCTCGCCAAATAGCTTGGTAAGAGCCTTATAAGACTCCACATCTTCCTCTTCGACAACCTTCTGAATCTTTGGTCGCAGAGCGATAATTCGCGGGAGCAGTACTTGAATAGTTTCGATGTTGTCATCTATTTCCTTAGTCTCCCTAACCATTGTCGAAATACAGTCTGCGGCGGCTTGGAAAGAGGTATCGGACTCGAGTGCGTTAAAGACGATAGTTAGTAGAGGAGACTTGACGATGTCGTTCACAGGAACCTCGCGCAACCACGACGTAATGCAATCAAAAAGCTGGGGATTCGTAGCAGAAGCCGCTGTTCTCACAGGTTAGTCAAATCCTTCCATATAGGGTTACACGAGCCTTACAGGATGAGTGAGCGTAGTTGATGAGGAGTTGAACCACTTGCGGAGCATTCTGTTCTAGTAGTTCGCTGGTCCTTTGGGTGAGTTCTTCGTCCTAAATGATAATCAATTAGATCGTATATTCATCTCGAGCCGTAATCATCGCAACGAAACGTCGCCGGAAGGCAAAAGAGCAAGGGTCGCATTAGACGTATTAAATTGCGTCGGTCCACGTACTGTCAAGGTGATTTTGCGTCCTTCGGTCACCTCTTCTGGTAGGACCCTAAGGAAGTCCAAGATGCAAGTGTGGCTTTCGGCATCATCGCCGAGGGATGATACTACGACGGGAAGAACATCTTTCCATTCCTGCATCTGTATGGCCAAGATAGCCAAGCACACACATAATTGCACTCTTATCGGTTTCGGTCCCGGCGCAAACCGTTTCAGGAGTGCTAGTAGTTGAGTTCGAACAGCCGGGATCTCAGCTGCGGGCACTTGGGTTGTGAGATCGTATGTAATCTAGTTATGTTATTGTTCAGTCAGCCTCATTGTGTGCCCAGGCTGCCTAGCCTACCATGACGCAACATCGCCTCGTGAGTGACTAACCTTTCCCCTGAGCGTCGTCGCTGCAAATAACTTGACGTCCGCTTCGGCATTCGACTGTAATATCGTGATGCTCGTAGTCCACGCCGCCGGCTACGTATTATATGATGTTAGTGTTGAAGCACGCTAAGAGTGGTATGATTAAGCCCGACTGCATATACTGACCGACTTCTGGAAAAGTTCGAGATATTCGTGTGCATCCTTCTTCCTCTTTTCTGTAGCCCCACCCCTCATAGTCAACATGGCCTGAAGTACCTCATCCGGCCCGAAAGCCGGTTGCGCATCGCTGGCGGCCATGATGCGCAACTTCTATCGATCGGGACAACGGCCGTGGGGTGGGCACGGAGGTCGATAGGAGCAGGCGGTTCGTCAATCGAGATTGGTCGCAAGATCAGCAATTATAGTGGGAATAAAAAGTATCAACGAGATGCACCGACGCCAGAAAATGCACGACGGTAGAGATTATCGTAATAATGAAAGCGGAAGAAGATGTAGCTCATGAGACTTTAGAGTTGGTGAAATTCTTAAAGTGCAAGGTTTTATTGTACGTGTTGGCGTGGGAGGGAAAGAGGGGCCAAGAAAATAATCCAGAGAAACATCATTGCTCTACGGTTGCCATGTGAGCCTGAATAGTGGATGGAGCTTACCCAGCCCTGGAGGTGGTGCCTCAATTGTGGCTTGATTTGGAGGGGTCAATCAATTGTGGCGGATGAATAACTTGAATAAGATGGGGCTAATGGGCAGGTACCGAAGTACCCAATCCCCCAGTGCTCGAATCAAATCTAACTAATATTTTCTTTAGCTCCAGTTACGCTACCGCCGCTTCAGCCTTCCAAGCTGCTTTCTGCCTTGTCGGAATTTATTACAACAAACAAACCGACAATAGACACGTCTCAGACCTTCACGTATACTTCCGCTACGTTGCCCGAACTCTGACGTTTGCCCGTTCAATCTACCACGTCAATCCGACACATAATTCCCCTTTAAACACATCACAATGGCTGGTCGTGGCGGCGGCGGTGGGCGCAAGATCTTGCTCCCACCTATTAATTTCATCTTCAAGCTTCTCCAGACCCACGCGACCGTCAAGATCTGGCTGTATGAGCAATTGTCAATCCGAATCGAGGGCAAGATTAGAGTACGCAATAAGCTTCTTTGATGCCATTTATATCCATTTATTTTTGTCATTGCTAATAACTCTCTGCTCAGGGATTCGACGAATTCATGAATCTCGTTGTTGACGATGCGGTCGAAGTTAAGCAGATTACTAAGACAAACCCAGAGGAGAAGCGAAGGCCATTAGGTATGACTATAGTCCACTATTCATACCAACGATTTGTACACGACTAATGATTTCGCAGGGCAAATCCTACTCAAGGGAGACAATGTATCGTTGATCCAGGAAGCTGTATGAAAAGATCGAAGGTTGAAGGTTGAAGGGCGTGAGTTACGACGGAAGGTTAATATAAGAAAATTACGCTTTCACGAACACCCGCAACGAATCCGCCGCCTATAAATATCAAGCAATTATGGATACCCGAAGTTGGTCAAGAGGTACTCATTCTAGTTTGCGTCGCTATTCGGAGACTCTTTGATTTGGCCATCTCCGAGAAACAGACCATCTATCGGTTGATCATGGGGTCCAACAGGAACAGACTCTCCTGAAGATGGGGAGAGGAATTGCTCTTTCAATGCCAGGGCATATAGTAATACAGCTGGTCGGCCATTTGACGTCTTCTCTTCGGGCGAAGCAGCCAACGTGTATCGATGAAGAAAATAGTCGTAAAAGCCTCTGCCATGACCTAATCTTCGGATAACCTTAGATTGCGGATCGATATCGAAGGCAACGCCAGGCAAAAGGATCAGGTCCAGGGAGACATCCTCAGACCTATTCCCATCAAGTTCACCCACACTTCGTTTTCTTTCATGGACCGTAGCGGCATCAATGCTCGGGATTCCCCACTTATCTCTCTGTAAAGACTCATAATCTTCGATATCCTTTAGACTCACCATATCCATCAGCCTAGTCGGCCCATCGTCCGGTTGTAAACCAGACTTGTGTAAGTAAGGCACGAATACCTGCTTGCCTGTGGATAGAGCATGTCTAACGATGGGGTCCGTTCGGATCTCTCCACCTGGCATGGAGAGGTAGACCGCAATCCGTTTCGCGTCTACATATGGTTTGAAATTGGTTAAGGAGAGAAAGACTCTTGAGCCTACATCTATGGTCAACTAAGCGTGCTCATAAGTACATATAATCCTTGTCTATTATGTATGCCATATATACCATGTATGCTATGTATGTCATGTAAGACTATGTTGGAGACTCACTCTGGGCTACGATGGAATCCTGTGCGAGATTCGCTAGTCGTTGTTTCATTACCGAGCGCAACTGCGACTTAGCGGCATTAAGCGCTGATGAATTCATGTCTGTCCCCTGCGACATGCTTCGATGAAAATGATAGAAATTATGATATAGCTTCCGCACTATGTGTCATGAGATCACCTAGGTGTCATCGGGTTAACCCGCGTTCCCGTCTAGCTGTGTGATGGATGAAACATGGATAAATTCGATTTATTCGACGGTTGGATCGGAGGCTGTGATTCGGAAGGAGCGGTGACCGAATAAAACCCCGCTAAATTTGTGTAAGGCTGGAAGGTGAGAATTTTCAATTCTGGAAAGACCAATCTATGCTACAATTGCTAATACCATCTAGCAACATCGCGTACGACCATATCGGTGTTATCAGGTACTAATTGGATTAGACATTCTATCCAAAGCGAACGAAACTATGGATATCGGTTGGTCAAGTGTCCTACTAACCTGACACTAAAGTTCGGTCTATCAAGTCGTACAACTTCTCAGTCCACCACCAGTTGACCTTAATTCCACCACACCTCGTGCCAGACTATTTTCTTATTGAGTCAAATGGTCCGTTATACCCGTCTTAGTCCGTTATAGCTGCACCAAACTAACAACATCAATATTAGTACAATACCTATTGTAACTCAAAGTATCCGCAAACGAGGTACTCGATTTAAATAATGAATATTATTGCAAGTCCCGATTTCGCACTTCGTGCAGTATACAGTATGTATTATCATACTGTGCCTATTATCTTTTTCATCTAATCCATCTTAATCTTATCAATCAATCTTGATCGTACGACTCGGGACTGCCTATATGTATGTACCAACATGGCTATGCAACGGAGATCCACCTAAGCGAAATACGATTAGTGGTTAACAGCGTCTCTTCTTGGGTCCGGTGCTTCATCCGTTCTGCATAACAAGTTGGGACAGCTGCAGCGTGCTGATACTTCTAGCAGCTAGTGTGCTCCGACGCCGTAGGACCTGCAACATGGGTCTTGTCGGGTCCTCTTACAAGGTAGCTTGTGTATCACAAACCGCCTTTGGTTTCTTTTGGCTTTTTCTTTTTCTTCAAGCTCTGCTGTCATACTAGAACTACGGAACTATTAGCCCTATATATCCATCTCGCTTTACACAAAATACACGGAAGTACAAAATCTCGACTTATCTACCTAGTACCTTCAATTAGGAAATCAAAATCGTAAGGTACAACATCAGTTCAGCCGATCTTGCCTACATGTATCTAGCACGGGTCAAAAAGTACTACATTATGTAGTACATGTACTATTACACACACGTGCAGTTTGCTAAAGCAGGAGTAGGGGTACCTCGGATAGCTCTAAGATGAACATTAACCAGAGTCCACTCTTCCCGTCCGGCGGCAACCTTCACCAAGAAAATCCACTTATTAGACTCACATTTTTTGATAGGCCCGAAGGTACTACCTCTGCCTGTGTAGTTCGTGTACGCTGTAAATGCAAAATTGCGCCTTCCCGTGCGGGATACAACTGGATACCTAGGACTGGATATGACCAAGCCATCGCACCTGCGGCTACTACGTAACTTTAGACCAAAGAGATGGCATCGATTTCCTCAAATAGCAGGGATAATTTATCGCTTATGCCCTTAGATCCTCGAGACCCCCAAGATGTCCACAATGACCAATCTGAATTCCTCCCATTACGACCCATAAACACCAACACAAGTAGGAGCTCCGCCCAACCCTGTCTACCCGCAGGCGCAGATCCAGTCCAAGTCTTAGACCCCACGCAACCCACGCCGCTAACTTTCCAAGATACAAATAGTGCTGCCTCCTTGTCACCTGAATCCCGATTCCCTATTAGTACTACGCCTCGCTCTCCTCGCTCTCCTCACTCTCCCTCGAGCTCGAGCCATGACTTCCAATACATCGAACTCGATTACGAGGAGGCGAATCATAACTCTACCGTCGAAAGCCGACGAGGTTCGACAATTATGTCGAAAGCCCCCCTCTTGATTCGCTCCTCTCCAGGCTTCGGAACTGGCTCTTACGGAGCTGCGCCTGTACAACCCGAGACCAGTGACTCAGATACCGAGCGTGACAACGAGGATGATGACCTAGTGTCTCCCAGCAAAAGAACCAGCGCGGAGATTTACCATTCCAGGCGACATCACTCCGTTGACACTGGTCGTTCGACCATATTGCGAACAAGCACATCCTCCTTAAACCGAAGACGAAAAAGCCTCTCTGAACAGATCGGAGGATCATCAGTAGCTGACGGTCCCGAGGGTCGCTCTAGTATCAGTGAAAGACCTTTAACAAACGATCTTGCTCCCGAAGTAAACTCGGATAACTCGGTTGCCGACGACGAAGATGGCTCCGATGATGCGAATGATGGATCCGACCCAGATCCCCCCGATAACTCTCCATATCCCCAAGTCCGCGCTTCGGTCTCTCCAACCGATAATACCACTCTATCCATAAATACTCCTCGCATGTGGATACTATCTACCTTATTCTCCATACTCGGTTCTTCCACAAATCTCTTCTTCTCCTTGAGATACCCTAGCGTTTCGATTACACCTGTCATAGCATTACTTCTCGTTCATCCCCTTGGTCTCTTATGGGACTTCTTTCTAAAGCGGCCGGACGACCCTCCCGACGAATTCGAAGAGGGCCTGCGACTAGAGAGGCCAGACGGAAATGCGCCGGCTACCTTCAAAGAGAGAAGTCGGCTTGGGCGCTTCCGCCTATGGCTAGCACAAGGCTCTTGGAATGAGAAAGAGCATAGCTGCGTATACGTGAGCAGTAATGTGTCTTTCGGCTTTGCATTTGCAACAGACATTATCGTCGAGCAAACTCAATTCTATAAACAAGATGTTAGCATTACTTACCAACTACTACTTACTCTCTCCACCCAAATTTTGGGTTATACCTTCGCCGGCTTGACCAGGCGCTTTTTGGTACGCCCGGCTGGAATGATTTGGCCGGGTACTTTAATGTCTGCTGCCATGTTTACCACTTTACATAAAGAAGAGAACAAGCCTGCGAACGGGTGGACGATCAGCAGGTGGAAGTTCTTCTTCATCGTTTGGATATCTGGATTTTTCTTCTACTTCCTTCCTGGTTTACTGATGCCAGCGTTAAGTTATTTCAACGTGATCACCTGGATTGCCCCGAATAACCCTGTAGTCGCGAATCTTTTTGGAGTAGCCTCTGGCTTGGGTCTGTTTCCGCTTACCTTTGACTGGGCGCAGATCGCATACATTGGATCGCCTTTGCTAACCCCATTTTGGGCGGCCATGAATGTCATCGGGGGCTTGGTGATAGTGATGTGGATTATTGCGCCGATTGGATATTATTCCAACTTATTCTACTCGTCCTACATGCCTATTCTGTCGTCGTCGGTTTTCGACAACACCGGCAAGATATACGATGTCAGTAAAATCTTGACCGCAGATTTTCTCTTCGATAGAGAAGCGTATTCGAAGTATAGTCGGGTGTTTCTCCCGATCACATATGTCCTCAGTTATGGACTTCAATTCGCTGGGTTAGCGTCGCTCCTAACACATACTACTTGCTGGCATGGTAAGGATATATACACCCAGTGGAAGCGTTCCTTGAAGGAAGCCGAGGAAGATGGTAGACCAACCTACCAACCGCTCGCGAGCGAAAATAATGGGGGAGCCCCTAATGGAGATCAACCTAGCATCACGAGGTCGAGTTCGACTTTTGACAATATTTTGAGCCACGAAGATGTCCACAACCGCCTTATGAGGAGATATAAAGATGCACCTATCACGTGGTATTTGTTGACGTGTATTTCGATGACAGCGATAGGAATTTTCGTCGTCGAATAGTGAGTTTTCCATGCTCTTGGTATCTGGCCTTGATTGCTTACACAGAAATAGTTATCCGATTCATCTGCCGTGGTATGGGCTGCTACTCGCTCTTGGAATATGCGCCGTGCTGTTCATACCCATCGGTATCGTCATGGCAGTGACGAACCAACATAGTAGTATCTATCTTATATGTCAGCTCATCTGCGGCGTAGTCTTTCCTGGGAGACCCGTTGCCAACATGGTCTTCGTAACGTACGGCTACATTTCGTCTGCTCAAGGCATCAAGTTTGCAGCAGACCTGAAACTGGGACATTATATGAAGATTCCGCCAAGACTCCTATTCTCGGTTCAGATGGTCGCAACGATCATCTCCTCAATCACGCAAATTCTTGTACTAAATTGGATGTTTGTGAACGTGCCAGGAATATGCACTCCTCAAGCTATGAACGGCTTTACCTGCCCGATCGCTCGCGTCCATTTCAACGGCTCCATATTGTGGGGCGTTGTCGGACCTGCAGAGTTCTTCGGGCCAAACGCCACATATCGCCCCCTCGTATGGTTCTTTCTCATCGGTGCCATCGCCCCGATACCGCTGTGGCTATACGGCCGCAATAAAAAGTCTAGCATCGTTCGAAAGATCAACCTACCCGTCCTATTCGGTTCCCTGAGCTGGATCCCGCCAGCGACCGGTCTCAACTTTTCCGTCTGGGCCGTGGTTTGCTACATCTTTAATTACCTGATCAAGAACCGGGCCTCGGCCTGGTGGGCCAAGTACACGATGACACTCAGCGCGGCACTAGACTCCGGCCTCGCTTTCGGTATCGTCATCGTGTTCTTCGGATTCATATACCCCGGCTGGATGGACGGTTTCAGTTGGTGGGGTACAGAGGTGTATAAACAGGGGTGCGACTGGCAGGCTTGCTCATATAATACGGTGCCGAATGGAAGCCATTTCGGCCCGGATAAGTGGTAGAATGATGGCGTCTAAAGACGTATGTGGTTATGTAGTTATGTGTTATGCCGGATTGGATCGACGACAGAGTATTTGTTTGTTTTGACGGCCAGCATGGATGATTTGGTTTTGAGGCGCGCTTGGCATATGCATATACGGCTCACGGCCTAGAATCTAGATCTCGCTACATAGTTGACGAATACACTCGTAGATTATTGAATAACAATGTCAGGCTTGATAGGGTTTATGATATTTTGAGAGTAGAAGTGAAGTCTCGACGTAATCAGAATGTTAGTGTGCAGTCAAATGTATGACCGACGTTTCTCTCCTTTGTCGTACGGTAAATAGATATAACCTCAACTCTCCCTCACTGATGCTACATAAATAGATGTCGAACGTCAACGAATTTATTATTTAAAGGTCAATTATACCTAGACTACCCGTCGTCCTTAATTAAACACGCCCCTGACACGCCTCTCGCGTCTACCCTAACAGGCAAACGATGAATAGACCTTGCTACCTAGTACCAATACATGAGTCAACCCCAACTACCAACATGATGTTCCGTACCTTATAGCCTTCAACACGGCGGTTATCACAACATAATAGTATAGAACTTGAAACAAGAATAATATACAGTAGCGGCAAGCGATAGGCCAGCAGACCCCCAAATGTCTCTTTCGATCAGTGGAAATATTAAAATTTTGCCGTCATTACGAGTCGAGGTATGTATGTGGGTATTGAGTGGTTTGATTAGGGTTTGGGTATCAAGGGGTATCTTATACATATCAACAACCAACTTCACTTCTTCGCGTCAATCATCCTCGAGGCTCGCTCAGCTAGCCTTTTATCGCTTCGCGGGGCCGTGGTGTAGGAGGCCGGGATGTTGTTCTGTACGGTCTGCCTGGCGTCCCGGAACATGCTGTAGCAGTCGGCGAGCACCTCGTTGATGTCCTGGTCTGCGGGAACGAGGGCCGTGTCGACGATGGACTTTAGGTGCTCTTCGAGCTTGTAGAACTCGTTCCTGTCGGATCGGTACCTGGCTGGTAGGCCGCTGTTGTGAAGAAGGGCTAGAATTCCGCCAACGCAGGTGTTCATAGCAGCGATGGAAGTCTAGTTCGAGGTTAGAAATCAGTGTCGTGAGATGAGTGTATCTTAATATGGAAGAAGTAACTCACGATTGCTGTTCCCTCTTTGACTGTAGATGAAGTTGTCACGGATCCGAGAGCGGTGAGAACGGCACTCATGGCGATCTGAATGAGCATCAAGATCCAGGTAATAGTGGATATGATATGAAACCCGTAGGTAAACTTGGTTTTCTCAGAGAGAACGTCTTGATAGAGGCCATCTCTAAAACCTTGAGGCGGCCACCATGAGCTCGTTGGACGAACGACCTCCTCGCTCTCGTCGTCTTTGAAGACTCCGATGCCTCGACAAAACTGAACCCATTCAGGATGGGACAGGAGCCGGTACGTCTCCTTCTTAGGGTCTCCGGGCTTCTTAGGAGGATTGCTACCATGACTGCTGCCTGGTTTGGGGGACGGCGGTGCAGGTGCGGGAGGCGGCTGAGAAGACATCGCCGCGTCAATGTTAAGTCTTGGGATAGAAGAACGATGAGAGCTCGAGTTCTTAGACGGGTAGATCGTAGTGGCAGCCATCTCCAGAGTCTAGATATAGGTAGAGGGAGTGAAGTTGGTTTACAAGAAAGACAGAGAAGAGAGAGTGAGTGAGATGCCAAAGCTGAGATGTCCTAAGGGAATGCCATTTCCGGCCGTAATTGCTTCTACCTGATGCGCATGGCATGATCTTGGGTATGACTTCTCTACGTACGAGAATTTGCGGAAGTGGCTTTCGAGGTTATACATTGTGACTATATCATATTACCAGTCTCGGGTAGGCTTAAGGGGGAGAAGACAATACCCAGGTAGTTGCTAGTAACTACCTTGATGCTCATATATAAGAGCAATGAGTGCGTGTGGATGTCTAGTATTCTTGAAGCACTTTCACTTTCTTCAGGTTGTAGTGTCTTTTCTCTGTCTCTTAGCAGGGTGGCGCTGCTTCGCGTAACATTTGCAATTAGTACCGTAGAAGGGCCGGGTATGTCTAAGACGATAATCAAGTAGGAGCCGTGCTATAGACATTTCTTTGTATCCAAGGTTTCTCGAGATATGTAAAAAAGCACTTGTAGAGTAGGCTGAGAATTGAGAAATATTTTTACTGGTCTTTTATAGATAGGTGTTCTCAGTACTCATGAGATCCATGAATGAGATGTGATGATGACCGGAGATTGGTATGGGGAAGCTTGGGGAAGTTCAAGGTCCCGGGGTTATGGTCCAGCGATAAGATAAGCCGCTCAATAACATAACGAGGTCACTACTTCTTACAGCTCCTTCAATCATTTCGTCATTTCTCAGTTGCCAATTTACCTTGTCATAAGACGGATGGGTTGGGATGGCTATTCTGGAAGTTGCATTCTCTTATGTTATTTTTAGGTAGGTAGATAGGGCGCTTGCTAGATTAAGGTTGGAACCTTAGAAGTGGGAAGTACCCCCCGGGCGGAATGGAGCTAGAATGGAGCTTAAATGGAGCTTAGATAGACCCCACTAAGAAAAAAAATCGCCAACTTCCCTACTTACCTCTGATATCTGCGTAAATAATCCAATGCCATTGCCTTGAGAGCTAGTTGAATGCTACTCGCACTCTCATCCGCATCTTACCGACCAGCGGTAAAACATGCAGCAAAGTTGATAGCCAATCCGCACTTTCTTCAATATTTGCACACGATGACTTCGAAAACCAAAAACAGTACTTCGGCTGCGACGACCGAGATTTCGATCATTACACGAGATGGACAAGACTTTACAGAGGTCAAGGAAGGACTAGCTCGCATTCTAGTTCCATTCTCGACGAAAGACGCCTCAGGCAAGAACCTTGACAATGTCGAAGAACAACAAAAAGTCTTTTACAACCCTATCCAACAATTCAACCGTGACCTTACTGTTCTCGCGATTAAAGCCTACGGACAGGAGAGATTAGCGAAGAGACATCCTGCGAACGCCGAAAAGGTAGCTAAGAGGAAACGCGAGAAGTCTGATATCGGTGGCAACAAGTTGAAAAAGCAAGAAAAGACAGAAGATATAGCAGAGACCGTACAGGGTGATACGTCTATGGTCGATGCGACCGAGAGCAATGAGGTTCAGCTGGGCGGGGCAAAAGTCGCCTCTTCAGACCAACAGAATGATCACGAGCAAGGACCTCAAGAGAAGTCTTCTAAGAACATTCACGACGGTAACGATGATTTAATGCCCGGTGATATACCTAAGGTTAATCAAGCTACTGGAGATGAGCAATCAATTAAGGCACAAGAGACAAAATGTAGCGAAATCAAACGACCTGGTCCCACATTCACCATTCTCGATGCTTTGTCGGCTACGGGACTCCGAGCCTTGCGATATGCCCAGGAATTGCCATTCGTTACATCAGTTACCGCAAACGATCTGAGTCCCACGGCCGTAGAAGCTATCAAGCGTAACGCCGAACATAATGGTGTCGAATCGAAGGTGAATGCTACATCAGGCGATGCCCGTGTGCACATGTACTCTCTGCTTACTCGAGAGGAACCGGACGATGGCGCAAAGGACAAGCATCGTAATAAGAAAGGTGCTCATAGGCCGAACAAGCCAAGCAAGAAATACGATGTAATCGATTTAGATCCTTACGGGACCGCTGCTCCTTTCCTGGACGCAGCATTCAATGCCATCCGAGATGACGGCGGTCTATTGTGCGTTACATGTACAGATTCAGCTGTCTGGGCGTCAAATGGTTACCCAGAGAAGGCGTTTGCCCTTTACGGCGGTGTCCCTTTGAAGGGATTTCATTCTCACGAAGTTGGATTACGTCTAATACTCCACAGCCTTGCTTCAACAGCGGCAAGATACGGACTGGCTATAGAACCACTCCTAAGTTTATCGATCGATTACTATTGCCGAATCTTTGTTAAGGTTAGAAAATCCCCCGCACAGGTGAAGTTCCTTGCAGGGAAGACCATGGTCGTGTATAATTGCGATCAAGGCTGCGGAGCTTGGGAGACGCAATTTTTAGCCCGCCATAGGAAGGCGCGTAACAAATCAGGGAAGGGTGTATTCTACAAACACGGATTTTCCTTGGCACCTACAGCCGATCAACTCTGCAAGGAATGCAACTCTAAGACGCACTTGGCGGGACCGATGTATGGTGGGCCGTTGCATTCTGTCGACTTTATCCAAAAGGTTTTGGACGAGTTACCCAATGCTTCCGACGATATCTACGGCACGAAGCCGCGCATAGAGGGAATGTTACAGACAGCGCTCGAAGAATTTCTCCCGCCCCCCAAAGACCCTCTTGAGAGCTGCAGAGAAGATGAATTTGCTGCGATTGAGCCATACCCATTCTTCTTCCACCCGACAAGTTTGGCACGTGTACTGCACTGCATCTGTCCTGATGAAGACAGCTTCAGAGGCGCTCTACGCCATTTAGGCTATCACGTCACTCGCAGTCACTGTAAAGCGGGCAGTTTAAAGACCGATGCGCCATGGTCGGTTATTTGGGATGTCATGCGAGAATGGGTTCGTCAGCACCCTATCAAAGTCGATAAGGTCAAGGAGAACACTCCAGCGTACACCTTGCTCGGATTAGGCAATAAGGGCGAAGCTGTAAAGGACGAGACAGCAAGGGATGAGACTACAAAGGACGCAAAAAACGACGACGTCGATAAGCTAGAGATTGTCTTCAATCAGACACTCGGACGAGACACGTCTAGAGCCGGTCTCATTAGGTACCAGATGAACCCAGCAGAGAACTGGGGTCCTCAGACCAAAGCGAAAGAACGCTGAGGATAGCCCTAATGGCAGTAGCTTGGTATTATAGGATCTTTAGGGCAGATCTGGTGTTTATGAATGTGACGGTTGATTTAAGTACGGCTAATGATACCCCTTCTGTTTTTTTTGCTTATGTTCGTCTAGGTATTCCCATGATAAGAGTGAATACCCAATACCCGGCACGCCGGATCGTACCCGTGGACCAACAACCAATGCCCCACTACAATACCCAACATATTAAGTGTTGCGCCAATTAGACATCTTAATCTCAGCCCTACGGAGTCGAAGATAACGCACAATGACCTAAGATTATGCAATCGGGCTAGTGTGTCACATTGGTCACATTGTGAAGATATTGTACGACTTCTGTGCCCCTGAAAGGCTTAATATAATTGACTATCACGTATCACAGACCCCACTCTGCTTTTTATTACTAATCTAGACCTTATAAACTTCCGTCCATTTCCACCGCTGTTAGATCGTCCTCCTTAGCTCCTTATCATGGATGCCTCACTTAAACTCTTCATCTCTCACTACAAGCAGTCTCGTCAACGTTGATAAAACTCGGAACATATTCATGGATAGCTGTTGAAGAAGCGCCGAACACAGTTTGCCTCAAATAAACGGAATATGTCTATTCATAATTCCAATGGTGTTACCGCCGACACCGGACAAGTCCAATCAGACGGTGATCTTGGCTCTGTTAAACCTGAAGAGATCGCTTTGATTTCGAGACGGCCACAAGAAACAGACAAGCCCGATTCGTACGATATTTACAGTCTAGAGGAAGGGACCGGGGAGCAAGGATCCTTGTTTAATCTATCGACAGCTCAGATCACAAGCGTTCCAGGAGTTTTACTAGATGAATTCTTAAATGAGGAAGTTCCGGAGTACTTGCGGAGCGGGCCGTCACGACATGTCCATGTTGTCGTGTCAAGCGGCTCCGGTACGGGGCTCGCTTTAAACTTTTACAATTCCGTTCTTCGGCCCCTTCTGGAAGGCTTGGGTATTTATGCTTTGGATCCATCGGCCGATTTGGCGGAACGGTCGAAACCGAACAATTATAATCTCGTCGTTACACAGCATGCTAATAGCGTGCGCGATTTCGCAAGGGGTCTTGGAGATTCCAGCCAAGACACGGTACGACATACCGTTGTCCTTCTCAGTGGTGATGGCGGTATCATTGATTTTCTCAATGCAAGAGCACCAATAGAGGGACCAAATGCGGAAGCAAATCTCCCCCTCGTTGCGATATTGCCATTAGGAACAGGGAATGCGCATTTCCACTCACAACATAAACTGGCAAATAAGATTACTCCATCTCCTACGTCCTCTAGTCTAGTTCAAAGCCTGCGTACTTTGTTTCGAGGCAAAGCCGCCCCTCTGCCTTCGTTCAAGGCTGAATTCCCCCCCGGTTCTCGTATCATCACCGGTGAGAGCTCTGATAAGGAGCTTGAAAGTCATTCTGATGTTATATCCCATCTCTATGGCGGTATTGTGGCTAGCTACGGCTTCCATAGCCAATTGGTCTGGGAGAGCGATACACCAGAGTATCGAAAACACGGCGCCGAAAGGTTCAAGATGGTCGCACAACAGCTTCTCAAAGAGAGCCACGCATACAATGCTATTGTTGAGTTTTCTAGAAAAAATGGGCCCCACTTACATCAACTTGACCGAGATCGACACGCATACATTCTAGTTGCCATGGTTTCCAATTTGGAGAAGACATTTACCATTTCACCGGCCAGCAAACCTCTGGACGGTGAATTAAGACTAGTTCACTTTGGTGCCGTGAGCGGGCAGAAGACAATGGATATTATGATGCAAGCATATAACGAAGGGAAGCATATCGGTATGAAATGGACTAACGATGACGGCAAGGAAGAAGAGGTTGGATATGACGAGGCAAAAGTAGTCAAGATTACTACTTTAGAAGAAGATGCGAGGTGGAGGAAGGTCTGTATCGACGGCACGATTGTGGAGCTACCTCAGGGTGGTTCCATGACGGTAACGACGGAGGAAAATCATCATTTGGAGGTATTGGTAGATCGGTCTGTTGTGTTATCTCAGGGATTATCTCAGGGCTAACATCAAGATATCTAATAACCGAGAAACAAGCGGCATGAGTCACCTTACCTAAGCTATCCAGTATACTCCTTTGATTGACCAATCACGGAAGGTGCTACAATGAACCAGAATGAATCATCCGCGCTACTGCTAGCTCTATGCAGCTAAGAATGCAATACTACGCCATCGCATAGATCGTATAGATCCGAAGGAGGGTGCGATCTCTTAAACATCCATTTCAGTACATTCGTAGTACTGCAGCTCCAACACCTAAAAAATCAGATAAAAAGTTACTAGGTAGGTATTTAAAGATGAAAAAAATGCATAGATGGTTTAAATCCTCCTTTCGCTCATCGCAGACTTCACCTTGTGTCACCAATTCGCGATAAGGGCATTCGAGTAAATCGCCGCGATCATGACGTCCATGGAAGCAGAAAGTGCTGCAACGATCTTGTGCACCTCTAAGCAAACCCGCTTTAACATCGGAACCCCTAATTATCGTGAAGTACGTATTCTACTATCAATGCTCTATGCGCGTAGATTCTAATAGATATGTAGCTAGATATTGAAGGTCTAAATATTACCGTCACGTCAGGGGGTAAGGCCGGTGCCAAGGGGAAAGCTAAGGCAAGATGTGAAGGGACTGAGATCCTTGCCAATGCCAATTTGAGATTGAAAGCTGGTCAGCGGTACGCTGTGATCGGGCGGAATGGCACTGGAAAGTCAAGTCAGTTACACAAACTCAACCCTAACCCTAACCCCAGCGGAATTGGAGTCGTGGCTTACTTATCGCCGTAGCCCTGCTGAAAGCGATAGCTGAAAAACTCATCCCTGGTATACCAGAGGAAACGCGCGTAGTCATTTTACAACAGACAGATGCCGGAGATGTCAATACAGATGAAACCCCGGCTTCTACTTCTAGCCATAACGAAGGTCCAGTAGTTTTGGAGGATGTCATTGAACGAGCTACCGCTAAACATGTGGTACAGCAGGAAATTGACAGTCAGTACAATATCCTGTAGTGCTCTGACCCTTCATTAACTAGGTCATACAGTATTATCTAAGGGTGTTGAAGGCGGTGATTCTTTCAGCGCCTTAAGAGCCTTTCGAAAAGTTCGTCATGAACGTCTCCAGAAAGAGCTATTCTTGAAGGATAAAGATGCTAGGCTTCGAAGCGGCACTAGAGGAATGCAGGCTAGGAAGGCCTTGATTGCAACGGAAAAGAAAGTTGCGAAATTCCAATCACAGTATAACAGCAATTATCTCTTAATATACAGTTCTATACGGCTCTAACATAAAGTACAGATGCGAAGAGAAGGACGAAGATATCTCACCTGAAACGCTAGCCAAGGAAACGAACGAAGCAGCAGATATGCTAGCCGACCTCCAACTCCAAGTCGAGCCTTCAAAACTAGCGGATATCGAGTCCAAAGCGAAGAAGGTCCTCACCGGTCTCGGCTTCACCGAATCCCGCATGACCCAACCCGTATCCAGCTTATCCGGAGGCTGGAAGATGCGCACAGCCCTAGCCGCCGCTCTCCTCCAAGAAACCGACATCCTCATCCTCGACGAACCCACCAACTTCCTCGACCTTCTCGGCATCATCTGGCTCCAACGCCACCTAACCACCCTCGCCTCATCCCCCACCGCACCAACCCTCCTCCTCGTCTCCCACGACCGCGACTTCATCTCGCTATGCACAGACCTCCTCCTCATCAAAGACAAATCCCTAGACCTCTTCCACGGCTCCCTCCCGCTCTACGAGTCCGCGCGCGAAGAACGCAAAACGTATCTGGCGAAAGTGAAGGATGCGCAGGATAAGCAGAAAGAACATATCCAGCAGACGATCCAACGGAATCTTCGTGAGGGGAAAGCGAAGGATGACCAGAATAAGATTCGTCAGGCTAAGTCGAGACAGAGGAAGCTAGATGATAGGTGGGGACTGGAAACGAGTGCGAAGGGGGGCAGGTTTAAGCTTAATCGCGATTTACCCGGGTTCCATTTTTCGCGGCGTGCGGAGGTGGAGGTTTTGGTGGATGAGAGGCCGGTGGCGGTTGTGCTGCCGATGCCGGTTGAGTTGAGGTTTCCCGGGGCGTTGGTTTCGCTTGAGGGGGTTGGGTTTGGGTATGCAGCGGGGAGAGGGGAGAAGAAGATGGTGTTGAGGGATGTTACGCTGTCGGTTGGGATGGGGGATAGGGTTGGTGTGGTGGGGTTGAATGGAAGTGGAAAGTCTACGCTTGTGAAGCTGTTGGTTGAGGAGGCGAGGCCGGTTATGGGGACATTGACGAGGCATCCGCGGTTGAAGTTGGGGTATTATGCCCAGCATGCCGTGGAAGAGCTGCAGAAGATGGGGAGGGCGGAGCCGGAGTTGACGGCGCTGGCGCTGTTGACGAGAGAAGTTCATGGTCAGCTGGATGAGGGGGAGATTCGTGGTTTATTGGCTCAGTTGGGCCTTCCGGGACGGCTGGCGTCGGATGTTCCTGTTCGCAGGCTCTCTGGTGGACAGCTTGTTAGGCTGGAGATGGGACGCATACTCTGGCAGCGGCCGCATTGCTTGGTGCTGGATGAGGCGACTACACATCTTGATTATGAGACCGTGGCTGCACTTAGAGAGGCTCTGAAGGATTGGGAGGGCGCGGTCGTGGTCGTGAGCCATGATCGGTGGTTTGTTCGTGGGGTGGTGGAGGGGATAGGTGATGATGAAGAGAGCGAAGATGAGGATGTGGGGACCGGGTCAAAGGCTACGAGGAGAAGGGTTGTGTGTAGATTGAGAACAGGTGAGATGAAGATTTTGGAGGGAGGGGTGAGTGAGTTTGAGAAAGGGGTCGAGAAGAGGGTTAGGCGATTGGAGGGGGAATGAGGATATTTCGTCAGTTGTTATATGGACGCATTTGTCCAACCCCCCACCAAAATGGTCACTTTTCAATGCGCGAGTAGAAATGTGAAATATTTCGTAAAAACATGGAATAAGATGTACGATGAAACAATTCAATTCAATTCAAAAATGGCTTGTTTAAAAGTAATGATGGTATAATATTTGTGGGTTGGTTGCGCACCGTGCCAGGTAGACTGCTAGGTGAGTCACAGTGTAGGATGCACAACAGTAAGGTTATATATCTAAAGAACATTATAACTTGTAACAATTGCCCAATGGCCTGTTGTAGGGATTTAGCTCAGTTAGAAAGCCGTGTGTGTAGACCGCTTGCTGAGCCTGGGGTTGAAGCATCTACTTAACGGGCTGGGTTCGAGACGGGTTGTTGGGGACTTGTTTAATTTTTTTCTTTTCTTTTTTTCAATTTTTCATCTAACATACCTCGCTACACACATACAGATAAGGTTCTCTTCTATTTTACAGGAAAAAGAGGCCTATTTTTCAAAAACAGCTTGTTCACCTATCCACCTCCCCTCCTCCTCTCCCCTTATTCTATTAATATCAGGAACCAGCTTTCACCATTGAACCAACCGTTTCAAACCCGTAGGACAATTTTTCGTGAGTCATATAGGCACCAGATCAGCTACAGTAATGGGTTGTTTGATTTTCTTTCTAATTTATTTACCTGAAGCCTCCAGGGAAATCACGTGATACCCTCTAACGATACCACAAAGCCTCCTACACTAGGATTGAACACTATTCATATCCGAACGGGACTTAACCATGTCTCATAAATAGAGAATCATGTGGTTTCCTATAAGAATAGGCATTCTGCTAAATAAAAAAACATTTTACGCTGAATATTATCAAACAATCTGAGTCACTCCCCTTCTGTGTTAATGTGACAACCTGTATAAATACTGCCCCTTTTCTTAATCTGTCTTCCAAGAAAGTCAAAAGCCCCAAGGGGCCAGCGTGCTATCGCAGGGATATGCACAGATATTGCAGCTCTATTCATTACCTATCAATAGGAGAATCACCATGTCTCACTAGAAAACGAGTTGTCAAAGATTAGATGTTATCTCACCAGAGCCTTCGATGTTATCATAGAATCAATCGTCTATTGATTTCTACATCATAGGCCCGGATTTTCATAGTATTCATTCTATACCTATATATCAAACCCAAATTCAAATATTCTTTCCAATTTCACTCCAATGAGCAACTATTTCATCGGCCGTTATGTGCCTTAGGGACAACACAGATACAGTAGAAGACATAGAGAACCAACGGCAGACGAGGTACACCGCGTAGAAAGTAAGTAACCTCAACAAGATACGGGAAGACATACGATGTATTAACATAAACCTTCCCACCCTCCATCCTGAGAGCTAACATGCACGTATAGTTCCGGAAATTTCTATTCTTCGAATCAGTGTAGGAATCAACTGCATGTCTGAGGATGTTTTCCAGCACCATGAACAAGAGGTCGCTTATGCGTTCAATTCCAAACATTCCTATCTTCCTAAATTCTTAGTTCTTTCAAAATTAAATACCTATTTATTAATGACAGACAACACGCTTCGCAGATATCGGCATACCAATCGTTTATAATACATATCTCCTTCTGTTGCCGACGAGGGCCCCGACGGTCCTTGCGAACCCCGATATAGAGCGATTGATCGAAGCTTTGTATTGATGCTTTGAGTCTATGTTCCCGAGAGGTTCAACTGAACTACCTAGTATGTTTAGAAGATACTGAGCTATGTCGATTTGATCCCAAACACTGTCTAATGTCGCCTCGAAAATAGTGGGTGGACTGAATATCATGTACCAAGCAGAGAATAAAGTAGTGAAGGGTGTCACGAGGCGGAACCAAAAGACTAGGAAACAACGACGTTGTTGCGCGAAGAGCTCCTAACACTCTCGCTATGGAGAACACGGTATACATACAGGCGAAGCTCTTTGTCTGTCCTGCTCCTAGGACTAGCGGCCAACAGGACCCTCACGGGGACTCAACGGGCCGAACCCCGATCCCATAGACCTCTAGCTACTAACCTGGAGGAAGACCGATGTCTGACAAAGGGTATCGATAATATCAAATAGAATTCTTCGACCATACTGATCCAGTCAATGTAATATTCGGAGTTCCTGTTTGCGTAGTTCTCGATAATTCTGTTAAAGGTAATTTAGGATGCTTATATAGACCTTCGTCCGGGGGATATCATCGTAACGGTAACATTATTCGCACTCGGGGAATGCCTAGAGCTAGAGTTAGTTAAAGTCATCACCACTGTAAGCGTACATGATGGTCAAGGGCCAGCAAGAAATTCATCATCGAATTGAGATGATCCCGCTCCGAAATATGCGCGCCATTTCACGTTTTTCCCATAGGGTATCTTTCTTAGTCAATATTTTTCTTCACTATCCGTGATTGTCCCCAAAGCATGATTCCATAACATCGGGCGGGTATACGGTGCTCTGTATCAGTTCGTCGTAAGTTAAGGATGTCGCTTCGTTGGGTCGTGTCGATGGGGACCAAGATAATAAACTCCTGCCAATACTGTGATTCTCGTCCTAGGCCCTCTATTCTAACTCCACGTATTCCAATGGCGTGTGTCGCACTAGTCAGTGAAGATCGATGGATATTATCGTATAGGTCTCAAATCCCCGACTTATCCATCGATAGTATTCCATCATCCACATCACTTGTCTGTAAGTCGACCTCGGGGGTCCTCCATGGGGCAGCATCGATCCAAATTTGAACGTCCAATTAGTCGTGTAGAGTAGATGTAGAGGTGTCTGATCGAACTACATTACTGGGTAGGAATATGAGCCTCGTAGACGATCAAGTCCATATCTTGATGTAGGATGATCTGCATAGATAGCTAAGGTGTTAGTTATCTCTCTAGGCGACTAGTGTGGGTCTTCTGACGTTGCTGAAGATGTATAGCGGCTCCGGATTCGTTGATCAACAATCGATATTCGCTAGCTCCCAAACGTCATTTCCTATTCAGCTTGTCCATTCGCCCTCAGCTACCGTATCTCCCATGTTGATGAAATGGTCCGATCATAGTGCTGAAGCAAATTCGTACTTGAACTAAACACTTATTGTTCTGCCATTCTCTCGTTTTGCGGCTACTTCCAGGAATCCCCTATCGATTTTTCTTGTCTACCGAGAAGGATCCAAATCTCGTCGTAAAGTCCCAGGTTTGATGTCGTCCCATCCATAATTTCTAAAACTATAACGAGCGAAGGCAAGGGTTCGTGATCGTAATCGGAGGTTGATGGAACGCGAAAATAAGTTGGCCCCCACGCATATATGAATCCAGACGCAAGAAACCATACGTAGTCCTTAGATGGAGAAGATACCTAGTATACCGCCGAGGAGTTCCGTCGTACTCGAAGACATGACTGAGCCGTGAAGGGTTTTCGTCAATGTTGTCTTCGGGTTTCGGATCATCGGGATGATAATGATGAATGACCGGATAAAGTTGGAGACACTGTCCATATTATACCTCTCGTAGTGTCCCTTCTAAAAATTCATTCGGGCTTCGTTCGATATTTAAGGGGTTGCAAGAGTTCTTCAGATTAGTGAATGGGATAGGTGCGTTAGATTATAGCTCTATTACAACTCAGAATTAGCCGGGAGATGTGAATATTTTACTAGGATGCACTATGACGAATTAGTTTATGGAGGCTGTGTTAACTTGAAATAGAAGCTTGTCGTGATTGTCGTCTGTAATACTTGTCGTGAAGCTCTCGTGTTGGTAGATTGTCTTGTCATTTTAACAACAAAGATCCGGATAATGACGTTCCTAGGGAAACCTGACGATGATTATGGGTTCTTCGCCTAGAAGATGATATAGAATCATCTTCCCCTAATTCTTCGATTATGAACGCGTGTTTTTGCTTAATACTCGTTTATGACGATGCCGACCGACCAGTAAATCGAGTTGAAAGCCATTCTAAATTAACCATCGTGAGGGGCAACTGCTATGTTTGGGGCGTTAGGCGTAAATGTCTCATTATTGGCTCTTCCGTTATCTAGTGGCTCAGCGTGTACTGCTCTGATTTGGCTGAAAAATGGCGTCTGGCGTGATAAGGGGTGATTGGGCTAGTGTCGAATTTAAATGCGTTCGTGGATGCTGAAGGCCTAGAAACTCCGTGTCCTCTTAGGTGATGTTGATTTCATATTTTTTATTCTTTCCCGCTGTAAATAGGCCTTCTCATGGTTGAGTCGTTATTAATCTTGTCATTCTCCAGAAAAATTTTCAACCCCTAATCTTTCGAAGGAATAAGAAAAAATATCCACTAAAATTTGGTCCGTTCACGCATTTTTCCTCTCCAAAATCACTAGCTGTCGGAATTCCGGGCCTCGTTCCAATGGTACTTAGTTTTGTCGTAGAAATGTTGAGATGTTGAGATGTTATGAGGCTGAAAAGGGCTGAGATGATTATCTAAATGTGTAGCTGTCCTCTGTCGTCGAAGAGAAATAGGGGCAATTAAGATCCACTGAACGAATAATACAGGAGGCTAGGTGTCCATTTTGTCTGTGTGGTGCAGAGTATTGATTACATGGGATGTTATCGAATCCAACAATTTGGGTCGTAAGGCAGTAAGGATACATCGATCTCCTCATTCATTCGTAGGTACTAAGATAGGTACGATGCCCCCTATACGTGCAGATGCTGATACCATTCCCGAGGCTTAGGCCCCCTTTCCGGGTTACCGCACGCTATTTTGCGGCGTGCTATCACCTCCCATGCGAGCCAATCGGGTTCTGGGGTTGTATCGCGAATGGAATGTATGTATTAGATACTTCCTAGCCTAACCCTGGCGAAGGAGGCTCACCAGACCTCGGTGAGAAGGTGGACCCTAGCACTCGAACCCATGTGCCGATGGTAGTATCGTACGTGATGTCGCGAGCGGGGGATACTGGAGGAGAGGCAAGGTACCTAGGTAGGTATGCATGTCATAACCAGATC